TGAGAAATGGGAGAGTGCTGATGGGAGGGGGAGGGGAGGAGCTGGGAATGGAAGGTGGGGGAAGGGAGTTATAGATTGTGTTGATTTTGGTTTGAAAAGATGAGAGGAATGAGTTACACTTGTCCGGGGTGAAGGTGGTGGAGATGGTGATGGTGTATGGGGTGGAGAAGTTTTTTGGCTGTGGTGAAAAGAGTCTTTTGGTTGCTGGAGCTGGAGTGGATGAGGTTGGAGTAATAGGATGAGCGGGCGGACTTGAGGGCTGTTCTGTATAGGTGGAGGTGGTCAGTGTAGGCTTGGAGATGGACAGTGAGGCCGGTTTTGTGGTGGAGACGTTCTAGTTGGCGTTTGTGAGATTTCATTTTGTGCAGTTCTGAGGTAAACCAGGGGGCGGAATGTCTAAATGAAACTGTTCTTGTTTTGAGGGGTGCGAGCTGGTCCAGGCAGGAGGATAGAGTGTTATTGTAATAGTTGAGTAGGTCGGCAAGTTTGGCAAGGAGGTGGGGGAGGGGATGCAGTGAGGGTGGCAGATAGGGAAGCAGAGAGGTCCTGTGGTGAGATGGATTTGAGGTTTCTGAAGGAGATGAGTCGTTTTTCACTGTGAAGCGGGGAGGGGTCAATGCTGAAAGTGACAGCCAGGTGGTCAGATATGTAGAGGTTGGTGGTGGAGAGATGGAGGATGGAGATGCCGGTAGAGCAGACGAGGTCAAGGGTGTGGCCGTGGGAGTGGGTGGGGGAGTGTACATGCTGGGTGAGGTTGAGGGTGTCGAGTAGGTCCAGAACATCAGAGGCTTGTTTGCAGGTGGGGTTGTCGATGTGGAAATTGAAGTCGCCAAGTAACAGGACAGAGGATGAGATGGTATTTAGTTGGGTGACCAGTTCAGAGAAATCAGAAAGGAATGATGGGTGGGGTTTTGGAGGGCGGTAGATGGTGACAATGACCAGTGGGGTGGGGCCAGGGAGTTTGACTGAAATGTGTTCGAATGAGTGGACAGTCGGGGTGGGGATGGGGGTGGTCTTGAGGGTCTGCTTGTGGATGAATGCGACGCCACCGCCTCGTCCAGTGAGGCGGGGTTGGTGCAGGTAGGAGTAACCGGGGCGTGTGGCTTGGTTTAGTGGGAAGACGTCGAGATGATTGTGCCAGGTTTCGTTTAAACAGAGAAAGTCCAGGTTATTGTCCGTTAAAAAGTCAGCCATGATGTGTCCTTTGTTGTTGAGGGAGCGGGTGTTTTGAAGGGCCACCTTTAGGGTAGGGGGCTGTGGGGTGGGCAGTGAGGCAGGGGGAAGGCAGGAGAGGTTTGTTTGATTTCTTGTCCTTTGTTTTGCATGCATAGGATTTGAGCAGGAGGGTCTAGTAGTTGTGACTGTTTGAATGAAAAAGCTGTGGTGAGATCCTGGTGAAATGACAGAATGGCAGAGAGTCTCTGTGATTGGAGGGTGCAGTACCAGTTTGGGACGGGAGGGGGAGCTTGCTGTAGTGGAGGCGATGGGATTGGTGTGCAGTACCAGTTGGGGCCTGTTGGGGGAGCCGGTGGTGGGGATGGTGAGGGCGAGGGTCTCAGAAGGGGGGCTCTGGAGGGCGCTGTTTCCAGGTGGGGTAGTGACAGGCAGGGAGGAAGAGTGTGACAGGGAGAGTGTCCACAGTGCTAGTCAGTTGGTGTGTATATGGTGTTGGATATTAGCATTGAGTGTGTAATAGCCCAGTTTATTTGGGTGAAGTCTGTCATGGGAGAAAAATGGGGGTCAATTCCAGAACAGATTAAAATTGTCAATGAAGTGGGTGGAGAGGGTGCTGCAGAGTGAGCGAAACCAGGAGTTCAGACTGAGGAGCCGGCTAAAACGATCAATGCTACGCGTTAGCGTTGGTAGCGGACCACTTATAAAAACAGATTTGCCGCTGCACTGAAGGATGTGGAGAAGTGATTTGAAGTCCATTTTGGTCAGTTCAGATTGTTTATGAGCTGTGTCGTTGGTGCCTACGTGGACAATGATGCGGTGGATAGAGGGAGGGAGTGACTGAAGAAGACCGGGGAGTTTTGTTATGATGTCGGCGACAGTTGCACCGGGGAAAGAATGAGTAGTGGCGTTGAAGAAACGGATACCTTGTGTGATGCTGTCACCGACGATCAAGGTGGTGGGTGGGAACAGCTGCAGGGGTTGCATGGCTCCTGTGCCCGAAGTAGAGCTGATGGCCGGGCTGGGTGGACTCGGAGGTGCGGTGGACGGCTGCGGCAGCGGGGATGGTCTGCCATCTCGGTCCGAGGCGGCAGTGGCGGGCCCGGCGGAGTTCCGTCGGACTGCCTCTCGGAGAAACCTCCTGCGGGCGGCCGAGGACGCGGTCCGGCTCTCAGAGCTGACCAGGCGGTTTCCGGGAGACCGAGCACGACCAGGCACCGACGGAGAAGGGTCCCTTCCACTCGGGAATCCCTCTGCACGCCGGCAGGGAAGTGTTCTTCGGACCAGCGCCCGGTGACGCCCGGGAGCTGGTCGCCCGAAGATCGTCGGGCCGGCACGCCGCGGAGACATCGCTGGATGAGGACGAAGGTCCGGGGGCTCCGCCGGGTGGCCGTGTAGGAGCCATGGGAGCTCTGGCAGCCGCTGTAGAGTACACCGCCATGTCACCGCGGAGAGGGGACTGGTTCGGGTTGGTGCTGTCGGGCTTAGGAGGATGCATAAGGGCCTCGAAGCCGTTGGAGAGGGCCAACCGGACAGTGGAGGCATCGTTAGAGGGATCCGTCCCACTGCCGGCGAGGATCTCGGACCGGAGCAGTGGATTGCTCGGCGTGGAGCTTGAGGTAGGTCCGGCCGGGTTCCAGGGGATGGTGTTGTTGGTTTTCCTGGTTCGAGTTGTCACTTCAGTCCAGGTTGAGTCCTGGGGCCTGTTCTACGAAGCAGGATTACTGCTTAGCGAGGTAACTTCGAGGGTAAGTTCGGGGTTTCCTGTTCTACGACGCGGGTTCACTTCTGAGCGAGGCGAGTCTCCATAGCAACATGCACTGAACGGCTAACCTGCTCCGGGGCAGGTTAAGTTCCAGATTGAACTCACCGAGCATAAAAACCCCGCCCACTGACCAATGAGCTCTCTCGAAAAATGGCTTGTCCGTTCTTGGAGGATCCTGTAGACCTCGGTGCTCGCATTGTCCGAGGAGCACTCCGGCTCGCGAGAGTTTACAGGGAGAGTTTTCTCCGGATGACCACCTTTATGAAAGGCTCATATGGCCGACATATCACACAAAAAATGTAAACACGATAGGAATGAACAAATGAGTGAATTCATCTTGGAAATGAATGGGCATGGGCTGCATGATCACAGACAACATCTTGGTACTATTTAGTAGCAGCGCATGCCCCTTATAATAACCCCCGTAAATACTGTTGTTCAGGGCTGCTTACTTGTGCTTCCTACCCAGTGTAATAACCGTTGTTCTAGCCCATATGCAACATTTTTGTTCTCATTCATGAAACGCTTAGATCGGGGACATTTTCGGGGACAGCTTTAGCCGGGGACAGATCATCCAATTCGGGGACTGTCACCTTCGTTAAAAGCGCATGTTGAACAGTGCTTTTATAGGGTGATAATGGCATCAAAGATGCATTTACTGCCAGCATTCCCTCCGTGCTTTTGCAGCGGCGACGGTGTTGCTTTTGAGGTTTATGGTAGCTTTGAATTCTTCATACTTTCTCATGATCGTCTCCTGCTCCTCGTTTGTATAGTCTGCGGTCTTTCACTCTCCAGCCTGCTCTGACGCTCCAGACTGATCCATGTTCGCGATTGATCAGATGCGGCGGACTCCGCCTTATATCTGTGAACGCGCTCATAGCAGAGCTGGATCCACTTATGAGGTTGATAACCAGCGTCATAAAACCGTGTAGCGAGACCGCTGGCTACCGCGCTAAGTTGAGCGAGGTAGCTCCAAGGCTACCTCGCTAAGTTGAACCTGCTTCGTAGAACAGGCCCCTGGTTAGGTGCTGTGGTGGATGGCGGTCGGGATGAGGTCTTTGGGCTGTGAGGCTCCCAGGGTAGCGTGTCTTGGAGGGTAGCTTGGAGGGAGAACAGGTGGAGCGATTGCTGGTGGGCCACATCCATACATGTTGTGAGTAGTGTAGATTTTGATTTAAGTTCCTCAGAAATTTTTTGGATGCGGAGTTTGAGTGTGGTAATTGTTTGATTTGCCTCGTATAGGGCTTCGGTCTTAGCTAGGAGTAGGGACTCGCTCGCTGTCTCGCTCATGCTCGCTCTCTCGTGTTCTTCTGACTTTCAGATTTATCACTATTGTGAAGATTTTGTAAGGAAGAAATAAAGCTCAACTGTTTCTGAAGCTGCTGGACTTACACCTCCCCCCTAACATCAGTTCAAGCATTAAAAATTACAGCATAAAACTCACATATCTTGACGGCAATAGTCTAGTTTGAATTTCAGTCTATTTCATAAACATAAAAAAACTCCTCACGAAACTTCAAGCAGGTAAAATAGAGAAAAAGCTGCTGTTTATCATGTATTTTATCCACATTGAAAGGATAGCACACTACTCAAACAACATCCTTATAAAATTGTTTGGCTTAAAACTTGATGAAAGTTGAGTTGTTCTAGAGCAGTGGTTCTCAAGTCCAGTCCTCGAGGCCCACTGTCCTACATGTTTTAGATGTTTCCCTGCTCCAACACACCTGATTCAAATGATCAGCACGTTATTAAGCCATTAGAGAGCTTGATAACGAGCTGATCATTTGAATCAGGTGTGTTGGAGCAGGGAAACATCCAAAACATGCAGGACAGTGGACCTCGAGGACTGGACTTGAGAACCACTGTTCTAGAGTATTCTGTTGATGGCATAGAGGAGGCCACAGTAAAAGACAGGCACTTAACTCACAAGTATTAGCCAACTTGTCGAGGATGTCAGTATAAAGCACTGCGCTGTCTCCAGTTCAGTCAATGTTGATCGCCCAACTGCAATCCCTCTTCCTCCCCAACATCAATATAGTAAAGACATTTTGCCAGTAGGGGGTGCTGTGTATTTTTTAACTTAGTTTTTATTCGATTTTTATCCACAACAATACAGTGTGAACATTTCAATACAGTACATTGTTTTTCCCTTTTCCAGCTGTATGTGTACTTTTACAGAAATTCAGAGGTAATGTAGGATTAAATCAAAGAAGATAATAGTCGTCATCAATGCAAACAAATTATGTCCACTCCTAAATACAAATTTATAAGCATAAATTCAAGTCAAAGACAGAATGACAGCATTTCGATATGGATTGAAGGAACTTTAAATCACAAACACATTCTGTCGTTGCATCAATAAAGGTACTACAGATTCCCATCTTTTAGTAAAGGAGGCCCTGTGAAGCCTGTGAATGTGATCTGCTCCATTTGATAAATATCGCAAACTTTTTGAATCCAGGTATTGTATGAGGAAGGCTCTAGTTTCAACCGGTGCTAAGTATTTTGACAAAGTTGTAAATTGAATGTGTTCAGGCTGTGACTTCTCATAAGCACAGTGAATAGTCTGCAGAAATGTTGATATAGGGCTGAGCTAGAGCGGTTTGAAATTTAACAGCGAGGCATCGTGTAATAATTTAACTCTGTCGCACCCTGCGGACCATGATCTCTGTCAAAAACTCACAGTTTTCGGCACACATCTCGATGAACGACTTAAGTTATCCTGAGCAAAAACTGATGACAATATGTAGAGTGGTCTTGGAGATCCAGCTCATAAAGTATCAGCATGACATTCTCTACTGGCCCCAGGAGGCGCTACAACTGGAATGAGACATTATTGTATTAATGTGTTGAGGTCTTGACCCCCATGATGCATAGTGTGTTTGGAACAGGAGCATGCACGGCTTTTTGGTAAGCTGGCTATGTGTGTGAAAAATCATATTTTTACGTAAACTGCTGGGAGGGGCTCTATTTTCCAAAATGGTTTGGGGCACCATTGTCAATTGCACTTGTTTTCTTGTAAGTTCATAAAATGAAAATGACTAGTCAGAAAACTGAATTTACAGAAAAAAGAAAACATGTTTCATCTTTATTGATTAACAAGTAAACATCCTTTTTTGAGACATTTCGTAAAATGTATTAACATTTTTTTCAAAGATAATAAAACCTTAGAAAAGGTATCCAATGGCATTTAAGACGAACCAAAAGTGATTAAGTAATTTTCAAGTAACAACAACATCTGTAAGGCACAGACACCTCCTTTATAAGCAAGAAAAAGAGAAAAAAAAAAACCTCTAAAAGTTCCTAAAGACTTCCTGGAATTACCAAACTTTGACAGTTGTATGAATTTTTGCCCCCTGACTTCACCTGAAACATTTTATACAACCCCACAGAAATCATTGTGAGGTATAGCACAAGAGAGCTCATGCTGAGAATGCCACAGCAGATCTTCTGGACAATCTCCCAGACATTTGCCAGGGTCCACATCTGAAAGACGGTGAAGAAAGACAGAGCCTGAGAGAAAGGGGCTAGCGCTTCCAAAGGTCTGACTGTGGCTGGACCCATCCGTCTCCCATGATGTTTTGCAGGTGGAAGTTTTGGAAGTTCTCCAAACGATGGCTAGAATTAAAATGTAAAGGTAAATATATATACGTATATATATTTTTTTTGACAGACAGACAGACAGACAGACAGACAGACAGACAGATAGATGGATGGATAGCAGAGCTCGACAGTGTGACCATTTTACTCGCATTTGGGACTTAAAATAGATGTGTGCAAATTGTAAAATGTATTTAGAGGCACATTTGCCCATAAAAAAAATCAGCTGAGGCAACAAATGTTTTTTCATGAAAATACCATGGTGAAGTTAGTTTTAGGTTGGATATTCAACAGACATTCACTGCGCAACTACCGGTGTTTTCTCACTCTCCATAACCAGGAATGGCAACAACAGCAAGGATAAATCGACTTGGCACATCGCCGTCAACGTCGAGTGTTGAATAAGGGACCATCAATAAATTACCGGTTCATGTTCTCAGAAAAGGCTGTTTTCCTTGGATAGCTTCCATGTCATGTGACCAGTTGACCTAAAATTGATTTCAAATAATAGTACTAAGGTCAGACAATAAGACACACCTCTGTTTCCCTAATTTGTCCTCTAAAAAAAAATTTGTGTTAAATTTAAAGGCAAATTTTGAACATCTTCTTCAATAGCTTCCATGTCATGTGACCAAAAGACCTCCAATTGACCTCAAACGATAGTACTTATGTCGACCAATAAGACACACATTATTTGATACATTTTCATTGTGCCCCTAAAGTTATGTGTGCTCCTTACTATCAAGTCAAGTTTCATCTGTGGTGATCAGCATCATTCACTCAGACAGTGACTGATGCTGTTGGTTTACAGGGGACCCAGTTAAAAAGAGCAGTAACCAGGCCCATGTATACTCAAGAGCCAGTTGAGCACCCAGCAGGCCCGCTAAAGAGCAGCTGAAATACTGAGTTGTCTGAAATAGTGATTCATACACCTAACGAAATTTATCAAGTATTGTATAAAGAGCATTTCAAGCTGTGTGATGTGTTTAAATACTGTAAAGTGTGCCATTTCATCAGGGTTTGCTATGTGCTACACAACCTCACCATTAGACAAGGTGTCCCTCTGCAGGCCAGACACACCTACACCTGACATGAAGCCCTAACCACCTCCCACTTCTCTGCCAATCAGAGAAGACAGAGGGTCTTACAGAGGGTATGGGTAAGTGCTCTTGTTAAACCAAAACACTTAGGGTGCTTTTGGCAGCTAAGTAAAAACAAATGAAACCACAATAATAGTCAAAGGTATAATGTTTACTAAACTTTTTTTGAGCAGTCAAAGTAATCTAGAGGCCATTTGTAGTAATACATCGTAAACATAAAAGACCCAGCTCTTGAGAGAACTCTTTGCACTTAGCTAGACTGGTTGCTCCCAGTGCTGGAAGTGCTGATATTTTTGTCAATACTAATTTGCATTACTCTACACATCATAACAGGGTTTAGAATCAGATGGTAACTGAGATTTAATATGCTGTTAAAAGGTGATGAGAAAATTGCTCCTTTAATTGGATAAGTTAATAGTCATATTAATAATAATAGCTGATGCTGATATGATGCCTGTTTTAAAAATGCTTTTAATCAGCTCAATCAATAGCCCTATTAATTGCTGGGTCCTTCTGTAATTGAAAGCATTTCTGATAAATATGGATTTTTTTGTGCTTCTGTTTATTGTATGTCATTGGTCAGAGAGTCTCTGGCAGTTTCTACTCACTGTTGATAAATGAGAGCCATTCAGACAGCAGTAAAAATCAAACAATGTTTTTGGATAGATTATTTGTGTGTATACATTCCTCATAACTTTGATTAATTAAATCAAAGGCTTACTTACAAGTCAGGTTTTTGCCCATCCACTATCTCCCCCTTAGGGATGGGGTAGAGAGCCTCATAAACACGTTTCTCTCCTGAGCCATGGATGGCGTACGAGTTCATCTTGTCGACATTGGGAGGGAAGTAAGTCCAGGGTAGAAGAGCCTCACCCGACCATCTGTTGCTCGTAATTGTGGCATTAAACACCATGGGCAGCTGTTGCTGGAGACAGAATTTTAAGAAAAAAATTAAACATTAACTTCAAAGCACCCCCCCACACACACACACACACATACACACACTACACACACTCACATACAAACATACCATGAATGCCTGCCTGACTCCTGACAGCAACAATATCAGATGCTGTCCATGTCTAAAATGAAAAAAAAGATATAATATGACAGATTATGCCGCAGAAGGAATTCAACCATATATCCAGAGACAGAAATGCTGAATACTTACGGACAGAGCTCCACTTCCAGGTAGTTTTTGGTAGAACTATCAAGAAAGAAAGTCTCCACAACTGAGAATATTAAAAATAAATCAAGTGAAGATCAAGTTAGTCCTATGGTCTTTAAACCAGTGTAAGTAACCTGAAAACCAGCCATCATTCATGAGCTGTAAATTGAACCCTCTAGGGTCTGCAATTTTTCTTTTTCCAATTTTATTTGTTAACTATCCCCTTCCATTTTTATTGTACAATCATCAAGATGGTGGCAGCAGTACTTCACTATCCATACAGCATTGTAAAAGCCCCACTCTTTCTACTAACCTTCATAATCCCAAAGTCCAGGAAAGGGTTCACCAGGGGGACCTGCAGGTCCAGCAGGGTCATTGAAGAATGGACCAGAAACCTCCATTTTCAACCCTCCTTGCCCAGGAGAAAATACGATCCTGATGGGATCATGATCCACAGGGGTGCTGTCCCAGGTGTGTTCAATAAAGAACTGCATTTGTGTTTGAGGACTGAGGACAGAAGACAGATCAGAATAAGAAATTGTCATGGGACCAAAATCTCATAAAGCAGCAGAGACCTGTAAACTGACTTTGAGACCGACAGCAGGAAACCTGTAGGGGGGAGTGGGGTAAGATGAGCCATTTTTCATATTTCGGATCACTACATCAAGGCAAACATAGTTTTGTCTCTAACTAGTGTATCTGCATATATTTCAAGATGTTGTTCATCCCTGCAAACCAACAGAATGAGTGTAAACATAACTTTCTAGATAATATAGCATACCAAATTAAAGTGGTCTCATATGGTCAACTTACCCTGTGTATGGGGTAAATTGACCATAGGAGTGGGGTAAGTTGATCTGTATCCCTACTATACAAAAATAAATGTCTGAAATAAATGTCTAACCCCTTCATCACCCATGTGCTTCTAACCTTCACAGACTCCATGAATTGATGGCCATCTCCTAAATATTTGGTCACATGATCAATTTCTTTTACCATTTCCAAGCAACAGGTGGTGGCTCAACTTACCCCACTCTCCCCTACGAGCTGACCAACTGACTCATGCGCTCTTCTTAGCCTTAACTAGTCTGATCTGGTCTTCTGCTTTCTCTCCAAATCTTGCAGAAGTTCATATCTTATCAAATTAAAGTAAGTCCGCATCCCAGACACTCATTTAGTCTGGATGACAAAGTTCGCTCTGATGCAACGATTGACGTGATTATAAACCAGAGGGAACTTACTTGATTTTAGGATTCTTTGTAAATCGAGATGTCTTCAAATCTTGGAGAACAGCAGTTAAAAATCCATTGTTTTATTATCCAGTTCTGTCAGCAGGATAAAACCACAGTTTCGTTAGTGGTAGTTCCTTGTGCTACGTCTGCGGAACCAACGCCTTAAATAAACTACAACGTTGGCTGCATTACTTCTTGGCATACAAGCTCTAGAAAAACACACCTCTGAAGACAACGTCATACAACCTTAACACATACAATTCAAATAAAATGGAATTAATTTCCTTAGTCTCATGACTTCGTCCTCTTTATATTTCCGACTGCAGTTTTTCCAGACAAAGTGGAACTATTCTGCGCTTGTTGAACAGTCGGAAATATTTTTGCAGCGCACCGCTGCATTTCCATTAGTTCTATTGGCTGTTGGTTTGTTTGAGTGGAGACGAGGGTTTGAAAAGTAAGTCAGCCTTCCTGTTGATTATACACTTATCTGTTGTTTATTGTTGATTCAGTGAATATCTGGTAATATATTTTAGTCACATACCCCTATAGGTGGGCTGTGTTTAGTTTGATAATTACTCACAGAGGATCAAACGAAGTTTTGACACTTAACTGGCTTTTGCTAATGCTGTTTGTCTTCGATAACAAGATTTAAACCCACAAAGGTTTACGGAGGATTAGAGACAAATATTTCGATCAATACAACTGTATCATCACAAAAAATGACGCATTGGGAAAAAAGTCGTAGATGAGAGCATTGGGTTAATTTTAAAGCGACTGGCTTTTCTGTAAGGTAGCCTCTTTATTAAAACGTACTACTTTGTGGTTTGAGACACTCGATCAGAGGCAGCTGGTTCCCCAACAGAAGTGGACTTAATCTGGACACGGACTAGCACACAGACCTCCACGTTTACTGCTGTCATTTTTCAACTCTACCAGACACTGTTTTGCTTTTATATTCACAGAAAGAACCACCATGGAGGCAGAGGTTGAGTTTTTACGCGACCAAGGTAAGGATATGGGAGGTTTTGGAGGCTTTTAAGTGGAGCCCAGCACAGACAAAGGTCAGGTCAGAACTGTCCTTCAGGATGTTTTGCCACATTTTTATTCATACGGCTGTGAAACTTAGAGATGCACCGATTCGATCGGACATCGGGTGAAAAAAGAAGAACTTCCTTTAACAGGCAAAAACCTCGAGCAGATCCAGAGTGATGTTAGACAGTCATCTGCTGAGACTGAGCTGGGTTTAGAGAGGGAGATGGAGAAAGAGAGAGACAGAGGAGAGGCAGGTAGAGAGGGGTAGAGCGAGATGGAGAAAAAGAGAGAAATGGACAGAGGAGAGACTGATAGAGGGAGATAAAGAAAGAGAGAAATAGAGGGAGATGCAGAGGTGGACAGAGAAGAGACTGATAGAGGGAGATGGAGAAAATACTGTCATCTTAACTTCACCACATTACAAACATATATTTGGTGATACATCAAAGAAGGCATACAGTGTTTGGCTGTAAAGAAAGACTTGCAAAGAGTGTTTTTTCCTAGACCTTTGTAAGGAAAGCATTTTACACTTTACCGAGCCATTTTACTTGGATTGACTTAAAATAACTGGGTTCAGTGTCAGCCCTGTCACAATGTTGAAGTCTCAACAAAGCCCGAGCTGTTACCTCACACTGCATATAGGCATCGGTTTCCCCATTCAAAACATTGAAAATATGGGTTTGATTTAGTTTAAAGCATACATACTCCTATGTTCCTCACCTAATATAGCACTAGAGTTGGATATATGAACATAATGCTATATTTAAGTGATAGGCAAACCCCCATCTGAAGTGCTAGATCAAACATTTCTGCTCTCTATGACTGAGGAGGTGATGAAGTATTTCGAGGCCACAGAATGTGCACTTCTCATGAAACAAAGACTGTTAAAACTCAAAAAGAAGATTACACATTTAGGAAATCCACAAGGCACTGATACTGACCACGACATGCTTCCAATGATCTAGTTCTCAAGAGATTTGATCCTGATGATGTTATTGTGTTTTTGTGATTTAGAGGCAGGGAGCACCTTAATCCGATTCTCTGTCTTCCACTTCATCTCAGGATACTCCATGCAAAATATCATTCATGTGATTTAAAATACCAACAACTTATTGAGTCCCAATTCATGCCAGAAGCATTTTTTAAAAGCAGGGCCTTTCGGACCAAATCACCCCTGAGTTGAGAGTAATCAACAACTTTGAGCTTTGGGGTAACAGAAACATTGGTTAAAAAATAAAGCTGGTAGAACTGTTTCTGGCTTTTGGCCTCACAGTGAATTGAAGGAAAGCTCTGACCCACAGCAGTGTTTTAATTTACTGAGCTCCAGTAATTATAACCTCAACCAAGCTCTGAGCAGTGACATTATAGTTACGGTGGAGAGGAAAAACTTCCCTTTAACAGACAGAAACCATGCCAGAGACAGGACGAGACGAGAGAGGGAGGGGAGGGAGGGAGCCAGGGAGGGAGTTGAGAGGCGAGAGAGAGAGAGAGAGAGAGAGAGAGAGAGAGAGAGAGAGAGAGAGAGAGAAGAGAGAATCTAAGCAGCTCTAACTATAAGCTTCATCAAAGAGGAAAGTTTAAAGTCTACTCTTGAAAGTTGAGAGGGTGTCTGCCTCCCAAACCTGCTAGCCTGCTAGCTAGAGGGGCCTGCTAGCTGAAAGCTCTACCTCCAATACCAATTCTAGAGACTTTTGGCACAAGGAGTACATTGTTTCATTGATCTGTCATTGAATTGCTCAGTATTTGAGTCTGAGGGAAACATGTATTTCTATATCTCAACGGTTTTCTTTTTCGGTCAACAAGAACTGGTATCATCAACCTGAAGGGCCTGTTTGTGAATTCTTAGATTTCTAAAATAGTCAAGTGTTTTTAGAAAACCAGACAGATCTGAACAGCAAGGAAATGTCAGTTTATTGCAACATTGTTTGTTTGTTTTTTTAAGTTCACAGGTTAAATTCTGCTCTGAGCCAGTATCAGTCTGAGAACCAGTCTCGGTCCTCACCATCTCAGGTAAACTTTTGTAATTTACTTTGTTATTTGCTATCTCCAGAACACTTTACATTTGCATATTTGGTTCTTTAAAAAATGATTCAGCAGTTTATACAACATTGATGGAGGCCAAGAGAGGGGAGAAAAACAGAACAAGGTTTCCTGGTGAGATGTTGGGCAACCAGCGGGACTGAACTTACCATAGAGAGCACCAGGAGTCTTCCATTGACCTTGCCTTTTTTTTAAATGTCTTATAAATCCATCACAAACACACCCAGAAAGGGAAAACTACAACAAGTGCAGGCAAAGCAGGACCAGGCCGGGGCATGAAGTCTGATACAGGCTGGATTTTGTGTCCTTGTGTGATTGTTCAGTGGCATTTTGAAGACGCCAGAATATAACTGACTCGTCTGCATGTTGGTGAAAGAGTAACTGAGTACAACAGTATGTTAAATCCAGTAACTGTCCATGTATTGAGTATTGGCTGGAAAAAAGGAGAGCGGTTGAGGTCAGAGGAAGGGGGGAGGGTGGAGCAAGAGATAGGAGATGCAGTCAAATGTGTGAAAATCAGCCAAATGTTTGGATGCCTTTTTGTTATTTTATTGTCATCTTGGACAGACCGCTGTGGGAGAGATAGAACTGTGACAACAATGTGTTGACTTTGTATTGAGTGATCACGATAATTCAAGGAAGCCATTTTGTCATAGGGATTGCCGGGGCAGCTCGTGTTTTTGCTGTATGTCAGAGCAACTTTAACAAAATACCTTTGGTGTTTAAATGAACAAAACAAATAAAGACAAGGCTTTCATTGAACTGTCAATAGTGTGTAATTGTGACTGTGTGATTAAAGTACGGAGGTTATTAACGATATACACTGTCATATCCCTCAAAGGAGAGATGTGGACCCAGATTTGGCCTGAAAATCATCTCCTTTGGTACAACAGTGTTGCTGTATTCCTGCAGTAAAGGCATTCATCAAGATATTCCTTTAAACGAGCAACTCCCAAAGCTAACCCTTAGCCCAGTGGTTCTCAAGTCCAGTCCTTGAGCCCCCCACTGTCCTGCATGTTTTGGATGTTTCCCTGCTCCAACACACCTGATTCAAATGATCAGCTCGTTATCAAGCTCTGTAATGGCTTAATAACGAGCTGATCATTTGAATCAGGTGTGTTGGAGCAGGGAAACATCCAAAACATGCAGGACAGGGGGGACCAGAGGACTGGACTTGAGAACCACTGCCTTAGCCTCTGCGTATTTCTGGTTAACAGGTTGAGGAGGTCAGGTGGTCGGAGTCACTTGCACCCTGGATCTTTGATCGAAGGTCAGGCACTTAAAGAATAAACACACAATTCTTCTTGTTCAACATTAACTCATTCAGGTGATGTCTCTTTATCAGTGGCCTGGAGTGCAGATGTTATTACACGTGTAACACATTAATGATCTGTGTTTCAGTGTGATGGCTCCTCTGATCATAGAGTACGATCGGCACATAGATGAAATGACTGAACAGCTCCAGAAATACCAGGTGAAAAAAAAGAACATTAAAAGAAAGAATAAAAAGATGGTCAACTTTGGAAACGCTCATTTTGCATGTGTTTGAATCAACAGGCGCAGATGACAGATGTGAAAGTGAAGCTGGAGAGAGTTGTCAAGGAGAATGAGAGGTAGTAAAGTCTTCCTGGCGTCAATAAACCAAAGATTAAAAGAAATGGGTTGATGGTGTTTGTTCAGTATGAGTGACTGAAATCAAAAACTCTCTGTGTTTGATTATTTGATAATAAAAAATATGATAACACAAACACACATCTCCTTTTCCAGGCTGCACGCAGAGCTGAGGGAGTCAGCTGAAAGGCAGCTTAGTTCCCTCCCAGCAGCTCTGAGTGTGGAGGGCGGCACACTGGAGGAGGAGGTGATCATCAGAAATCTTCAGGAGCAGGTCCAGCTGTCTGAGCAGGTCTGTAACAGTATGTTCACAGCTTTGATGACACTCATCCTTAACGTGGAGAATAGTTTGCATTAAACTGTAGCTAGCTAACATTCGTTAGAAGAGACCTTAGAGAGACATTATATCAGTCTGGGAGATCTTTAGAGTAGTTGTGCACTATCTGCAGCTCAAAAAACTTTATCTTGTCCTGGTTTTTGTGAGAGACTCTCATTTCAACCACTGACTGAACACTTTGTTTGGCTGCTTCCCACCGATATAATGTCAGACACTGCTTGTGGGCATTGTTTTCACAAAGTTTTGTCATCGTTAAATTTTTGAAAAGTTATGCCTTTACAAAAAACACCTGAGGTCAGTCATTAGCGTCCACTCTGCTCTCTGTTTAGCCATGTTTGTATGTGTTAGCTATAGCAGTAGTTAATGCTACTTACAGTTTCACAGAATTTCAGGTTTCATTAACAAATAAAATCCAAATCCAGCTCACACTGATCTCTGTGTTCTTAGAGATGTTATCAGTGATGATGGGAAACACAGTGAGTTGCAGCTTTGTCCCCAAAACGTCCAAACTTTCCACTGTGACTGCTGTCTAAAACATAAAAATACTTAAAAGCAACTTTCTGTAACAAACTGATTAAACACAGCACATAAGTGCAGAAGAGGACCAGTTGGAAAACCACTTCCCCTGAGCTGCCAAGTGGGCCTGTCCTTAAGCATTGTCCTGGTAGCATGATATAACCTGACATTAGGTTAGTAAGCCATTCAGGAAAACACATTTGGGGACTGTTGCCATTAAAGTATCTCATGTTATGTAACTGTGCCACAGTTTCGTATGGACGTCAAACATTACATACATGTGTGTATTACATAAATGTATTTGAATATGGACCAGAATAATAGGTCTTTTTTTAAAAACGAAAAGAAAGAGAAAACAAAATTTCAGAATTTAATTTTCCCTCCGTCATTTTCTGTATTTGTTTATTCCAAAGTAAAATAGTTGTACTATAATCTGGTTTGAACAGACTTAAAGTGAAGAAAATATTCTGTCTTTTTATGTCAAAGGTGCTTTATGAGAACTTACAGAATGTATTATTCCATTTTTTCTTGGTAATTCACACTGTGTAGCCTCTATCTGACAACAGCATTGAAACAGCTGCATCCATTATCTTTTTATAGCAGTTTGCTCATTCGTAGGGTTTCTCTTTAAAAAACAAAAGTCTAAGCTTTTTTATATGGAGTGCTGACTGCTCATTTAACAAAAACAAATGTAAAAATCACATTTTTGAGCTGTTCCTTCAAACTGTTTAAATACTTTTAATGTATTTAGTTCTTCACTTTGTTCCTCTTGATGGGTCTCTTCCCTGAAATCAAGAACATTGTTGTGTCATTGTTATAGTTATATATATTTTTTTAATTCATAGCATATATAAGTGACTGTAGTCTGAAGACATAGACTGAACTTGTGTCGAACCATGCTTTTAGGAACGGCAGCAGGCCATAGAGCTGTGGCAGACTGCATCGCAGCAGCTGGACTCCCTTCAGCAGGTCTACCAGAAGACGGTCTCCGATGGACAGAGTCACGGCACTCAGAGACAGCAGCTCAAGGTTTCCAAAGATTCCTCAATTTCCTTCAGAGCCTGCAAATTTATTGACAACACAATGCTGACATTTTACCAGTAGATGGAGCCATTATCATACAAATATATCAATAACAGCAGTTTGCCTCAGTCAATGCTGACCAAGAGTGTGAAGTGATTACAAAGAAGTAACGTGTCTTGGGTTTTCTCCTGTTTCTGCTTAAGGATCAGCTCGTGGAGTTCAAGCAGCACACACACAAACTTCAAGTGGCCAATCATAGACTTGAAATGGTGAGTGAATTTGAATTAAAACTACAGATGACAGCCTCTTCATTAGCAAAGAGATAAAAGATCTGCCCTCCACTCTGAGATTAACCTTGCTTTAAGAAACTTGTTCTCAGGTAAAATGGTTTATAAATCATCGGCTTAGCAAGAACTCTGAAAATTAAGAAAAGGAGTATCAGCATTTTTTTCTTCATTGTTGTACTCGAGCCGCTCTTCTTTCTCTTGTCCCTGCTAAGATTGAGGTGTACTTACTTCCATTCAGAGTCTCGTCTAGTGCAGACTCTAATCAACTGATGTGATAACATCCAGGGTAGCATAGAGCTGTGTGTTATTTGGGTGTTTTTTATAAAACGTGCAAAGGTAGGAAGCAGGTGAGGATGTGTTTCTGTGTGTATTAAGAAAGGAAAACTGACAGCTCTGTGTTGGTGAACCTAACAGGACTAATTGATAGACATGCATGCCTGACGTTTACTCTGGATACAGTGTAGTATTTCATCAGGGAGTAACAGTATATCACTCAGATGCATATTTAATGAGGGGGGTGGGGCTTGTCCGCTCCTCTTACTGACATCAGTCACTACTTACAAAGTTTTACTCTTCCACCAAGAATAACCAGCAGAGGCTTTCTGGGGATAGATTTGAAAAAAGGAAAACGACAGGAGTGTGGTTCAGTATTTGGTTCTTGAGTAAGCTGGGACTCAGATGTTACTTGAGGTCATGCTACAACCATTGAAGTCCTGTGTCTCTTGCTACACACAGACCAACCAACACTTCCTGAAGACGGTGAGAGAACAGAACAAGGAGATGGAGGAACTACACAGCCAGCTTAGGTAAAATGAGTGATGCTAGTAGTTTACACTAAGAATATGTCTTTTTTTATCATCACTTTGGCCCCTTTTGAATGACCATTGAATTTCCCTTCGGGGATCGATAAAGTTCTTCTTATTATTATTCTTTAACTCTAAGTTCTTGCATTATACAAAGATAAAGCATCAGTTGAAAAGACATGTCTGGCAAGAACCCTGCATGTTATACTGTATGTGTTAATACAGGTGAACTGTGCGTGAAGTATTTCTTTTAGCTGTTGAAAAAAGTCTTTTAAAGGGGGTATTAGGCTTTTTTTCAGACTCTATATTTTCTCTCTGATTCCTCTTTAATAGCGTTACATGATTCTCAGATCAAAAAAGCCTCAAAATTCTCACAGCGGTGTATTAAAATCTCATTATTTTAGCCTCCATCTGAAACACTTTGTTTTAGCTGCTGTCAATTTAAGTAGAATTTTAGTAAATCTCGCACAGAAACAATCTCGCATTTTCCGAGATTTGAGCAGTTAACATTTACATTCTCAGATTATGACAAAATACTTTAAACTTGTGACACCAAACTTTGTAACTTTGCAGTTTTTGTTGTAAATGTGGAAAAGCATGATAGGCAAGAGCTGATGTGAGAACCCCACAAAAAAGATTCAGTTAAACAGCTCTTGAAGAGTCATGGTGAGAATGGCAGCACCACTTGTAACCCCCCCTTTAATTTTTATTTTTCTTTCCCCGTTCTGGTGGTGTAGGCAAGCCAAAGCTGAGCTGAAAACTTCCACAGCCAAAATAGATGAGATGACCAAATTTCTCCAGAATGTCCAGGACCAAACAAAGAAACAGGTGAGTGGAAAACCCAAACTTCATGGACTAACGCAATCAAACAGTATTTTGCATAAGAAAACAGACAGTCCATTCTACAGGGGCGGGACAGAAAGTAGTAAATGTGTTCACGCAGGTCTCAGTGAACTGTGTACACACCTTGAAGGAGGACTGAATGGGTGAAAACCAGCATTTGATTTATTTCTATACAAGAGTTGTTTGGTTGTATGTTTTTTTAATCACTTTGGGCTTAGCTTATCACTGCTGGTTTTGAAAAAAAAACAAAAAAACACTAAATAGATATATGAATGTATCACCGTGTGTCCAGGAGGAGACTGTGACAGAGGCTCAGGGCCGGGAGATTGCAGCAGAAAGGAGGGTCAGACAGCTCCAGACTGCCTTGAGCCAGCTGGAGACCAGGTAAGCTCAGAAAAGACTGATTTCTGTACCCATGTTTCCCTTCACATGTTTCTCAGACACTTCTTACAGAATATTACATGTATTCTGCAACATGAAACAAGAAGAGTTAAGCAAATTTTCTGAAGTTATTTTGAATTTGAAGAGTCCTATTTTGAAGATCCTGTAAGGAACTTATTGCTCACGTGGATTTTGGCGCCCCCCAACTGGACAAATTGGTAGATTTGTGCCATATATGTATCAGACAAAAACTGTCCATCTGTCTGACTTTGAGCATCAAAACAGAATACACACAAAAAAATACACTTAAAACTGAAGACGACATGACAATAACAACTGTATGTGAAAAATATGTCAAGATAAAACAAAATAAGATGAAGAATCTGAACCACAGAAAATGAGGATGGAAAACACTTGAAGCAACATGGTTTAGCGACACAGCTAACATTCCCCGTCCAATAAATGTTCACATTTTAATCTCTGTAAAGTGAAAGTACATTTCAGAGGCAAAATATATTCATTTTCTGTAAAAGCACTGTGTGACCCCTGATCACAAATAAGTACATCTAAAGTACATTCAGGTGAACCGAAAGTGACCAGGAGATGAACAAAAATGATTGATTTCATAGGATTAAAATGGAAACATCGCCGCACCGGAATTCTCCAGTGTTTGAATTCTCCATTTGAAAAGCTCCAAGTACAGTTTTGTCATTAACATTTGTTTGAAAGTACGTCCAGAAATGAGCACAGACTCACGACTCCTGGCAGTGGATACTCACTACTGTAACTTCCTCCTTTTTTTACATCGTAAGGCTCAAAGCTGCTTCCCAGGAGACAGAGACAGTCAGCAGAGAGCAGTCTGTGTGGGAGAAAAAAGTTGGGGAACTCCAGGCCCGTGTGTCCACCCTTGAAGAGGAAAAGTATGAAGCCCTGGCCAAAGTTCGAGAGAGTGTTCAGGTTGCTGAGGAGGCTGCATTGCAGAAGGACCAGGTATAAATAAGCGACCTCTTTTCTTCCTAGACTCTGCTCCTTCCCATTATTTTAGTCGTTTTCGCATCATTTCCAGTGTGATGGCCTACATAACCCATTAACCATTGAAAAAATGATGTTAAAAATATGTGTTTGCATATGTCCACATCTCTTCAGACCCTGCTGAGAGAAAAAAAGAAAACTGAGGAGCTGGAGAACACAAAGAGAGGCATCAAACTGTTGATCAAGAATGCTGCAGTCCGCACTAAAACAGAGGTACTTTCACAGATGGATCTAGAAATAACTATCAACCCTATGCTTTTACAATCATATATGCCTCCTGACCTTTATTTCCTAACTATAAAAGACTACCATTATGACCCAACTTTACGAGTGGAACAATCAATGCTGGGCCTTGGAGACAATATCGGTACTCCACCTGTAAATTTGCAGATTGTGAAGTTAACCGAGAGAGTGAAAATGAAGCCAGTCATGCAGCACAACGATTACATTCAATATTTCACCCAACTACAGTACTCAGTTTTGTCAAGTTTTTACCTACCATGACTCATCCTGACTGTGGAAACCTAAATATGCCAACACATATCCAGGGCTCCCATCACTGGTGATTAGACAGTCATTCAGATCCACTCCTGGAGCGTACTGCTTAGTGTTGTGTGGTTTGCAAATGATTCGTTCAAAAGAACTGAATCTATTAAGTGAACGTACTGAACCGAATCATTTCCTCAAGTGAATTATTCGTGTCTCACTCCTGTTGAGCTGTCAGCAGTGCAGCTGCCATAGTACCCATCATTGCTGGGCGAGCAGCCGGTGAGCGAGGGACCGCATGTGCCGACACCTGAATCACTTGGTGAACGAATCACGCAGTGAACTACACTCTCTGGAATCATTTTTTCCTAGAGATACACTTTCATGCGACCGTTTTTCCCCGTTGTTTTAAAAGATTTAGTTCCCAATTAAACAATCTTAAAACATTAGGCTGCTAACAAAACAGAACAGAGCTCCACAGTCCAAGCTCTTGACAGAAGCGACGGAGGGAGATAGGTATGTGTTGTGTTCAAGTGTACCTTGGAGAAAAGTAACTTTTTTTTTTTTTTAAATTGCCACCACAACAACTTGCATTAAGTGATTTGGTGAACAAATCTTTTTTAGTGAACTGATTCTAGTGATTGAGTACATCTAAAAGAACTGCCGTGCCCATCACCAGTACTGCTCTCATTACCTGAGCCTGATGGAGGAGGGGCCTGTTTGCCTCAGCTTCTCCTCCAGAAACTCTGCCCCTGCCCGGATTCTCCCAGTCTAAACTGTGTAACTTTGTCTCTAACAGGTTGATAATGTTCGTAAGCAGTACAATGTACAACTCCACCGTATGGCTGAAGAGTTGTCTGCGCTGCAGCTGGTAAGGCCCAGGATCACCTGAGGCACAATCCTCTTATCAGTACTTTTACTCCTTTTTGGTCCCTTCCTGTCAACAGTTTCTTTTTTTAATCTTTGTCTTCTCTCTCCACTTCTCTCAAGGAGTCTGCTGACAAAGAGTCTCAGATCCAAAGGTCTCTGAGAGAGAGAATCGCTGTAGAGGAGGAGCTGGAGAAGGTAACGGAAAGATTTGGACAAACAGATATGACAGTTGTCATTTAACCTGAGGAACAAGGCTGCGTGAATTTAAGTAACGAAAAATACTTGATATGCTGGTGTAGGTGTACAAAGAGGGCAGGGCAGAGCCAGAGTTCAGGAAAATCGATGCCCTTCACCAAAGATGTCTAGAGGCAGAAAGGATGGCAGAAGATATGAGACTCACTCTGCAAAGCACCCAAAACAAACTGAAAAAAGTTGAAATGGAGTAAGTATGAACGAAGGCGAATGGTTGAAACTATTCTGGGTCTCCCCCTTTATACAAATGAAAACAACATTTTAAGTACATGGAGTCTATTTTTGAATAAGCTCACTATCTTTTGGTCATCTAGCGTCACTAACTCTAACTAAGCTCTTCCACAAACCTTTTTTTCTTTCTAACCTGAGAAATCAATCTAGAGCAGTGGTTCTCAAGTCACACCTTCTCAAGTCAAGTCACACCTGATTCAAATAATCAGCTCGTTATCAAGCTCTGTAATGGCTTAATAACGAGCTCATCATTTGAATCAGGTGTGTTGGAGCAGGCAAACATCCAAAACATGCAGGACAGTGGACCTCGGGGACTGGACTTGAGAACCACTGATCTAGAGTAACAGCGAGCGTGTTTTTAACAAACAGAGCAGTAATTTGAGGTGACCAATCACAAACATGAACCCGCTGTCAGCAGAGCTTCAAATTATTTACCCTCAGAGCAAATTCTGATAGGAAACAGGCATGAGGAAGGTAAACAATCATAAAAAGAAGAGCTGAGAGAATCTTAAATAAACTTACAGAGTGAAAGAACAGATTATGACCTGTAATATCACTGTCCCGTCGTTAATCTGCTGTAACAATTCCCCGTTTTTCTCTTTAATGGACTTTCACCCTTGTGGTGCGTATGGCAGTTTTGGGTGTAATACTTCAGCATAAAAGCTCTAATGTGGGTCATTTTGGTCCCTGCTGAAGTATGATGTGGGGAAGCATAGATGATAACTTTTCTTAATATTTTTTCTAAGTGCTCCTACAGTCAAACAAAGTGTCCCACCAGTCTCTCCACCTCTCCCCTTATGATCACTCCACAGAGCTCCACAGTCCAGAACATTGATTGGTCAGTTACCAGTTTTACATAAACTGATCTCTTACTCTTTGCATAATTTTCATAACCCACAGTAGGGCTGCCAACGAATATTCTAAATTCGAATATTTGAAGAAAAAAAAAGGAGATTTGAATGTGAAAATTAATATTTCAATATTAAATAAACAGTTGGAAAAAGTGTGTGGGGGGGGGAATGAAATGGAAAAAAAAAAACAGCAGCTACTTTGCGAGAACTTAAAGGACAAGTCAGGGACAGGTCACAGGAGCTGCACCTGCAGTGAGACTTGACAAAAACCGTCTGTGGCACATGCAGAGAGAGATGGCGGGATGTTCAGAGCCAAACTCGTAAAGAGTGGACTCCAACGAACTTTAGAAGCTCTGTTTGGAAATTCTTCAGATTTTGGGCAGACACGGTAGACGGAAAAAATGCTGAGCGAGATAAAGTTATGTGCAAGCTAGCTATTCGAATATGTTCGAACCTATGTGTTATTTTTAGAACGAATATCCAAAAGTCATTTGGTGCAATTTTGACAGCCCTAACCCACAGCAGGTAACCAGTTTAGCACCACAAACTACCCTTGTTAGAAATGAACCACTTAAATTGTTGTGAGAGCCCAGAGTTAACCCCAAAGTTACCTCAATAACTGCAAATCAAGCTCTATAACATCCCCGTCTCTATAAATATGCTTATCATTTGATCTACTAACTAATCACATAAAAATAAACTATAATTGGGTTACTGTTTGTGTTCAGTTTCCATCTGTGTGTAACAACTAAACATGTATGTGTGTGTGTGTTTAATCTACTTACGTAGCTACGGTGAGGAGCTGTCAAGGTGCCAGGAGGAAGTGCGGCGTCTGCAGAGTTCTCTGTCTTCAGCGAGAGAAGACTGTGTTTGTATCAGTGAGGAAAAGCTCAGGCTGCAACAGGAAAACCTCCATCTCTGCAAGGAAACAGATGAGCTGCGCAAGAGCCTCCTGCTGGTCCAAAAAAGGGCCAAACAACAGGTGACCCAACATAGATCCAAGAAAAACACAAAGTGGCCAAAGACGTTATCAGCTAAATAATTCAGTCGCTTTTGGTAAATGGTAAAGATTGGAACCCTGATCACATGGCAGGGTTTTTGGGGCGTATAAGATTCAAGTCTAGAGCTGCTGCTGATGCTATGAAATGATTTCGATTAAAATTTTTTCTGTTTTCTTTGTAAAAGGTAGCTAATCTGAGGAACACAGGGTACTCTAAAACAGACCTCTTCTCTGCTGTCCTCAACGTAGGTGTCACAGATGGAGCATAAGCACAGTCTGAAGGAACAGGAACTTGAGGCGAGGTTGCAGGAGCTGGAGGAGTGCAGCCGAAGCTCTAGTGCTGATATGGAGCGCCTCCTTACGACCCATCGGAAAAGTACCCAACACTGGAAGGAGGCCAAGAACCTGGTCCAGGCCTCTGAGACCAAAATCACCAGCCTCAAGTAAGAACTTTAAAAGGCAGAGCTAACTCAGTGGGTTATTGACAGCTCAAACTCTCAATGAATAAGAAACATCAATGAAAGAGACACCAAACTGAGGCCCTGTTGACGTGGACCTGCTCCATGTAAATACTGTCAAATAAGAGACTGAGCCATGTTAAGATGGAGAGGGGCGGTGTTTGAAGTTTGTTTTTTTGGGTCCATGCAAACACTTGATTTGTTTCCGTGTTTCTGATTGGGGTAAAATGATCCTCTATGTGTAGATCTGCCCAACAGTATGTTCCAGGAGCATGAAATCAGTTTGCCCACTCAGCTTCGTTGGTCACCAGTTGACTTAGGTCTTCAATCCAGACACCTTCTACACTAGATGAAACCGCAATCACAACACATGAAAGATGGTGGCAGAAATGCATCCGTTGGTTTTTTGTGGAAACGCATCATCTCCATGTTTATACATTACTGTAGAGGCGTGTGCTGCCGAACTCATTAAAGGGAGCATTTTTACTATCAAAACAGAAACATGATTCAAACATCAGAGGGGTGTGCAAGGTTAACTGAATAAACAATCAGTGTCGTTTGCTGTTACCAGAATAGTTGAGAAGTTTCTCGTCTTAAACAGACATGCATTGTCAACATTTTGATGACGGTAGGCCTGAAATGTATCTCTACTGTAGTGCACAGGAATTCAAAACCTTCATCAGACAGACTTTTGTCATTACATTTATAGAAAAGCTTTTATGAATGACGCCAATCTAACAGACACAAAACTCAGTAGAGAAAAAGGTACGGTTGCATAAAGAAAAAATGATTTTTTTTTACTCTCCTTTGCAGTTTAGATTTTCTATTGCATTTAGATGAAATCAGAATGCTGATCACTTGCACTACAGTATAGTATAATACAAGAACTTTATTTACCCCCAAAGGGAAATTCATTTGTCCGAAGTGGAATTAATTTTCTTCTCTGGTAGGACAGTTAACAAACTGTGTAAATCCAGTCAGGTGAGAGGAGAGCGACATGGTTGAAGTCTCCTGATATCATTACAAGTGCCTCAGGGTGTTGAGTCTCTATCCTAGCAACAGTATTATGGAGAATACATGTATACAGGTATTGTTAGATTTGACTGTCCAAGTCCCTTGGAACATAATATGGCCTAAGAGCAACTGCTGACAATTAAACATCTGGACATCATATCTTCTCCTTGACAGTTGTGAGTGAAGAGTTACACCATCTCTGATTAACAAATAAAGCCAGACCTCCTCCTTTCTTCTTGCCACTAGCTTGAGCATCTCTGTCTGACCTTGTGAGAGTGAAGCCAGGTAGACCCACACTAGAGTCTGAGTTGTTTTGATTCAACCAGGTTTCAGTAAAACACGGGAGACTGCTCTCATGGTATGCTTTCTCAGTCTTCACCAATAATTCCGGCTCATTGCTTTTGTTGGGCAGAGGGTTGATGTTTCCCATGATGACTGGCGGAAGAAAGGGTTTATATCTCAATTTCCTAGCCTTCAACTTTGCCTTCACCTCTACACCTTCAGATGTCCAGATTTGCATCTCGGTGAAAGAAGCACTTATCTTGAATAAACTCTTCTCACAGCAGAAATATCCATCAGCAGCTGAAAAAAACACAATGAAAATATTTAAAAAGAAAAATAAAGAATATGGCAAAAAATTGCAGAAAATTCAGACAGACCAGACTTTGCTGCTCTTTAGTGGAGCACAGCTTCCACCGCCTCAGTCACAAGTGCAACAGCAACAAGTGCTCAACAAAGTAATGCAAATATTTGTGTTTGAAGAAACTGAAACTCTATCTGGACATGTTATTTAGGCCTAACAAGCTGTTAAAAGCTGACTGAGACAGGAAAGGACCAAGATGCATACTCACAATAACTTTTTAGAACTGTACAACAAATGCAAACATGATTCAAATGAAACTGAAGCTGTGTCAGTATTTTTTAACTTAGGGGGCTAAATTGTCATTTGTGTTTCAGAGCAGAGCTAAAGCGTCAGAGGCAACACTCCCACAAGCTACAGATGGACCTCGAAACTGACCATAATATTGTCGCAGAGGTTTGTGGAACATGCATGTGCACCCACACTATGTGCCCGTGGTGTTTAGAGCGACTGAGAGATGAGTCAGTCAGTCACTATACATTCAGATTTATGAGAAAACAGTTTTAATCATCTGTTCAAATTAGTGACTTATTTCCTAATCCTGTGCTCAGCAACATGTTTTCAAGCTGCAGGGGTGAATCCTTGCTGAATGTTTTAGGGCTCTGCTTTATTTGAGGGGTCACAAACATAATAAAGTCATGGAGAAGAAATGCTGGGTTAATCATGGTTTTAATACCTGGAATTCAACAGATAAGTCATTTTTTTCTGTCCAATCTTTTAAACTGCACACATACCTATAAGGCTTTGCCGATATTTTGAAGTATGTAAGACATCAAACTGAGTAAATGGTACACTACTCCATTTCAACAAGAGTTGGATAGCCGTGTTGACTGAAGTTTTGTACAACACCAGGTTGCAGAAAAAGTTGGTGGAGGCACTCAAGACTGAAAAAAAGAGAATCACAATTTTGATACAACTCAGTGTTTGCCCCAGAAATGATGAAATTGTACATCAAACACCAAGGGAACATCTCACTGAAAACCAGGTTAACATCATAGTGGGGCATAAAGACAACATCCCAGAAAGGCTGACTCTCCCTTAGGTAAAAATGAGGAGGGGCGCTAAACTCTGCTAGGTGCTAGAACAGCACCTATCTTCATCAACAGTATATATAGGGTCCCAGCCATAGCGCTAACAACCAAACATCTTTGTAACTTTGGCTAATTTCTTTAGCAAAGAGACTAAACACAGCTCACCTGCTCTCTTCCAGCAGCCGCTTGTTTGTAGGGGGCCCTTAGGCCAGTCCATTACGGACTGCTGCGGGATGACGCAGCTCAAGGAAGAACATTTATGATCATTACTTTATCGTCTTCATTTTGCACTGACGAGGTAGTTCTGCCTTGGCGTCTTGTCTGATAGCATTTCCATTAAGTAATAATCTTAAATGTTCTTCCTTGAGCTGCGTCACCCCGCAGTCCATAATGGACTGGCCTGAGGTCTCCTTACAAACAAGCAGCTGCTGGAAGAGAGTAGGTGAGTCATGTTTGGTCTCTTTGCTAAAGAAATTAGGCAAAGTTAAAAAGATGTCCAGTGGCTAGTGCTGTGGCGAGGACCCTGTATGGCTCCTCACACCGCTGTGTATTGCTATCCTGCTGTCGTTATTAAAGTTGGTATAACTAGAGAAGCAAGCAGTCTCTAACATTCATCTCTTGAGGGGGTGTCTAACTCTGTGTTACAGTGTGTTTGGCCCTAAATTAATTTTACGCCGGAATATCCCTTTAATACAGAGACAGCAAAGTGGCATTATTAATAATGACAGGTCCTTCATACAGCAGGGTTGGGGTCATTATTCTGTGTGTACCCTCAGTAGGTTTAGAATAACCACCTGCTGTACGTTTGTTTGTCCAGTATGAGAGGCAGCTCGCAGAGTGTCAGGAGGAGAGGGGTCGACTCCAGAATCACCTGACACACGCTGAACGTAAGGCCGCTACAGCTTCACAGCAGGTATGGCTGATACAACACAAGTGAGGTGATGAAGGTGTGTATCTGACATGTTTAGGTCACATCCTGTGTTTTATTGTCTCAAACAGCTGAGTCTATTGACGTCTCAAAGAAGGAAAACAGCCACGGTTCCCAAGACAGCTGTGCCGCAGTAGAAATGATGAAGAGACCTGTCCTTGTGTGTTTAAAACATTTGTAGTTTTCTTTTTGATAATGTGAGATGCTAAATTCAGCCAAAGACTTTGGACTCCAGTTTGTTTAGTCTTGAAGAAATGAAGTTAAAACATTTTTGTGATCTGTCCAGCCATTTTACTGAAAGTTTTCTATATTATTCAGAACAATAAAATGATTTTTTTACTGATGTAAAAAAAGCGTGTTTTTTGTAAATGTAAATAAACACCTTTGAAATTACGTCTTCATTCACAGTGTCTGTAAAGATTAGACATTCAATGAGAAGTCATTGTACGAATGGTAAACATATGAGCAGCAGTTGACACAGGTCAGCTCTGCCCCTTCAGTGTTAAACCCACTGTAGAGCCAGGACACTCAGTATGCCACTGTTATTCCGCTCACTCCGAAGGACTGTGACTCAAGTCCTCATCTTGGTTTAAGTGTGCACTCTACCAAGACGTTTTTCAGCTCTTCACTTCGCCATTAGAAAGCACATTTGATTTTGCATTTGTATTTCCTGATCTTGAAGCACTTTGATTGGCTTTTTGACACACAAAGAGACAAAAATACAAACAGTGAGTGACACTGACATGTTTATTTCACACATATGGACACCTTTATGAACCTGAATAGAGGAAAAATGTGCTCTAAAGGGAAAAAGCAGAGAAACTTCTGTGCAAACGAGGTCTGATCCCACGTTCTATGATCTCTACAAGAAGATGTTATTGGACTCTTTAATACTTCATGGATGCCCCTGCATTGCTGAGGAAAAAGCCATGCAAGGTTAGATGTTAGAGAGCATTCACAGAAGCTTCATAGCCCCAAGGGTTGCTGCCAGAAATGGTACTTTTAAGTTCTGGATCTGCCTGATGGTATAACAGTATTTTACCCAGAGGGTTAGGAGTACAGGGTTGCTGACCTGCCGCACTGGTTATCTGTGCAGCAAGAAGCATCAGTATCTCTTCATACTATAAAAGTCAAGAGGTCACTGGGACAATTCACACTGGACTCGTCTTTCTCCCATAAACCAGTTTGGAAAGTGATTTAAATGATCAAAATGTACCATTCGTCACTGCTTTTATGTAAAACAATGAACTCTAAGCTAATGCTAACTCTAAGCTAATGAATGGTGAGTTTAAGTGAATATTTCTTTTACACTGTCAAAACTGAAAACACTAAAAAGGAAATGAATTCTCCACATGGTTGCATGAAGTCTTACCTCAGCAGACATGCACTCCATTAAAGTGACACAGAAATGCAGGATGAGCACAGCAGGGATAATAGGTTTTTGCTGTTGGTAGTGTCACTACCTGGTAAGTGCCGAGTTACCCATGTGGTGTCACAACACCCCTGTCCAGCAGTCCTTATTGGGGACGAGGTTTAGAGGAGGCACTGTGTGATAATCAGTGATTCAGGGTGATGGACCATAGCTTGTCCTTAGCTCTGCCCTGAGTCATGTTTAATTCATGTTTTTGTAAAAGCTAGATGCAACGCACTTAGTCTAGAAGTCATGCAGTTTTCTCTTCACCCCATTATCTCTCCATTTTCTTTTTATTCATCTTCTCAGAAAAGTGCCTGTTTTTATCGATGGATCCCGATTCTTATTCCAATATTTCTCCTGGAAACTTGCATCTTTAGCAACATCTGCACCTATAGTTTAATCACGCAATGTGCACGTATTCAGGAACTTTTGTATCATACTGAATGATATATACACAAATTATTTATCTGCACTATGTCCGCGATGTATTTATTTTTAACCTTGAGTAATAAAATCTTTATGGACTTTTTTTTATTCTTCCAGGCTTGCTGTGAGTTTACAGAAAGGGAGAGCTTTTAGAAGTCAGAGGGAGGTTTATGGGCAAGAAAACAAGTAACAAAGGACAATGATTCAAGGACAATAAAGACTTTATCACTCCTGCAGCAAATCAGCACCAAATTACTCATTGTAGAACAATCAATCTTTATTTATATGGTGCCAATTCACAACAAGAGTTTACTCAAGATGCTTTACAAAAAAGACCAGACTCTATTTACAAAGACCTGATGTAAAGATGGGATCAGACTGAGCTCCATCTTGTAAGATCAGACCCACTCCCATCCCATCTTCAACCCCATGAGTGAAACACTTCACAGCATCTATCAAGTGACAGTGGAGAGGAAGTACTTCTTTTAACAGGCAGAAACCTCGAGCAGAACCAGACTGATGTTAGACAGTCGTCTGCTGAGTCTGAGCAGGGTTTAGAGAGGGGAGAGAGGAGAGACTGATTCTTGTAGTTGGAGCAGCTGGAAAGCAGTCAGGTCCACAGCAGCAGGATGTCTGTAGCAGTAACTCAGAGGAACGTACATAAATATGGAGCTCAGAGACTCCCAGTAAAGACTGCGTATTGGTGACTCTAATGGGACATGATGATTCAGAGTTAATGACAGACAGAAAGAGGATGGTGGGGTAGGGGGAAGTCGCCAGTTTGCTAGTACACCGGCAGTCGAAACCTAGAGCAGCATAACTAAGAACAGGTCTAATTCTGAAACAGCTCCAAGGAAAAACGGTATCAAAGAGGAACATTTCGAGCCAACTCTTGAAGGTAAAAAGGTTTTCCAGTGGAAAGGGGCCTCATAACTGAAAGCTCTTCCACACAGACCGCCCAACTATAACTAAGGGTCTCACAAATGAGGAAATAGTTGTGCACGAATTTCCATCCTGTAAAGCCTCTCATAGTCTGGTCATACCACCAAAATGCCAATCTGCCTTGATAACACCTGGCAAATGGTTTATTGTTGTGCACCAAAACACTCATGTTATTGAAGTCCTAATAACCCTAAATAAAAGTGTCCAACTAAAAATATGTCTTCCACTGAAATGACTGTCTTGTTCACGACAAATTCACTTATATAAACGTATTAATCCACCCTGGTTCCCTTTTCTAAAGTTGCCTCCTCATCATACTCAGTAAATAAAATACAGCACTCAACCACAGGACAGGATAGGCTACACCTTAAAAATAACAGCCGTCTGCTGAGATACAAAAGTTCTACTCCCATTGAGTAGAAAGTGAAAAAAGTAGCTCAAGAAGAAAAAATATCTTCTGTCCTGAAGTGGAGGCTGTGGCTTTAGTTTAGTCTGGAGATAAAGGTCCAATCTCAGGTTCCCAGGAGTTCTTGGACAAGACACCTGACCCCACACTCTCAAGCTGACTTTACTCAGTAGTAAATGAATGAGATTAGTCAAAAACTGATAGAGGAAACAGTAAAGGAGGGAGAATGAAGAAAACCACACACATAAGTCTTGCCTTTTCTCATTTGTATTGAGTTATATACCGGTGCAAACTGCAATAAGAGAATGTACATGTTTCAAAGCATCAACATGTTCACAAAGACAGTTTCCAGACCCCAGTCACCATAACAAATGTGTCTTTTCAACTTATCTACCACTGAACACATGTATTAAGCACTGTGTTTTCACCTTCACCTCTCACTTATTACTAATTCACTTATTCATTGAGATGGCGGCACAGCAACAAGGTGTCCTCACATAAGCTTACACATCATCAGAGGAAGCCGAAACACTTCAACAGCAAACAAGAATCAAGTACACGTCTTCCTGATATCACAATAATACAAGGAGAAATATTACTGACATGTATCCTCAGCGCAACAATGTTACGTAAATGGTAGTTAGGGAAATGACAGATCACTGAGCAATCAGACAATCAGGATTTTCATAATGATTGTTTCCTTTTTATTACTGCCTGTATAAATGCAAAAGAGAATTTGTGTAGTTAAACAATAAACAGACATGATATACTACTGCCTTGTGTGGTGTGGACTCCATGATAGTGCCAAATGCTCAGAAATCACAATGATAGCAGGTCTACCATGTCTGAGAGGACAGCACAGCTTAGATTTGACATGTAGTCCTTAAAAAAGAACAACAGTAAAAGAAATCAGAGTCATGCAGTAAGTCTGAGTGAGGCTTTCCTAAAACAGTGATGTAGCTGTCTGTATTGGTTACATATTCACTCCAACAAACAAATGTTCTGTTGTTTGATTGTTTTCTTCTTCATCAGAAGTCCCCATACCTATACCAAGAGAAAAAGACAGAAATCAAATATAAACATGATGAACTGGATATTTAAAGGACTCCACCAAACCAAGTCCTCCAACAAGAACAGATTACTTCCTATTACACAAACAAGAAAAGTAAAGGTTGACTACCTGTGCATTTCTTTTTGTCGAGAGTTTTAGGGTTACATTATGTAGAAATGGGAATATTTAGCTGTTTCTGATGGACATTTTCTAAAACGAATTAGCCCCAAACTTACAAACTGTCAGTGAAGTGATATTTAAGGACAAGAAGTTCCTGTGATGCATGAAAAGTCCAAGTTTTTACTTTCAATAATACCTTTCAATACAGATTATATGAAGCACAAAAACAATCACTGTATGCTTGTTTTTCAAATGATGTGTCTCTACTGACTCAATATAAAAATCATAAATATTACTACAAACCCCATTTCCAATGTAGTCTAGATGTTGAATAAAAACAGAAAACAATCATTTGCAAATCCTTTGTTCACCAATATTCAACTGACTACACCACAAAGAAGAGATATTCAAGTTCAAACTGACAAATTTGATTGTTTTTTTTTTTATATTTACCAATATTTACTTATATTGAAATATTTTCCAATTTTGAATTTGATGTCTGCAACACATATTTGAAAAGTTGGGACAGGATCAACAAAAGTCTAGAAACCTGTTTCAATGATTCAACAGGTGAACAGATTCATTGGACACGGGTCAGGGTCATGATTGGGTATCAAAGGAGCATCCCTGAATGGCTCAGTCCTTCACAAGTATAGATTCACCACTTTGTCAACAACTGTGTGAGCAAATAGACAAACAATTTAAGAGCAATGTTTCTCAACGTACAACTGCAGGAATTTAGAGATTTGATCATTTACAGTCCATAAAATCATCCAAAGATTCAGAGAATCAGAGAAATCTGCACGTAAGCAGCAAGACCCAAAACCAGTGCTGAATGATCATGACCTTTGACCCCTCAGGTGGTGCTGCATTAAAAACCCACATCATTCTGTAAAGGACTTGACCACGTACGCTCAGGAGGACTTCAGAAAACCAACATCTACAGGCTAAAACTTTACCATGTAAAGACAAAGACAGATATCAACAACAGCTTCTCTGGACAAGAGCTCATCTGAGATGGACAAACCCAAAGTGACCCCAAAAGTCTGCTGTAGTCTGAGGAGTCCACATTTCACATAGTTTTTGGATGTCATGGACACGGTGTCCTCTGGACTAAAGAGGAAAAGGAACATCCAGACTGTTCTAAGGTCAAAGCCAGTCTCTGTGGTGGTCTGGGGGGGTGTTAGTGCCCATGGTTGACTGTCACATCTGTGAAGACTCTTTTTTGTTTTTGGAGCAACATTTGGTGCCATCATGCAGAGCCCCATCTTTTTCAGGGACGTGCTGATTTCAGCAAGACAACATTATGACACATTCTTCACGAACGTGGCCTGCATGTGCAGTCCAGACCTGTGTACCACTGAAAATGTGTGGAGGATTATTAACAGGAAAATACCACACAAGAGACTCCGGAGTGTTGAACAACTGAAGTGGTCCATCAATCAAGACTGTGAAAGAATTCATTTGAATTTCAGTGGAAAAGGATTTCCAAATCTTTGTAGTTTGTTTTTATTCATGTTTTGCACAACGTCCAAACTTTATTGGAGTTGGTGTTTATACTTCTAAGCAAATGTGTGAGTCCACATTAGTTCATAGCTACATTAGTACTTTTGACAATATTGTGCAGCTATTGGTTTCAAATTAAAATCCTGCAGATAGAGTCCACACGGTTACTAGATTTAGATTATACACAGCACTCACTCTGTATCATCAGCACCAGTGTTGTTATAGCTCTGGAACAATGGCTGGAAGAAGAGCCCTAGAGTTCCCACCACAGAGACCAGGATGAAGATCCACAGGAACAGGCGGTCAATCACCATGGCAACATATTTCCAATCTTCTATAACCTGAAAGTCAAGCATGAGTTAAGGCTGTTAGAGGTTGATAGGAGTGTTGATACGACTCTTTTCACCAGTCTTCATACAGAAAACAGGTGCAGATTAAAACTTGTGCCATTAAGTTCTTGAGATAAAACTCAGCTTGCCTTTGAATATGTTTACAAAATCCATACAGGTGGCTCTCTTTACTACTATAAGTTTGTGAGAGGGACCTTTATTGTTGTCCACACAAAAATAAGTTTACAGCCATGGCTGTAGCTCCTCACCCCTTCATTACCCTCTTCTGTCTTCATCTGTTCAGTAATGTATTTGACTCCTTCAACAGCCTCCTGCAGGTCTCTCTCCCACTGAACTGCCATGTGCCTCTGAGAGTCTGGAAACCCACAACTATCTTGACCAGTCTTCCAGCCGAACCTGTGTGCCAAGTCTTCATTCACATAGAAAGAATCAGAGTCTGTCGGGATCCCTCCAAGTCTGTTGCTGGAGTATTGCTTCTTTTCTGTGCCACTCCGAGGAGTGGTTTTTGTTGGGGGCCTTTGTGGGACCTCTTTACAGTGGACGGAGCCTGGACGCCCCATGAAGAGAAATGTGGGCAAGCGGACTAAGAAAATGTGTTTAACCCAAGCAGGCATGTGGTGGGTGGATGGGGAGCGGTGGTAGACGTTGAGGACACAGACTGTGGTCACAATGGAGAAAGTAACCAGCACCATGGTGAACATCAGGTATTTACCTGAGCAAGCGTGAAGAAAGAGAGACAAATCAAAAATCTGCCAGGATAATACTTTTGATTTTTGTTACTGATATATATAGTTATAGATAGATAGATAGATAGATAGATAGATAGATAGATAGATAGATAGATAGATAGATAGATAGATAGATAGATAGATAGATAGATAGATAGATAGATAGATAGATAGATAGATAGATATTATTCCATCATCACCAGTCTGAAATGAACATTCATTCATTTGAATGTATTAAAGTCTCTTGTACACTATGCTCTGTCATTGGCCATTGGCTGGGGTAACCATCCTAACTCTCCTCCTAGAAATGTCCGGAGGCATCAAAATACACACAGAAGAGAGGGACTCAGTACACAGAAATAAGTTTTTCAGGGATATTCTGCAGAATCTACCTTTGAATCAAATTTACCATACATGCAGAGAACAACTAAAGCTCACTTTTTATACTTATTATTGGTGTGATCAACCCTGCACCTTTTCCTCATTTTCAACCAAACATTAAAAAGCTCTTTTTGTGCCACTGTATCAATGTGTACTTCAAAATGTTCAAACTAAATGATTGTCAGCTGTAATCTGAAAGCGTAAAACAATATTGTCATATGTTAATGAGCAATAGTTCTGAAGCCTGTTGGGAGAGAGGGGTTTCTAAAAAACCAAAGTAATGAAAACAAAAGCTGTCACTTTTTCACTTCATCTTTTTCCCTCAGCTGTCTTTTATTGTGACATTATTCATATAAAAATACCAGACATAACTGCTTATTTGTTTTCTTTAAAAATGCCCCCGTGTTGCAGTAGCCTTGGTAGTTAGCACACTAGCATTTAACTATAAGATTGCAAAAGAAAAGTAGAAAATATCGGGTGATGACACTAAATCATAAAGACATCAGGGTTTTTCTTGCTCTAAATGGGTCTGAGGTGGTATGAAACATCATTTTGGAATATCAATAATATAAACCTGTAAATTATAAATGTGCAAAATAAGCTCAGTTTGTTCATTTACTTATAAGAGGAAAGTTGTCAATAATACATTTTGTCAAAATGGGGTCTGGAGTATTCAGCATCAGATACCTTGGTTCTTGTATTTTTAGGGCACATTTCTGCATCAATTCATTCATTTCATTATTAAATGTCAACTGCATACATCCTGCAGGTTTGCACCATGGACTGATGCCACTCAGTATTGTCCTAGTATAACACTACTAAGATGTGACTGTCTGACATATTTCGACATAAACATGAAGGATACTTTCATATAAGTCTTAACTTATTCAAAGAGTACAAAACTTTAGAGGTGCTGACAGGGCAGAGGCAGAGAAAAGAAGATTGAATGTGTAAAAAAAAATGAAAGAGACAAGACAAGCAACTGTGACCGCAACATGGCAAAGTGTCTCTGGAACTGGAGTAAGAAGTGGCAATGAAGATGACCATAATTTCACACTGCTGCTCTTAGTTTTCAAATCTATTAAGAACCCCAGCAGAAAAAACAAACACAAATGTAAAAACTCTATGTACATGAAGATGTTAAGCTCAGTGTGGTTTATAACTGTGAGGCAGTAGAATGTCACGACTCAACCAGGTGGTCATGCTTTGCATCTGAGTCTCATCTCACCCTGTCAAGATTCAATTCAGAATTTAGCTGGAAGCTTTGCATATTAGGAACGAATGGTAAGGGAGCCACATTTGCACAGTCTGCACTCAGTGTTTACATACCTATGAGCGGCACTGCAAAGGAGGTGGGTGGCACAATCTTCGATATCAGCAGCAAGAACACAGTTAGTGCAAGCAGCACTGAGACACACAGCGTCATCCTTTCCCTGCAGTCTGACGGCAGGTAGAACACAAGGATCGCCAGGGAAGTGATGAGCACACATGGGATGATCATGTTCAGAGTGTAGAACAGGGGTTTCCTCTGAATGACAAAATCATAGGTTATATCCAGGTAGGTGATGTCATTGGGATCTTCATTTTTGCGTGCTGGGAGCGAGACAATGTCCCACTCTCCACTTGGTGTGTAGTCATCACGGCTGGCAAAATCACTGGTGAGAACTAGATCCACTTCTGTGTGGTCATAGGTCCAAGAGCGGAACTTGAGAGTGCAATTCTGTTTGTCGAAGGGGAAGTCCTCCACCTCAATGGCACAGGCGGACTTGTAGATAGCTGGGGGAAGCCAAAAGATGTCTCCAGTGTTGGAGACCACAGCATTGCAATAGAAGGAAACTTCGTACACGCCATCAGCACTGCAAATGTTTGTAGGTGTGAGTACAAATTAAAGGTCTACAGTCACCTTTTAGCAAAGACAAGCACTGAAGGCCTTTTTTTCTTGATTGGACAAGCTCTTTATTACAATTACCCACAGTTAGGGCTGGGCGATAAAACAATAATGATATTTATCAAACTTTAATTTCCCTCAATATCAGTATAAAACAAGGTCAATATGCTTTTTGATACTCGGCATTCTGCAATGTTTTGGTAAACTATACGAATAACCAATGAAAAGGGGAGTAGCTCTGGATCCGCTTACCATAGCCGACATCGTCGACAACACTGGCACAAAAACATCAGTGGTGTGGAGATATTTTGTTTTTTTGAGGTCCGACATGAAACAGAGTAATGTGTACTGCAAATTATGTCAAGTACGTGTTCTTGCAAAGTCAGGGAATACCTCAAATCTTTTTCACCACCTAAAGCAGTGCCACACATCAGAGCATGCACAATGTAAAAGGTTACAAACATCGAGTGGAGCAAGAAGCCCGTGGCACCTGTGCAGCCAAAAAAGCCGACCATTCAGTCCGCTTTCTCTCGCACAACGTTTTACGACAAAATGCCGAAGAGACACAAAGAACTCACAGATGCAGTAGCTAATTGTTTTGCAAAAGACATGCTACCAGTAAGAACTGTTAAATTTAATCTTTTTTATCATGATATACTTGATATCAACTGATATGAAAAATATATATATTGTGATAAACTTTTTCTCATATCGCCCAGCCCTACCCACAATGATATTTAAGTCAGATGCCAAAAAGAACAGAAAAACCTTGTCACAGCCCAGAGTTAACCCAGCTAACCATCAGAGGCTTTTAAGCTAACTACGGACAGTTAATATGGAGTCTATATCTACACCAATCTCCTAAACTGATCTTTGAAATGGTGTGGCATGCGGGCACTTACTTGTTGTAGAGCACTATATCAGGTAGCCAGATGTGTTTGGATGGTATTCTTAGTTTTTTGATACCCCCGTACTTGTCTGGGTCCCATCTCAACCTGTAGTCATTCCACTCCTGCAGAGTGAGCTTTTATACACTCTTTGTTCACAAACACAAGCATAAACTGTATGTCAAACTCTGTACGTGCAAAATTTAGAGTTTACCTGACACAGCCATACGTTGGTGGTCATTATCTGTTCTCTCTCATTCTGAAAGAAAAAAAAAACGAGCCAAAAACACAATGAGGATCTGTTTGTTGTATCAACCATCTATATTTATGGGTTTTTCCTGAAGTGCTTTACTGTTTATGATAATACTTACTACACTGATGAGCTGAGAAAGAGACACCTGTATAGAGATGGTGACCTGCTGGCTTTTATTGACTGCTGGTCTGATCAGTTTGTTGTAGCGCTCTGGACCCAGCAGGTGGTTCACCAGCCGCTCCTCTGCGTTCTCCGCCCAGCTGCCTACAGACGAGACAACCATTTAAAAACAGCACATTTTTAGTGTCGAGGTTTCATAGAGGGAGAAAATTAGCCAAAAGGTGCTAACACTTCAAGTATGTTCATCTCTTGAAGGAAATATGCCTTTTTATCAACACCAGGTCTGTTAACAGGACCTGAGGATAACCTGAGGTTATTATGGACACCCGCCTCTTTTCTATTACATTAATGATTGAAAATACAGTGCTGAGAAAGACAAAACATGACAGAAGGGAAGGCAAAGTGACTGAGACTGTGGACATAGATGTGAAATAAAAATGGGCCGTTTGTTTACAGAGGCTGGAGTCACTCTTTGTAACTGTGTGGTCTGTTGGTGTGGTACTTCTTTTTTGGCGGTTATGGCAGCGTTGTTTTTTTTTTCTTTGCCCAGGACTGATTTGGACAGAGCACCACCACTAAATCATCAGCATAATGCTGTAAATGCAGATAATAAACCAAAGTGCTGTACACAGAAAACACTGATGAAAACACTGTCGATTATCAGGTTGAGGCTGCTGCCTTGTAGCTCAGTATACAGGAAAAGCCTTGTAATGTTAAGTATCTACATTTTAATTTTCTATTATTTTAATGGCTCCTGTGTCACGCACTGATTTTGCATGAAGGCTTTATAATCTGAACTCACCGAAGAAGATCTCAGGGCATGAAAGCCCATCCCATCCTTGGTGAATAGTTTGTCTTTGCACCCACAAATACAGGTGAAATCTGTACCTCACTGAGGCCAAATATAAAAATGATTTAGAAATGGATCATCTTGGTTTATAATGGTTTATATGAAGTGCTACAAAGATATGTTGTTAGGATAGTTGAGTTGTTGGCCTTAAAAGGACTAAACATGAGCCACAAAACAACCATGAGCTCTGTACTCTGTACTCGCTTAAAAATCCATATAAACAAATTTTAAAAACAGTCAATATTTTCTTCAAAATTCATTTTCTTCAACATGCACACATGATGGGGTTTCACTCCTGCTCCAGCTGACACACACCCTCCTCCCACTGGTATAGGAGTCATCTTTTACCAATGTTGTGTGACAGAAGATGAATCTCATTTTCTCATTCTTGTCAAATTGGTAAGGAAGTATTTTTCTCCTTAAAGCGTGAAAACAGCTCAGAGCCCACTGGTTTCCATGTGTTGATCAGCAGGGGCGTATCCAGACTTTTTGATATGGCCTACACAACTGGGGCACTGATCCAGGGTATCCATACGTACATACAGATTTGATATTTATGCCCTCTAGCTTTACAATCTACTTTGATAGTTATATTTTAAGAGTTTTACAGAGATTTTATTCCTGAATATGGTTTTAGTATCATAATGCACCACATGCAAATGCATTTACATACAGTATATTTGATTTGAATAGTATTTCCTATCCAATTACTCCATAAATCACCAGAAAAATTGGTGGAATACTTGATTATTAAAATATTTGATTACTGCAGCCCTACTAAAGTTGCCCTTGTCAGACATAATGTCCCCGGGCTTGGACAGCAATGACATAGATGGATAGTAATAATAAGTCTTTTTATCAGATTAACAGTTTACAGTTTGGTTCAAAGTGAAGGCCTGCTTCACAAAGGTATGTTGGAAAAAGGCGTAAAATGAAATTCGGCCTATTTCATAAATGTCAGAAATCTTCTCACAGGAGCTTTAATAATTCATGATGGCAGGATGGAAGTCCAAAAGTTCCTTTGGCAATATTTTACCGAGCCAAATATTTTTCTGTCTAATTTTATTATTAAAATGCTCACTGTAGCAATGCTTTTTTTTTCTTACAGAGAAACAAGAACAAAAAAAGGAAAATCATACAAAGATATCAGCACTAAATATCAGCTGTAGGCCAACTGCTCTTTCAATACAGGTATCAGAATCTGCTGTTGAAAAACTGAAACGGTCTTCCACTCATGTTTTCTCTCTGAAATGTGATCCAAATGTTTAGAGTACAACACAAAGTAATATTTATCTTTAGCACATTACCCACTAAGCAATAGATGGCTATTAGACGTCTAGTTTTTTCTCTTTTTTTGGACCTAATTTCAACCATCTAGATTCTGTATTTTTTTAGACAGAATTTAGATGTTGCACTTTAACCCATTATTTGATAACTATTTATTTCAAAAAACAACTGTGAGTTGCATAACTGATCTCCAAATACTTAACCAAATTATTATGATAGCCATTGAGTAAAAAATGCTCAGGTGGCTGTTCGACCTCTGTTAGCAGGCTAATCTACACTTGGTCTAAATGTAAAGTCTAAAAAACGTTCATTTTTAGACCTGTGGTAGCCTGATTTTAGACCAGTCGTCTAGGCTACATTTAGACATCTATTAGACCTCTTTTAGACCGAAATATGCTCAGTGGGTAGTATGTATGGGTATAGGTATGTATTGGTTAAATTATCTGCAGGGTTAGCCTGGGCTGTGGTGGTGGGGCCCACTATGGTATCTTTTCATGGGGCCCCAATTTACGAGAGACGCCCCTGGTAGCTGTCCCTGTTCAAACAACTCCAGTGGAGCCTCCTAAAATGACTTAACAAGTATCTAAGTGGATGTCAGCTAACTGAATTACAAACTTTAACTTCAAGAGGCTCGATCTCAAGTTATGTCTTGCTTTTAAAACACCAAACCCGTTTTGGATGTGGTAAAGTGAGAAAGTTATAAACTAAAGAAGGACTCACTGGTCTGAGAGAGAAGAGAGAGCAGCAGAACAGTCATGGTTATCATCCTCCTTCTTTCCGTGAGAAGGATACAGGAGTGTTTTCTTCTGGTGTCCTACAGGAAACGATGTGGAAGAAGGTGGAAATGTTCAGCCTTTGGAAACTCCTGTCTCTTCTCTTCCTTCACACACACACTTGATCACGTCCAAATCACACTTGAGAAGATGAGTCCATCAGAAAAAACACAGGTGATAGGTTGTTGGATATATTTATCTGGAAAAGCTCCTCATGTTGGTCCCTCGTTTATCTCCTGTTGGTGAAAGTACAGATATTCATTTTTCACCGCTGCCTTAACCAGATCATATTAACCGTTCTTGAGTAATCTACTGAAGGGAAACCGTGAACTCCGAAAACCATCCTTCTCCTCCTCCAACAAACCAGTTTTTTGCGCGCAATGTCTGCAGGCGAGCTGAAGAATCTAGTGCAGTCGCTGTAAGGGTGGGGGGAAAAGTCTTCCTGCTGTAAAAGTCCAAAACGGAATCTGAAATTGTTCTCAAAGAAACCTTATTTTATTCTGAGGGAGAATAAAGAAGAGGGAGGGAGGAGGCGCGTCAGGGAGGAGTGTCTGTGCGCTCCTTCAGCACCACTGACCCAGAGAACACTGCATCTTACTAAAAATAACCCGGACCACGTTTTACAATCTCCTGGGCTTTCCGCTTTAAATTCTAGGAAGGATGCTGTTTTCTTCTACACCATGACCTCGAACTTTAATGCAGAATATGTCTAAAACACGTGAAAACTGCTTCTCTAAAAGATGAAACATGACATGTGCATGTCCTCTAGACACTCTTCGAGTTTAATAGATGTAAGATAGCCCCCCTGGACGCCCTCTGGGTTTATAAACAGTAAAATGTAGGCTATCCAGTGGGTGCCATTTCAGTGGATAAAATCAGAATCAGAATCGACTTTATTGTCATTGTAAGAACATCACAACGAGATTTGGGTGCACCTCCAAGTGCTTTCAAGGTAGATAAAAACAAGATAAATACCTAATAAATAAATATATGTACAAGTTCGTAAAAATATATGTACAACTAAGTCAAAAATAATGTAAAAAGGTGTCTTGGAGTGTAAAAAACATGGGACAGACGCCTGCTGTTTGGATCCCAGCATGTAAAATACTGTGAGAGGGTCCTCTGGAGGAGTATTAGGGCCACAATGAGGTAATTCTTTTGTCAAGACCTCAAGATTAAAGTCTTAAATTTATGAGAATAAAGTCCTCTCGATTTCATATGTTATAAATTGTCTTCATGACTCTTGAAGGGTTTAAAACTCCTGTATGTAACATAATAACTCATACTTAGAAATTAAATAAAATTTCTTCAGACCTTCCTGTTGTTGTGCCACTCTCATCTACTACATGCTGCCATCTACTGTTGTAAAAATGAACCACATTCACTATAACAAATTTCAATATAAATACATTTGATATAAAGATCCTTAGAAGTCAAGGGTTAGTCTAAATTAATACCCAATTTAAAAGAAAGATCAAAATCTGAGGTTACTTTGAAAAGTCAGTTTGTTTGTTGTTGTGTGGGTTATCTATTTGCGCCCCTTTAAAGACAAATGAATTAAAAAATAAACATATCGAGACTAATAACTTGTGCCAAAGCAAACCGGTGGGTTGGAGCAGGGAAACATCCAAAACATGCAGGACAGTGGGCCTCGAGGACTGGACTTAAAGAGTTTGGTCTTTGTCCCCTTATCCTAAATCAAATCCAGATCCATCAGCCCTGAAGGCAGCCCTGGTGACAGATTCCCTGTGCCTTTTCCAGGATGGCCTGCGTATTACATGGGTCCGGACGTAATCTGGCCCGGGGATATCATTCTCACCGAATTGGCCAGAGCCACCTGGGTCTAGTCGGTGCTCTGATCCACTCAAATGTGTATTAAAAAAAGACATGTTTCAAAAATTAAAGCCAAAGTATGAAACAAGATGTTTCAGCCTGAATGTTAAGTCGTTGTTTAAGGGACACACAAAAACCAAGTATTTCCACCTCACAATCAAAGCTTCAGATTAAAACAGGGGACATCATTTTCAAGGTTCTCTCTTTGAAGAACCAACATTTGTTCTTTTATGTACAGTTTTCGGAGAGACACAAATTACTGGTTTAGGGACTGGTAAAGGCCATATCAGGGTTCTTTAAAGGCCAAGACAAACCAGAAGATCAAAACATGAGAACAGATATCCACATTCAAGCTGCCTGATGACGACAAAACCATGTCAACATGTTGCAACTAGGTTTGAGTGAATTCAGTGGCAAAGAAATGTAAGAAGCGTTAAAAAAAAAACCCGAACAAACAAACAAACAAAAAACAAGTAAGGTTGATGTGTTACAAGCAGGGAAAAACAAAAAGGATTCAAGTGGGTCTGTCAAGGGCCAAATGCAAAAAATGAAAAATGAATACTGGATCAATATGAGGTAGAGTCTAAGTTGGTGTTAAAGTGAGACAACAATTAAGAAACTGCTTTTAAATTTGTCTGTACACGTCATTTTAAACCTGGGCTGTGATACATGTCATTTAGATCAGGTGTAACTCTTTGGTTAGGGTTAAATGTCAGTAAATCTGGGCAGACTCTATTGCAGTATAAATAAGCCAAAGTCCACACAGAGAAAAACATTCAACATTATGATCAAAATCGATGTTTATTAGAAAATGAAGTTGTACCAGCAGTAAAGTCAGATGTGAAGAGTGATAATTTTCACATTTCTCTCAGTGTTGACATGTTCGGTGATAACTCATTAACACTTAATTATAACACCAAGAACATCCCATGAGAATTTCCACGTGGTCATTGCAAAAAAGTCTGTAAGAAGAAATGGAAGCAGAAAGTTTTTCAGGAGCAGCTTCAGTTTACCTACTGTCATCATCATCATCATCATCATCATCATCATCATCATTTTGATGTTCTGAATGTCTCTTAGCCAACCTGCTAGCTTCTTACTAGCAGCACAAGTAACAGCTTCCTGGTGAAAGAAAGTAGCAGACATGAGTTCTTAAAGCATACACTATACATAACAAGAACCACATTAATAAATATTGTTAATATTATTCTTATTACTATCATTATTAAACACTAAAACGCAGCCAGGCACAAAGCTTCGGGCTGACAAGTTCATCTGAAATCAAAAAAACCAAAGTGACATGCAAATGTTTTTAGTCTCCTCATGGACAGTCGTCTTCATCACCCTCGTCTTCATCAGCAGTGCAGTTTATTAATTCAAAGGAAGGTTTTTGCTCAAAGTTGTTTTCTACTTCACAACACTTGAGAGCTTCTACTGGCTCAGGTTTACTATCAGCAGCTGCCATTGGCCGAGCATGGAGAGCTCTGATTGGTTCTGTCTGTTTGGCACATGAACATGTTGGCTCCAGAACTCATTTGGCAACAATTTGTGCATGTGTACGTGCAAATGTTCAGGTACATGTGTTCATATAGTTTCAATGTAAACAATTTACAACTGAATATACAATATATATCATATGTTGATGTTTGAATCTTTCAGGAAATACCGAGGACTACTCTCGAACTGCTGTTGTACTTTAGTGTAAACCATGAGTCAATGTTGTTCTGGGTTAAAGGTTTGATGTGTTTAATTTAGAGCATCAGTATGACGTGAATCAAACTGTTATCATAGTAATCTGCCTGAAAAATAAATAAAAGCTGATTCAAAGCTCACTGATATGAAAAAGCTCCAGGTTCAGAGAAAACCAGGTGTTTGCTTTTTTAATAGGACGAAACAGCTCTTGTAGCCCTGGCCCCTGAGTCCTGGTTAAATATTTTTCAGTTGTTAGCTTATAGCTGAAGGCAAAAGAAGTCTAATGAGTTAGTTTTGGGTTTGAACCTTTAGAGTTTGTCTACCTGAAGCACAGCTGATTTCACTAAGTTCCAGTCAGTACAGACATCAACCACTGATTCTGACTCAGACTTAATTCAGCTCATATTCATATCCAGCATCAAAAAGCAAGCTCTCTATAAACCTCTGAGGCAACTGCAACACTGACTCTGAACACATCTGATAAAGAAACAGTAACTGACCAGAGACCCTTTCACTAAAAATACCAAACAAACTGATTTACAGAGGAAAGTTAAAAATTAAACAGTTAAATTAATACAAATGATTTTAAAAGCAACAAGTCCTGGATTAGCCCAGATTAAAGGCCACCGCAGAAATCTGTTTTACACAGCGCAAGGACTGACCATTAAAATTTAACAGGACATCAGGTAATCGGATCAGTAGAGACTGAATCTTATTTATTTTTTATTTTTTTTGATTTTCGGCCTAAAACAGTAAAAGAGAGGGACCGTATGAGTTTATTTTTGGTTAAAAACGAAAAAACAAAACAGTTACACCTTCTCAATATTTAGGTCAAAAGAGGGGAGCAGCTCTTTAAAGGACGCACCCACCCAAATTTCCTTGCGGGTCTCTCTACTCCTCTCTGCTCTTTGTTGGTTCAGTCTGTCTCTTAAGTTTCTCTCAGTCTTCTTTTGGTTGTGAAAGCGAGTGTCAGCTGTTTTCTTTTGGATGTTTTCAGGAACAACAACAGTCACTTGGTAAGTGTTTGTGCTCACCACTTAACTGAAGACTCCTTTGTAAACTAAGATCAGAGTCTCAGCTGTTACTGAAACCTGAAGCTGTTCATCTAAAAAAGACCTCCATGAAGCTCAGAGCTTGAAGACACATTATAACAGCACAGTTGTGTAAAAAAGTAACACCCACAAGCTGTGTCTACCTCTTAATTGGTGTTAAAGCAGCTAAATAAAGTGTTTCAGGCAGAGACTGAAGAGAGCCGGAATGAGGTTTTCATGGACATCACTCACTATCATGCGGTGAAATCTTTTGTGCTTCAGGCAGAAAATAGACTTGAAAATGAAAATATTAGGATTAATAACAGCAAACTCTAGGCGTGGATGCTAGCCAGTGAGTCGTTTAAATCAATACAAAGCCCGGCGAAATGCTACTGTACAACCTGTGAGCACAGAAATACCCCAGATAACATAACAACAACAATAATAACAATAAAAATAATAACAATAATAATTATAATAATAATTAGTACAGGTTTAGATTAGTTTGTTTACTGTGTACAACGCTGTGAAAAGGTTTTTTTCTGTGCAGCTCTAATACTTTGACCTCTGAAGATTTTTTTTATATAATATTCATAAATATTAAACAAATCTGAACTCTTCAAAAATATCTCTGAACAAAGTTTGATCATTTTCTACCTACTCTTTGTTTGTATGTGTGTGTGTCTGTGTGTTTTTGTGTGTGTTTGTATGTATATGTGTGTGTGTGTGTATCTGTCCATGCATCTCTGCTAATCAGGATTTTATGCTGAAATTAAAGAGTTGCCTTCAGTAACATGGTTATAATTTTTTGCTATATCGATTACTTTACTTTATAATTTGATGGACGTGATTTTCAGGACATCAGTTTTAGTTTTTGACACTTTCACTCATTTTCAGCAGGACTCTGCTCTCACAGCTCCTGATCACATCCCTGATGAAAATTGTTATTGCGTAGAGTCAGCTTCACTTTGTCCTCATTTTCTGTACAAGAGGCAAAAATCTACCAAACAATGACACGTGAGATTTTAGAAAACTGTCCACTGTGCTTGATTGTTTTTCATGAATCGAATGGAGATGATCAGCTGTTTTTCTGGCTGACAGGTGGGCGGGTCTTAAACCTGACAGTTGAGCGGTGGAAACATCTGCAGAGTCTTTAAGCCAGATGTTCAACAGATAGATAAGGAGTCCTCAGACGATATGATTGGCTAAACTCCAGATTAGAAATCAGGGCAGAACTCCCACCATGGGTGGTGATTGGTCACCGTGATGACAAAAAGGGGAGATGCGTGTCCATTGGCTGTAAGGCACTGGCTTGGGCGTGGTCAGGAGAGATCAGTCATGCTGAGGCTCATGGGTAATCCTGGACGTAGGTAAGCCACTGGGACACGACCATTCTCACTGGTCGATCCTGTGATGGACAGACGAGCTTTGGAGCGCATCGCATCGGTGAATTTCATCTGTATGAGAAAAACGAGTAAAGTCACAACCACTAATGTTTAAAATGACACAGAGAGAAGTTTGAGGAAGGAGGAAAACCTGTAGGAGTTTATCGTTATGGTGTTCATGAATCTTAAATATCAAAGATTTGCATGAACTAAAGTGTGATAAAAAGTTCAATTACACAGAGAAACATTTGAGGAGGACTATCTGAACAGTAAAACAGTGCACCAGGAAAACGTCACTATTACAGTGAGACATTATATAGAGACTTTTTTATTTTGCTATTCAATAATCTTAAAAATCGAAGACTAATATAATCTTTAATCTAAGAAAACAATCGATTTCTAAACAGACATCTGTGTTTCCTCCCATAAAGCAAGCAGCAGATGAGGTCCACGACCAAATCAAAATGTGAAAGTGATGAGAAACACAAGGACAGAATTAAAAAGAAGTAACAGGTCCACAGGTCAGTAAATATGTTTCTGTCAGCTGAGACAGTCAAGAGATTAAACACACTGAGATCTCTCTCTCTCTCTCTCTGTCTTTCTCTCTCTTCCTTAAAAAGCTCAAGTCCCATAAAAACACAAATAATGAACTTTACAACAGCAACTGAGGACACACAAACAAACAGAACATATATTTTTAGTACGCTTATTAGATATCGTATTGCAAAATTTTTCCTTTGGTAAGTAAATGCAGCAGGTCACAAAAACAAAGCATGATGAGCAGGTGTTGGAGTGATGCAGATGAAGCTTGTATATGAATATATTGGAGTGATGTAGGTGAAGCTTGTATATGAAGATGTTGGAGTGATGTAGGTGAAACTTGTATATGAAGGTGTTAGAGTGATGCAGGTGAAGCTTGTATAAAAATATTGAAATAATGCAGGTGGGGCTTGTATTTGAAGGTGTTGAATTAATGCAGGTGGAGCTTGTATATGAAGGTGTTAAAGGAATGTAGATGAAGCTTGTATATGAAGATGTTGACTTAATGTAGGTGAAGCTTGTATATGAAGATGTTAAAGGAATGTAGATGAAGCTTGTATATGAAGGTGTTGACTTAATGTAGGTGAAGCTTGTATATGAAGATGTTAAAGGAATGTAGATGAAGCTTGTATATGAAGATGTTGGAAGTGATGTAGGTGAAGCTTGTATATGAAGATGTTGGAGTGATGTAGGTGAAGCTTGTATGAAAATGTTGAAATAATGCAGGAAGAGCGTGTATTTGAAGGTGTTGAATTTATGCAAGTAAAGCTTGTATATGAAGATGTTGGAGTGATGTAAATGAAGCTTGTATATGAACATGTTGGAGTGATGAAGGTGAAGCTTGTATGTGAAGGTGTTAGAGTGATGCAGGTGAAGCTTGTATAAAAATATTGAAATAATGCAGGCGGAGCTTGTATATGAAGGTGTTGAATTAATGTAGGTGAGGCCTGTATATGAAGATGTTGGAATGATGTAGGTGAAGCTTGTATATGAAGATGTTAAAGAAATGTATGTGAAGCTTGTATATGAAGATGTTGGAATGATGTAGATGAAGCTTGTAGATGAAGATGTTGGAGCGATGCAGGTGAAGCTTGTATGAAAATGTTGAAATAATGCAGGAAGAGCGTGTATTTGAAGGTGTTGAATTTATGCAAGTGAAGCTTGTATATGAAGATGTTGGAGTGATGTAAATGAAGCTTGTATATGAACATGTTGGAGTGATGTAGATGAAGCTTGTATATGAAGGTGTTAGAGTGATGCAGGTGAAGCTTGTATAAAAATATTGAAATAATGCAGGCGGAGCTTGTATATGAAGGTGTTGAAAGGAATGTAGGTGAAGCTTGTATATGAAGATGTTGGAAGCGATGTAGATGAAGCTTGTATATGAAGATGTTGGAAGTGATGTAGGTGAAGCTTGTATATGAAGATGTTGGAGTGATGTAGGTGAAGCTTGTATGAAAATGTTGAAATAATGCAGGAAGAGCTTGTATTTGTAGGTGTTGAATTTATGTAAGTGAAGCTTGTATATGAAGTCGTTGGAGTGATGTAAATGAAGCTTGTATATGAAGATGTTGGAGTGATGTAGGTGAAGCTTGTATATGAAGATGTTGGAGTGATGTAGGTAAAGCTTGTATATGAAGGTGTTAGAGTGATGCAGGTGAAGCTTGTATAAAAATATTGAAATAATGCAGGTGGGGCTTGTATTTGAAGGTGTTGAATTAATATAGGTGAAGCTTGTATATGAAGATGTTGGAATGATGTAGATGAAGCTTGTATATGAAGATGTTGGAATGATGTAGATGAAGCTTGTATATGAAGATGTTGGAGCGATGCAGGTGAAGCTTGTTTGAAAATGTTGAAATAATGCAGGTGGAGCTTGTATTTGAAGGTGTTGAATTTATGCAGGTGAATCTTGTATAAAAAGATTTTGGAGTTATATAGGTAAAGCTTGTATATGAAGATGTTGGAATGATGTAGGTGAAGCTTGTATATGAAGATGTTGGAGTGAAGCAAGTAAAGCTTGTATTTGAAGATGCTGGAGAGATGCAGATGGAGCTTGTATATGAAGGGGTTGAAGCACTATAGGTGGAGCTTGATTGATGTTCTTGAATAATAAAGCAAAAAAGGTAACTTATTAAAAAAGGAGCAGCAGTGTTATTAAAAAAAGGAGAACTGGTTTGGATTGTTAGTAAAACAGATTGTCACTGAATGAGTGTCTGTTGGTCCGAAATAGTTGCTATGATGGTAGAATAATATGTCAATATCTGTATCATGGAATTAGGACAATGAAGGAGTTTTACAAAGTTTTATTGTACACCTGACAAAGATTAATTTTTCTTTTTTGTCTCTTGCTGGATAGTCCCTATTTTCTCTTTTTTTTTTTTAATTCTCACATTAAAACTGTTGTCAAATGTGCAGAACAGTTATCGATCACAGGCATGTAAAGATTCTCAACCTCATCTGGTCCTTGTCTGAGGCACGATGTTTCACTTTGTAAAAAAAAAAAACAGAGACAAACAGCTCCTTGAACAATCCAACACAACCAGCTGTGTACAATCACCTGAGGGGATTTGATCCTACAAGACTGGGCATAAAACGTGGACCAAAAGAGCTCTGATGTGAGGTAAGGAGACACTGTCGGGGTATGAAGTCTGTACCAACCAGGACTGTCATTGGACCCAACAGACCCCTTTACTGTACAAGCACCACTCTTCTTTTCAAACAAGAGCAAGAGGAGGTAAACCACATTGACCTGCTTCAACCCGAAACCAGCTGGTAGTTTAATTTGTTAGATGGGCCATTCCAAGACAAGGTCTGATTACAGATTCAGGGGTTCTTTTTAGGTGTTACTGGCTCACAGAGAAAATAATACCTCCAAAACCCCATCCTTCGTCCAAACCAGCCCTACTTAGTCTAACCCAATCCTACGTAGTCCAAACCACTCCAACAAGTCTCAACCAGTCTAAACCAGTCCTAAGTAGTCACAACCTGTCCTTACCAGTCCAAACCAGCATAAAATCAGTCTCAACCAGCCCTTACTAGTCCAAACAAGTTCTAACCAGTCCAAAATTGTCTGATCTTGTCCAAACCAGTCCATATCATATCAGTTCTTACATGCCTAAACCAGTCCAAACTAGAGCTTACTGGTCCAAACTAGTCTAAATCAGTTCTAACCCTTCTTCCCATCCAAACCATTCCAAACCAATGTGTCTCAAACAAAAGGTTCTTTGTCCTTTGAAGACAAGCTGACAAAAAAGAGATGGAGCATGATTGGCTGATGGCTAAGTGCAGGTAGAAGGATGATATGAAGTAAAGAGGAAATCAATGAGGAAAGGGGAAAAAAACACCTGAGACAATGGAAGAAGGAAAATACCAGGTCTGGGGTGGAGATAAGGAGATCAGGACAAAGGGATGAATGGGGAGGCTAGAGGACAGAGGACTGATAAACAAGGGATAGAGGGAAGGGTAGGTCAAGATTAAGACAAAGGCATCGGGACAAAAAGACAGAAAAGGCAGAAAATGGACAGAATAAACAGGTGAAAGGATGATGAAAAACAAATAAATTGTAAGACACTGGACATATACAGACCGTAAGGAGGAGAAAGCAGACAACAGAGGTGACATATACAGAGGAGATGAGGACAATGTAGATGAAGACAGGGGAGATGAGAGTGGAGAAGATGAGAACAGAGGAGTAGATGACAGAGGAAACTAGGACAGAGACGATGAGAAAAAAGGAGAGGGGACAGTTGAGGATAGTATGAGGATAAGGACACAGGAGAAAAGGACAGAGGAATTGGTGATAGGGGAAAGGAGAGTGTAGAAGGTAAGGATGGGGGAGACAGAGGGAGAAGATTAGGACAGAGATGAGGACAGATTAAAACAGAGATCAGAAGTCTAGGACAGAGGAGACAAAAGGATATGAGGGCAGGGGAGATAAGGATCGATGAGATAAGGAAAGAGAAGATGAAGACAGGACAGAGAAGATGATGGCAGAGGAGATAAGAACAAAGGAGAGTAGGGAGTTGTACACAAGGTAGGAGGAGATAAGGACAAACAGACAAGGACACAGTAACAAAGAGAGTAGAAAGTGAGGACAGAGGAGACATGAAGAGAGGCATTGAGGACAGAGGGAAAGAGAGAGGACATGGTGACAGTGAGAAGCAGGGAGTAGAGTACAAGGACAGAGGAGGCAAAGACAGAGTAGATGAGGACAGAGGGGACTGACAAAGGGGGTGAGGACCAAGGAAATGAGGACAGAGGAGATGAGGACAGGGGATAAGAGGGAGTAGGGGCATCTCTGAGGAGATGAAGGAGGTGAGGAAGCTGATGAGGAGGATCACAGCCATAAACTGTTTTTTTTTTTTAATAAAGGTTTTATTTGAAGTATTTTTCCCTCCAGATTCAAACTCTAGCTGCGTTCATGTCTTTGTCTGTTTCCTTCAATAAAACAGATAAAACAAGTTTAGTCTGAAGATGATTTTAAAATCAGATTGAAGTGGATGAACATTGGTGTCTTATCTTCAACCACTTTATTTTTCTTCTTTTACAGAAAGTGTTTCTAACTTTATTCTCGAGTTTCGGCTGAAGTTTTGTGATTCTGGACAGAAAACAGCATCGAAAATCAAATAGATGTCAATTAGTAACACAAGGATACGAAATGATAAACCCTAAAAGTCAAAGACAGGTTTGTTCGGACTGATGTGACTGCAGCTGCTGTTTGCAGGTTTGAATTCATCAGATTAACCGTCTGTTATCATGCTGTTTATGACTGTGGGGTGAGGAAGGTTCAGCCATCAATCATCTCTCTCCTACCCGGGTTAGATCTTGACGCTCTCAATGCCATAAACGTTGTAGCCTTCTTTATAGGTGGCGTAGTTTGGCTGGTGGCTGGGGGACAGCAGGTTGAAGTTGGGGGCGTGCTGAGGAGAGGTCAGAGTGTGTGTGTAGTTTCCTGTATGCTGGGGGGAAGTCAAGGTGTTGGCTGCCACCTTTACAACAGAGATAAAGTCATCGTTACTTCTACAACAACCCTGTTTCAACAGTGCCTCTGTGATTTTCTTATCATCTAAGAAATAGAAACAGAACTGAAAAAAGTAAAACCTCATGGAAACAGACCAGAAACCCTGACCAAAATGAAAGAACAACCAGAAGAGGTGTGGGCCAAAGGCCACCGCAGATATATCACAGTGAGAAGTAGAGGGAAGGGTTAGGGTAAGGAATTGGGAGGAAGGTTAAGGTAAGAAGTTGGGACTTAAAGTTAAGGAGTTAGGATTTAGGTGAGGAGTAAGGACTCAGGGTTCAAGTAAAGAGTTGGACTACGAATTAAAGGAAAGAGACATTGGGTTAAAACAAGGAGTTACGAATAGGGTTAGGGTAAGAAGTAAGAAGTTAGGGTTAGGGTAAGGAATGAGGACTTAAAGCTAAGGAAGGGGTTAGGATTTGGGATTAAGGTAGGCAGTAATTCCAGGACTCAGGGTTGAGGTAAGGAGTTAGGACTTTGGGTTGAAGTATGGAGTTTGGCCTTGGGATAAAGGCTAGGAGTTAGGACATTTGGTTTCAGTAGGGATTTAGGACTTGGGGTTTAGGTGAGGCAGGTGAGGAGGAAGGTTAAGGAAGTTAGGAGGATTAAGGTAAGAAGTAAGGGGGAAGGTTATGGTAAGGAGTAAGGACATATGATTAAGGTAAGGAGTAAGGGTGTAAGATTAAGGTAAGATGAGGTAGGGGTGTGGTTAAGGTAAGGAGTCAGGATGTAAGATTGAGGTAAGGAGTAAGGACTTGGGGTTAATGTAATAAATTGTATTTGGGGTTAAGGTGACAAGTAAGGATTTGGGATTAAGGTTAGGAGTTGTGATTTTTAGTTTGGGTAAAGAGTTATTAGGAAAGTAAGGTGAGGAAATAGAATGAAGGTTAAGGGAAGGAGTGAGGAGGAAGGTTACGGTAAGGTGGAAGGTAATGGTAAAAAGTTAGGGGGGAGGTAACAGTAAGGAGTTACGGTTGTGGGTTAAGATAAGGAGTAAGGATTTGGAGTTTGCAAATGAGTTAGGACTTGTGAATAAGGTAGTCAGTAAGGAGGAATGTAAAGGTAAGGAGTAAGTAGTTCTGGTTAAGGTAAGGAGTTAGTACTTTGGGATCAGGTGAGAAGTTAGGAAGAAGGTTAAGGTGATGAGTTTCCTTTCTCCTTGCTGAGTCCTGATAAATCTGCATCTGCCCTTACTGGTCTCTGTTAAACCTCTGTCTCAGATCAACATGTAAAGTTTACTCTGAACTGTATGTTAAATCCTTGGTGGTTGTAATGCCAGGTGTTTTAGTTGTTTGTTGAAGCAGGTGACAGCATCTCTCTGGAGGAAGAGGGAGGAAGAGGAGTGTTTCGCTGGCTTTGGAAAGGCAGCCAATGAAAGACTTGAATCAGTTCATGGTACTGCTGCTGGTCCTTTACCTCTACCTGATCCACCTCTACCTGCTCAACCATACAGCCACTAGATCCTCTTGGAACTGACTACACCCCCCTTCACCCGGCTGCTCAGGGAGACGGACAAAACCAGTACCACTATCTAACATGGCTGCAGGAATTGTTGCCTTCTAGGAGAAAATCATGATGATTCACTCTGCAACTGCACTACAACCAACTGATTTCATGAGGGGATGATGGTGGTCCACTCTCAAGACGCCAGGCAGCACAGGCTCAAGATCCTCTCCATGCAAAAGGTCCTATCATGATGTATGATTCTGTCCTGTTACAAGATCGTATCCCAGGCGGGGAAAGCAGCAGTTGCAAATCCACCAAAACAGGACAGAGCCGACATCAGTGACAATATTTACAACATTGGTAAGATCAGACACATCATAAAGGAGGAGCCTGGGTGGGTTGTGAAATGATTTTGGAGGGAGAAGAAAGAGTAGGCAGATTACAGCTGTTTAAAAAGGATGCCCCTCTATCATCTCAGCTGATATGGGCTATTGCTATGCTAACTATTGCTATGCTAGATTCAGATCCTGTCCTGGCTTGATATCTTGCCCTGACATGAGATCCTGTCTCAGCACAGGTTGTAAAGCAGGAGGACTGGGGGAATGCTCATTCTTGTACCATGTCTCTGCTTTGCCACAGAGGTCAAAGCTCATCTCTCTTCGTAGAAGGCTTTATGAGCTGCTCTTTTGGACCTGGTCCTCACCTTGCCTCCAAAAGACCTTTTGACCACTGAACACTCATCAAGCATTGATTAGGCTCTCTTACATGCTGCTACAGCAACACTGATCAGGGGTCCTCATAGGTTAGGATTGGGGAGTGTCAGGTGGAAATCTTTAGGCTGTCCTCCCAGGAGAAAGTCTGTTTTCTGTTAAGTCGTCTGGGCCATGGGTTACTTTGGCAAGCGGCCCAAGGCTTAACCCAAACTAAGGGTACATTATTGGGGTATTTTTTGCCTTTTAGATAGGACAGCCAAAGAGAGACAGGAGATAAGGGTTAGCAGAGGGCGAAGGCAGATATACATTGAAGGTATGTGGCTGGGAATCATACTAGGACTGTTGTGATGGAGACTATAGCCTCAATACAGAGGCTTAGATCTGATTGGGGCTCCCTGTTAAAAATAAAGCTGAATTGAAAAGAACAAAGTTTAAACATTATATAAATGCTGTTTAATAATAACCTGTGGCTCCACTTTTCCTTGCCTCAAAAATAAAGGTGAAGGTGGGTCTGACTTTTCTGTCTAAATTCTTTATCATCAGATTGTTTCTACAGATCACACACCCTATGTCGGGCCCTCCCCCCTCTATGAAAAGTCCCCAGAGTGACTGATTGGTGGAGCAGTCTTCCTGAATATATACCACTAGGAACCACCATCTGTGGGCCGGACAGTCAGCTTTGCAAAAGAAAAGCAGGTGTTCACAGGTGTAACACCTTTCCTGATCCCTGCTTTTTATCTGCTGAGGACACTGAACTTCACCAAAATGGGACAAAAGACCATCCATAATGTAAAAACCTAACAGAAAACATTTCCAAGCTGAGACCTAACCTTATAGTTTACGATGGTGGCCAGATAAAATGCTGACAAATAAAAATTGTTTTCTTAAAAACATTGCTACTATACAAAAGGACACTTTCTTGATATCTTATCATATTTACTTATGAAGGTTTAAATTTTGCTCATAGAAAATAAAACTGTAAACTCATGTCACCTGAAGCTGAAGGTGTATTTTTTGTTTCCTAATATTTCTCCTCTGATAAATATAAAACCCGTAAGTATTTTTAACATAGATTTAGAATAGATTTAATAGATTTGATATAAAAAAACAGTTTTATTGGAATTAAAGTAATAATAACATTAATAGAAACATAAAAACAACAACAATGATGAGAATTACGATAAAAACAGTAATAATAACAATAGAATAATAATAAATTATAGTACCACTGATTATCAGTAAAATTGTGACCACAGGTGGCGCTGTGATGCGCTGAGCGTACCTTCATTTTTTTGGCCTCAGCTCTGCTCTTGTAGCAGAACTCCACCAGTGCCACCATCATGGCCAGACCCAGACCTCCAACCAGGATGTAGAAAACTCCGGCTACGTTACTGAGAGACAGAGCGCTGGTCTTCTCCTGGTCAGCAGATAAAGAGGGGGGATAGAACGGGTTAGCAAACTGTTGAAGTGAGAACGAAACAATGACTATCTACACTCCTCATTACCCATTAGATTTTTCCTCTGCTGCCACAAAATAAAACCCACACATTAACACCTGAGCCTGAATCACCTATAATATCTCAGGTTTTAATAAAACTATTTTTAACTATATTTTAAGCCTGAAACACTCAAAAAACATCTGACCTCAATATAAAAATTTTAACTGTAAACGGTTCTTACTGTACTGCTGTTTCTCATATGTCCTTTAAAGAAGAACTTAAAACCAGGAAACAGCCAATTACTGTGACCCCCAAACCCACTCAGTTCAGCTACCAGCAGCTCTGATGATTTGTTCAGATGGTTTAGCGAAACCGCTGCCACTGTGACCCTGAACCCCATCAAAGATACCTGGACATGTAACACCTGTAGCTGTCAGAAGCTGCTATGGACAAAAAAATCTAAACCTTAATTTGTTACTATTTTACATTTAGAGGGTTTGAATTGCCATCTTTATTATCCTTTAATGAACTGGTTATCATAACCGTCATTTCTATCACCTCAACAGTCTATGCTTCGGTGCTTAAAAATCCTTTGTCCGCTGACAGTGTGTTTTACACTGCCAGCACTTTAGTCCTCACTAAACTTACTGTTTCTAGGACACAAAGCTGTCATGCATGCTCCTGTTTCTCTTGGTAGTAACCATTAAGCCAGTTGCAATAGCTCTGAATGCTTCATATTGTTCCTGTTGCATATGCTGGTTCAAGAAGAAAATGTGAAAACAAAGAAATCATGTTCAGGCTCTATACTAAGGAATGAGACCCTCATTAGATAAACCCTGCTAGCCTCAGAGATTATCACAGACTAACTGTTTCTTTTCTAGTCCTCTTGTTGACAGAGCAAATATCAGAAGTCCTGCTGTTTTTGTTAACAGTTAGTTGAAAGCAATTGATAAGTTAAACAAATTTCAGCTAAAAGCTCACGACAAAAGCTACTTGACTGTTTTTTTACTTAATATGTTGAGCCCTGAGTGCTGAGCCCAAAAAACTGTCTGTTTTTTTTAAAAACAAAAAGTCCTTAAAAAGTCCCTTGTGTAAACTGTGATCATTCAGTGAGAACTTTGCTTTATATTAAAATATTTTTCCACACTGACAGAGTTTAAGTTAAAACACAAGAGCTGAGTTTCCAATAACACCAAAAACACAGAAACATGAAGCAAAGAAAACAAGTCAGTCCGCTGATTCACACTGGATCTGAATGTCTCTCGCTAAGGTTTTCTGTTTGTAAACTATTCCTCTAACTGCTTGCCTATCCTTCTTTGTTTTTTTAAGATTAAAGAAAACTGAAACTGAAGTTCAGTTTTCAAACTCTTCACCTGCTTTACTCACCTAATGATTCAAACATGATCCTATAAAACTTTATTTAGAATAAGCTACAAATATTGCCACAAAATAAAGTAGCTGCACAGTTTTAAAGGGGTTTTTACCTGTTAATAGGTGTAATTAGGTGCAAGTGTGCTGTTTTTTTAACTTGTGCAGGTGTGCAGTGCGTTTATACCTGGTTGTGGGTGGAGCTTAGGTGCAGGTGTGCAGTGTGTTTATACCTGGTTAAATTGGAGCTAACGTGAAGGTGTGGCCTATTCTACGAAGCAAGTTCAATCTAGCGAGGAAGCCTTAGAGTTACCTCGCTCAACTTAGCGCGGTAGCTAGCGGTCTCGCTAAACGATCTTACGACGCTGGTCGTATCAACCTCGCAAGTGGATCCAGCTTTGCTATGAGCGCGTGCACGGATGTAAGGCGGAGCCCGCCGCATCTGACCGATTGCGAACATGAACCAGTCTGGAGCATCAGAGCAGGCCAGAGAGCGAAGGACCGCGTGCTAAACAACGAGGAGCAGGAGACGATCATGAGAAAGTATGAAGAATTCAAATCTATCATAAACCTCAAAAGCAACACCGTCGCCGCTGCAAAAGCACGGAAGGAATGCTGGCAGAAAATTGCTGACAGTCTCAATGCGTAAGTGTAGTGAGCAAAAAAATCTTTGATGCCATTATCACCCTAAAATAGCACTGTTCAACATGCGCTTTTAACATGCACCAGACATGTCTAATTCATTTCCAAGATGAATTCATTCATTTGTTCATTTCTATTGTGTTTACATTTTTTGTGTGATATGTCGGCCATATGAGACTTTCATAAAGGTGGTCACCTGGAAAAGTAAGTGGGTCCATGCGGTCCCTGAAAACTCTTGCACGCCGGAGTGCTCCTCGGACAATGCGAGTGCCGAGGTCTATAGGATCCTCCAGGAACAGACAAGCCATTTTTCGAGAGAGCTCATTGGTCAGTGGGCGGGGTTTTTATACTCGGTGAGTTCAATCTGACACCTAACCTGCCCCGGAGCAGGTTAGCTGTTCAGCGTACGTTGCCATGGAGACTCGCCTCGTTAAGAAGTGAACCCTTGTCGTAGAACAGGAAACTCCTAACATACCCTAAAAGTTACCTCGCTAAGCAGTAATCCTGCTTCGTAGAACAGGCCCCAGGTGTGTAGTGTGTGTTTATACCTGGTTGTGGGTGGAGCTAATGTGCAGGTTTGCAGTGTGTTTATACACGGTTTAATTGGGGCTAATGTGCAGGTGTGCAGTGTTTTTATACCTGATTATAAGTGGGGCTAATGCAAAGGTGTGCAGTGTGTTAATACCTGGTTGTGGATGGAGCTAATGTGCAGGTGTGCAGTGTGTGTTTATGCCTGTTAAGGCTGGAGCTAATGTGCAGGTTTTAAGTGTGTTTATACCTGGTTACAGTGGAGCTTATGTGCATGTTTTAAGTGTGTTTATACCTGGTTGTGGGTAGAGCTTAGGTGCAGGTAAAGAGTGGGTTTTTTCCAGGTTATGGGTGGAGCTAATGTGCAGGTTTACAGTGTGTGTTTATGCCTGGTTAAGGCTGGAGCTAATGTGCAGGTTTGCAGTGTGTTTATACCTGGTTGTGGGTGGAGCTTTGGTACAGGTATGCAGTGTGTTTATACCTGGTTAAGGGTGGAGCTATTGTGCAGGTGTGCAGTGTGTTTATACCTGGTTAAGGGTGGAGCTAAGGGGCAGGTGTGCAGTGTGTTTATACCTGGTTAAGGGTGGAGCTAAGGGGTAGGTATGCAGTGTGGTTCTTCCTAAATTTAGGTAGCGCTAAGGGGCATATGTGTAGTAAGTTTTTACCTGGTTAAGGGTGGAGCTTAGGGGCAGGTGTGCAGTGTGTCTATAACAGGTTATGGCTGGCGCTTGGGTGCAGGTTTGCTTGTTGTTTATACCTTGTTATGGGTTTAGTTATAGTGCAGGTGTGCTGTGTTTTTCTGCACATATGGACCTGACAGAACTGTGCATGCTGAATTAACAGACAGAGCGTTTGATTGGTCCACAGACACAGATGACTAACCTTATTGGTGGAGTCCTTGAAGCCACACTCTCCTTTATCGTACCACCACTTGTTTTTCATCTTGTCTAGGGTCCCTTGCTCATTCAGTTTCAATACGGCAAGGTTTACTGGCACTCTTCAATGGGAATAACATAAATAACATCATTATCAATGTTATCTTATGTTATTAGTGGGGCAGCGACTCTCAGACTCTGGCTCTGCGGCTTACAGAGGGCCTACTAAGGACAGTGTGTCTGATATAGGAGAGGCTGGATTACTTTATAATAAATCAAGTCCTTCATGCAACTGGACAGTTCAGTATTTACAAGTCAGATCCTCTCTCCAGCTCTTTATCAGGGGGTTGATGGGGCCCCTCAGTCTGTTCGGCCCCTGAGACAGAGAGTGAGAGGTGCTGCAATGAAACAGGTCAGAGCGGCAGATAAACTCAGTTTATCCACAGCAGTCACCTCTTTCTCTTTTTGTTGCTGCCATCTGGTGTGAGGTCACCTGACCCTGAAACCTGACCGCTGACCCCTGACCTCTGACCTCAACCAAACAGGACGCAACACCAGGAAAAGAAGCAGCACAGAGCACAGCGCTTCCTGAAGGGGTGGCGCTCTGCAGCAGTCAATTTATTGACAGTTTAATGATAATAAATATAAGATGATGATAATGATTAAAAATATCAATAAAAGTAATGATAAAAATGATAAAACAATAATAATAATAGAAGTATAAAAAGAATAAAAATGATGATAATTATCATAAAAACAATAATAATACAACTAAAAATGATTAAAATAAACTTTGGTGTATTCACTGATTATCAGTGAAATTGTGACAACAGGTAGCGCTGTGATGTGCTGTTTCTTGAGATTTCTCCGGTCCACCCGTGTGCGTGTGTGTGTTTGTGTGTGTGTTTGTGAGTGTTTCAGGTGTGTGAGTGTGTATTAACCTTGCTCTCCCCTCCTCCGCTGCCGCACTCTCCCTTGTCATACCACCACTTGTTTTTCAGTTTGTCCAGCAGCCCCTGCTCGTTCAACTTTAACACCGCCAGGTTCACCGCATTTCTACATGAACACAGCGTCTGTTAGCGGCTCGTCAGGCAGTCCTCCTGCTGCTGTGCACGTAAGCTTAGCAAAAAGAGGATACACACTGCTGGATGATGCTCTCCTGTTAGCAGTAAACTCAGAATATCTGAACATGTGTTAGCGCTGAGATCTACCTGCTGAATACAGTAAAATATTACTTCAAAATCAATGTTTTAGTGCTTCAAGTGTCTGAGAGTTTTGGTTACGTCTTTAAGTTTTTTTTTTATTAGTTTGTAAAGTTAGTTCCTGCTGCTCTGTATGAATGTTTTAGCAAATTTGACATCGGTTAATGGCTCAAATGTCCACACTTATCATTTTTCTGTGTTGCAGAGAAGAGGGTGAGGACCTAGGTGTTTCAGAAAAAAAGGCAGAATTCCTCCATGTTAACAAAAACACATCTGCTGATAGGTGCACCTGACTTCTGAAGGGAAAGACATCTAAACCCACATTTAACTCATGTCTTTTTGTGCCTCATTTACTCTCCCGTTTGTTCGCTGTCTAACTATGAAAACACTGGGACTCCTGGTTCTCTTTGCGTGTCGAGCTTTGGACTTCATGTTTGGGTCATTTTGATGGCGCCCTGAGTCTCCAGTTTGTCAGGCTGGCTCTGACTAATTTTAATCTGAAATTTAAAACCTTCCGCTTTAATCTGATATTTCTCCTTGTTTCTGCTGTTTTAAATAACATTTTATACTCTGAAATAGATCAAATTGTTATTCAGCAGGTAGAGCTTCACATGGTGTGATGATCAAATTTCACTTTACTGTCTCTGTAAATCAGATTGTCAAATCAAATGTGTCTGATGTGGTGATAAATGGAGGTTGGTGTTTGATAATGATGGATTTTATGTGGTGTGACATTGTGATCAATCAGAGGGATGGGGCTCAGTGTACTCTGATCTGATTGGTGTTAAATGCTCTGAATTATCAAGAACTACATTTCTGATTGGCTAAAAAAGACCTTCTAAATTTTTGTTTCACTCGTTAAATAAAATGAGCATTGTTATTTTCTGTTCTGAACCCTCTTTGGACAGTTTCACATGAATCATTGACTTTGATTAGTGAATAGAAACAGTGAAAACATGCTAGGAGCAGAGACACGAGAAGGAAATGACTACAGCAAACTTGAAGTTAATCTAATATATGTTCAAACTTTGATCAAGCTTTCAATAATGTCTCTGGTTCTACCATGTTCATCCAACAACAACATTCAGAGATTCAACCTCAAAATCATACAGTTAAAGCTCCATTAAGGGATTTTTACACATTAAAAGTTTTTGAGGTTTTTGGTTTTGAAACATAAAACAGAAGCTCCTTTAATTATTTCCCTTTACATAAAAATCAAGGTTAATTATCCAAAAATAGTTTGTGTTTTTATTGTCTGCAGCCATTTCAGACATAGAGATCAAATTCACTGTAAAAAGATTACTCTCTGTTTTAATTCACAGTAGTGTCAAATCAAGAACAAGCAACCCGACACATCAGTTTAAAAATACAAACTAGATCCCGCATAAGGATCAGAACTAGGACTAAAACCAGGTCCAGGAGTGACCAGACACATAACACGTGGGCTGTGTGTCCTGTAGTTTTGGTGACACCTAGTATGATCCCATTCAGGTGTCACCTATTGAGCTCACCTGAAATTAGGAGCCTAACCTTCAACTACAGAGTCAGAGTCCAGGTTATGTTAGCATAACTACCAGCAATAAACAAAAAAGTAAATCAACAATGATAGTAGGTATTAGTAACTTCAGAGTCACAGACTCATCAGAGTCACAGACTCACAAGTCAAGATTTTGATTAAATACGGGTTGATGACAGAGAAATAGTCATTAAAAGAGCTCCTTAACTGTTTAAAAATCACTTAATGAAGCTTTAATCACAAATATGACCAATAAAAACAACTGAAATGATCATAAAAACATCTGCAGAGGTCAACATCAGAGGATCACAGAGATAGAGAGGGAGGGAGGAGGAAAAGCAAGGAAAAGAGAGAGAGAGGGAGAGAGAGAGAGAGAGAGAGAGAGAGAGACAATGGAGCAGAAATCTGTAGCGGCTGAAAAGACACAAAGTGAGAAACACTTTCAAAACTGTGCATGCAAATCAACACAACAACACATATTCATATTCAAACACACACTCACACACATAAACACACACACACACTCACTGTAGCCATAAAGATTGTTGTGATTCAGGTCTTAAAGAAGCATCTTGTCTCGTGTTTATAATAAACTACGTCTTCAGAAGGCCTGTTTCAAACTTTTACTTTAGTGAATTAAGAATAAAAACAGGAAGAAGCAGAAACTGAAATGTTTCACACCAACCAGGACCATCAGATTTTCACCTCATCATTACCCTCATAAAGATGCACCATATCAATATTATCACTAAATGTATGAAAAAGCAGCTCTGACGGTGTTTTTAGATTAACCATAATTCCCTTAACCTCTATCAATTTTCCTCCCAGGGATAAATTAAGTTCTCCTTATCTTATCTCATCTTATTAAATGTCTGACCAGCTTTCAGAGAGCAGCTACAGTTAGCAGCTAAAGCTAGCTGCTGCTTATTCTCATCTCACTGTTTTATGGTGTATGGACACCAGCAAACTGAACCATTTACTGCCCCCTACTGTGAGCCAATGACTTACCCTGTATACAAGTATGCATACATACACCCTATACTTGGTATCTACATATATATACATATAAATGAACCAGTGGCTAACAGTGAATCACCATGAGCTCATTTTCTGAACAATATTGATGTTTCAGTTTGTTAAAAAGAGGGTAATCATCTGTTAGGATAAACTGAGACGCTGCAACACAGATCATCACAACATCCACCTCTTAAACTATAAATAAATACTGACTATAATCATCATCCGCATTACTAAGCTCTCGCTTTAAGACCTGAATCATCGCCCCCAGCCATCGTCATGGAAACCACCACTGCCTGTTGGTCAGGGTGGTAACCATGGTAAAGATACAAACCACAAAGATGATGTCATCAGGGTAGGTGGATTATTATAACAACGAGTACGCTGCCATGTGTCATTCATCACACTCACATACTGCAACACCCAACAGGCACCGAGGCCTGGGACCAGACTACACCACCCCCGGTGGTGGTCCACTGTACTGAGCAGGGTTCCCCTTATACTGGTCTACTGTACTGGGCAGGGTTCCCCATATACTAGCCTAATGTACTGGGGAGGGTTCCCATATACTGGTCTACTGTACTGGGCAGGGTTCCCATATGTCGGTCAATTGTGTTGACAGGTAAATCTGACCTCAGGTCTCCCATTGGCTAAAAACCACCAGACTGAGCAGCTGGAAGCCAGCTGGTGTTTCCAGACCAAAGAAGACTGAATGAGGGACTTTAGCTCTGGACTTGGCCGCAGTGACACTGACTGATATCTGTCTCAACCATCTGAGCTTTAGAGTGTACAGAACACGGATAACTTCAGTTTATAGATACCTATAATATACAGGTTATCTCCAGTACACTGATATACACAGTACACATATGTTTACAGTATACATATGTCTACAGTAAACAGATTTCTACAGTATACAGATGTCTATAGTTTACAGACATACACAGTACACTGATAAACACAGTGGAGCACACAGCATTCTGGGCTGTGTGGACAGGGGGCAGCACTGAGCTAGGCAGCAGGTTAGTAGTGTGAATGCTACATGGCAGGGCAGGTTGGCTAGCATTGTTATACTGATCCACCCACCTTAATGGAGATCCTTTGGGCGTGGCAATGCCATAGCCTTTGGAGTCCAGGTTTCCTCCCACTTTCATGGTGTCACAGGGTTTCCTCTGCTCGATGTACTCATTCATGGTGGACTCCAGCAGGTAGGCATACTTCCCTTTGGACTTCCGGACCCGCTGGACACCCTCTGAGGTTTTCTTCACAAAGACTGAGGGCTCTGCTGATTTCATGTACTGCCACATTTTGTCAAATAAGGCGATTTTGGAGCGCTGTAGAGGGACAAGAACCGAGATAACAGTGGGACTTAGTCTGGACTTCTTGAACACACAAATACTATATCCAGGAAGAATTAAAGAATAAAGAAATACATCGAAGAAGTTTCGGCTGTTTTCTCTGCTGCATCATTGCACAATGAAGGAGCTCAAAGCAGTGACAGTCCTCCTGCAGACAGAGTGGACACTGAAATCCTGAATAAACACAATCCTGCAGTCTGACAGAGACGGCTGAAAAGCTGCAGATACGATTCAGGTCATGCAAATACACTAATAGTTGTTCACTAAACAGAGCTGCGGGACAAAAAGACACTTGAAACCACGTCTCTGTGTAAGCTGATGCCTCCTCACCCTAAAAAATTCTTTGGTGGATCCAGAGTCCAGAGTCCCGTATGCAATCTCTGTCTGTTTGGCTAAATCTTCAGCGCTCTCGATGGGAGACACCATCCTCTCCACTGTCAGGAAGGCAGCAAGGTTGGCCGTGTATGAAGAGATGATGATCAGCGTGAAGAACCACCAAACGCCGCCAACGATCCGACCTGACAGAGACCTGCATGCACACATGGATTCACATACAGAAACAGATATATGCAAAGATATACACTCAGGCCGTCAGTTTGTCCAAAAATAAACTTTGAACACATATCAAACAAGACGTGCAAATGTTCATCAGCGACAGCTTCTCATACTGCAGACAAAACTGGAAATCAAATATAGATGATCTGGTGTACAGTTGTTGTTTAGCATCATACTGACCTGGGGGAGATGTCACAGCCCTGCCTCATGAACGCACCCAGTGAGAACCAGAGCGAGTTAAAGATCCCGAACTCATTGGTAGATTCTGTCGTTAGGGGCAATGCTCCGTCCTCTGGCTCCTCCAACGTCCACTCATAAGGGCTGAATCTTGAAACCTATTAAAACACTCATATCAGTTAAAGCATGTATATGACGTACAATCCCCAACCCCAGAGGGACAGTTCGGATTTTACATGAGGAACAACGCCTACAGCAAAAATAGATTAGAAGTTTCATATTTTAGGACATAGTGAACCATTAAACTTTTAACTAACCTAACCTCACCTTTAACTCCACCTTTCACCCTGAAATTCTTAGTTAATTAAAGAAAACTCCACTTTAAAACCATTCTGTGTACATGGTACATTTGAACATATAAGTCTACAGAGAGCCATACTCACAAGAAAGAGAACCACACTGACGCCTATATACGCAAAGACGATGCACATCCAGATCTCATAGGCTAGCGGGTCCAGGAAGGAGAAGACTCCAGGTTTGGATTTCTGAGGTTTCTTGATCATAATGGAGATTCCCAGAGACATGAAGGGTTTGGAAAAATCTATCACTTCTTCTCGAACCAGAGTGATGGTCAGTGGAGCAACAGCAATATCTGCTTTCTGATGGACAAAAGGACAGAATGAGGGAGAAATAAGACAATCATTTACCAAATCTGCTGTGCCACTTTTGAGGAAGCAAGGTAACAAGGTGTTCTAAAGATGGAAATCATCACTTCCTCTCTGGAGATTTTCAGCAGACAAAGGCTGTTTTACTACAGGTTCAGAAACAGAGCAGGCCTCCTAACGACAGCAAAACCACCCCTACATCCAACATAGAAATCCTCCACTATTACATCCTCTGCAGCAGTAGAAAGTCTAGCGTACTACTGCAGCCTGGCTTAATGCTGGTCTGAGCTCTCGGGATGAAAGTGTCATATTAATGCCAATACTGGCTGATGGGGTCATGTGACTCAACCCAACCCACCTGATGAGGTCTTGGTGTTTCTTTCCTCTCTGTACTCCTTAAATCACACCTACATATTCATAACTGACACCAGTAGCCTACATCACCTACAGTACACTACGTGTGTGTGTGTGTTAGGTTTTACCCCATAAACCAGCTCTCCAACCATGCCATTCCAGATTTTGGTCTCTGCATCTCTGGCTCCGTATTTGCCATCTCCAACAATTCTTAGCTGGTAGCGTATCCCACAGTGCTTTGCAATCTCAGCAGCCAGGTCAACACAATAACCTGTTGCAACACACATAAAAACAGGCATACATCATATAGGGATGGGTTAGAGTGATAAATATAATGATTATCTTTTTATTTAATGAGAGAAACAACTAGGAACACACCTGTAGAGTGAACTCACCTTCATAACGATCGTTGTCTTGAAACAGCTCAGCATTCTTCTTCAGCATCACATAGGGGGCTTCCTACACACACAAACACACATACACACAGTAATAAAGTGCTTGTTGCTGTCATTTGAAGTTTACCTGGCTGTGTTACCACATACACCTGTTCCTTCGCCCCTCCCCTGCAGGTGTCTGATGGTACGCTCTCACCCGTCTCATATTTTAGAGATTTTTTCCTGAACAGAAGCTACAGAAACCCTCAGTGTTTTTATTCATTTACTGTTCTGATTTTACAGTCACTTATTCAAACCCGTTAAAACTGATTAAGAAGTCAGGACAAAACAGAAAAATTATGGAAAAGTGTGATTGTTATCAGAGCTGCGTTTAGATCCAGAGGCCAAAAGCTTCACAGCGCCTTGTTCCAGGCTTTAAAGGCTCCTTTTAGTGTGCTCTACAAATGTGTCCTACTTTTCTCAGGCCATGAAAGCTCCATTAGGTACATCCATCCCATGATGCTTTACATGCCGATTCAAACGAGACAGCAGATAAGTATAAGTGCTTGTTTTAACTCTTTGACGAGCTGTTCAAATGTTGAAGCAGATGAAGACTTTGATGTTATCTTTGAAAGGCTGAGGACGATGTTTAAGGACATGATGCAAATGCTGCGTTCCAGTTATCTCAGAAGTCGGATGTTGGAGCTGGGAATGATGTTACACCCGAGTTGACGGCGTTCCAGTAAACAAGTCGGAGAACCAAGATGAACGCGTACAGTTAGCCGTTGTGAGCTGTTGTTTACAACTGTCAACTGTCGTTAGCCCGTTGTGTTAGTGGTTGTCAGCTGTTGTTGGCTGTTGTCAGCTGTTGTTAGCTGTTGTTAGCTATACCAGTTGTAAGAAACGCATAACACAGTATTTCACTCTTACAAACGCCATAGCACCGTGTTCACAGTTAGATGTTGGGCAGTACAACATATACCACTTATTTAATTTTACAAAAACAAACGGAAGTGCTAATAAAAAACACATTACGAGAGCTTCCACTGTTACTCTTTACTGTCTTTACTTGATGCATCTTGGATTATGGCGTTGTCGTCAAGTTGGGGTTGGTGAGGATCGTCCGACTTTCCGAGTTGGAAATACGACTTCAGGGGGGCGTTCCAGATGAATTTCCGACTTGGAGCTTGGAAATCCTAACTTTTAAGTACAACTGGAACACAGCATAACTACGCAAACTAATTTACTCTGTAGACATCTGTTGCTAGATGACAAGGGCTGCGCTTCCTGTTGCCCTTGTCAGGACTGACGAGAGACAGGAATGTCTTTAATCAACTGGTCTGCAGAGGCCACAAAGGCCTGATCCTTCAAAGGTCCTTTAAGATGGGAATCCTTGAAAACCTGATCCTTCAAAAGCTGTTTCTTTCAAAAGCTCTTGACATTCTGGTCCTTCAAAGACAAGGTCCTGAAAGAACAGGGTCCTTAAAAACCTGATCTTTCAAAAGCCTGTTTTTTTTAAAATATGGTCCTAAAAACCCTGGTCCATATAAAAAAAACAAGGGCTCTTTGGGAATCTGGACCTTCAAAAGCTAAATCCTGTAAGAATAGGGCCTCTGAAATCCTGGCCCTTCAAAAGCCGGGTCCTCTAATAATTTGGCCATTAAATGCATGGTCCTTTGAAAGCCAGGTTCTCTAATAACTCTGCCCTTAAAATACCTGGTCTTTCAAAACCAGGGCCTTGACCTGGGTCTTCTAAATGCTGCCCCCCCCCCAGGATTGAGACACAGCTATAGAGCCTTGGTCACTTACTGGATGGCATGGAAACTCCCCCCACTAGACGTCATGGAGACAGTGATCACATGCTCTGTTTATATTTACCAGGATTGTTGTAACGATGACTGTCTTGTTTTCCATCCCCATGGTGTCATTTGGGTAAAGATCTGACTTCGTCACCACCATCTTGTCCACCTCATTCCAGTATCCAATCTAACACACACACACACAAATGTTATGTATACCTAACTGAGCACTGAGCTAACATGCTAACCATGCATGACCTGCTGGTAAGTTGTTACCTTCACTGGTCCATTGTTCTTCAGCTCCATAACTGTCACTGAGTAGTTTATCCTCTTCCCATACTGGTCAAACTGGATATTACCTGTGAGACCATCAACACGCACCTTCATACACACACGTACACACACACATACACACACACACACACACGTATAAATGAGTAATAGTTCAACCTGAAAGGGTCAGCTTATCACCAGAGACAATAGGACACACAGCTGAACCAGAACCCACAAACGAAAAACCCAACATACATAGGTTTCAGCTTTCATTTACCTGAATGAGGATTTGATTAGGTTTTACCTGACCATGGGTCTGATCTGGTTTTTACCTGACCATGGGTCTGATCTGGTTTTTAACTGTCCATGAGTGTGATTTCGTGTTTACCTGTTTGAGGGCTCGTTCAATCTCCACCCCCTGAGCCCATGGCACCGCGGGATTGGCCAGACAGTCCCCACTGTTGCCACGGCGACTCATGTCTATCCTCTGCTTGTGAAGAAAGCGAAAGGCCTCGGTCATCACATTGACGGCGTCGTAGGTGAGGGCAGAGGTGTACTGAGGACAAGGACAGAACTCTTTTAGAGCTGTGTGCGAGAAACTCAGTATCTCTGACTCTGATCCTCTTAAATGAACGTATGGATCCAGTCTTTTTTTACTTAGTGAGACAATAGTTGTAATAACAATAATAATAATTATTATTTTATTTATAACATGAACTTCATGGAACTCAAAGACACTTTAAGATGAAGAAAACACAGTAGTGAATGGAATAACAACACATTACAAAGACAGTAAATACAGATGAAAAAATTTAATCAACAATTAAAAACAGATTTGAACATGTGGGTTTTGATGAGGGCATGGACGAAATTTTGATTTCAAAAGTGGGGGGGGGGGGGGGGCACGAGAACGAGTGAAATGAATGATCATCAAGAAAGGACCGGAAAAACATTCAGAAAAATCTGTACGTCTTGCAAGAATACATGTTAAATGAGGATAGTGGAGCACCACCATTCACAGCAGTGTCCTAAAACCTTACTCTGATCCGAGAATCCGCTCCAGGATATTCTTTCTCCTCCAGAGCCTCCCATCGCTGGTCAAACTTCGCCACCACGGGATCATCAAAATCTACGATCTGAAAGCCGGAAACATTTGCTCCTCCGTACTGGATTTTAGAGAGGTCACCATCTAAAAACCCCTGAAACAAGATTAAAACAAGATCCTAAAAATCAGCGACAAGAGCATCGAGATCAGAAACAGAGTAAAAAAACAAGTCAGGTCCATATAATTAAGGACAATTACAGGATTATCCAGATCAACAAAAGAATAGTTAAAACTAAAAACACAATTTTCCAGATCAACAACATCACCTACATACAGAATAAGATCAAAATAATAATGTGCTTAATATGTTTGTATGCATCTGTCGGTTGGTATGTTCATGCATGTGTGTTCCCATCTATCTGTATGCTGTATGTATGTCAGTTTGATAGTCTGTATCAATCAATCAATCAATCAATCAACTTTATTTCTATAGCACATTTAAAATAACCACAAGGGTAGCCAAAGTGCTGTACAATGACACATTAAAAACAAATAACACAGTCAAAGAACAAGATAAAGCAAGCAGAAATACATTAATGCAAGGGAATAAATAAGTAAATAAATAAGCAGACTCACGGCAGGTGCTAAAATGATAAAAAACAAAATAACACTAAAAGTTTCAAAAGCCAAGGAGTAAAAGTGTGTTTTTAAAAGGGATTTAAAAACAGGAAAGGAGGAGGCCTGTCTGATTTTCAAGGGCAACTCATTCCAGAGCTTCGGGGCAGCAGCAGCAAACACACTGTCCCCTCTGAGCTTCAGCCTTGTATTTGGGACCGCCAGTAGCAGCTGATCGGCTGATCTCAGGGGTCGGGGTGGGCAATAAGGCTGGAGCATCTCAGAAATGTAAGGTGGAGAAAGATTGTTCAGGCTTTTAAAAAATATAATAAAAGCTTAAAATTAATTCTGTGCTGTACAGGGAGCCAGTGTAAGTGTATGTAAGTTTGTGTTCATTTTTGTATGTATGATCTTATGTTTGTATGTATGTATTCTTGTCCATGTGAAAGTTTCTATTTAGAACTTCCTGTCATATCCAAATTATACCTCTCTAATCTGAGCTAACTGTCCTGACCTAGAAACAGGTTTGAAACAGGAAACAAGTTTTGATAATGCTCTAATAATAGGGGTAGAAACTGTGAGAGGGACTCACCAGGTTAGCGATGATATAGTGGTATCCTTTTACATGACGACCAATGGTGATCACCTGCAGAGAACAAAGAACAAAATGAGTCAGTAACAGAGAAAAGATTTATTCCCGAGAAACATTTTTACTACATATCTTACTTTCTGGTGATTCCCATTGAATACAGAAACTCTCCTGAAATGCAGTTATTTCTGGTCCTAAACGGTTAAATTCTTCACGCTAAGATTCAAAGAAAAGTCTGAGGAACCTGCTCCATGATGTCTCTGACTTTGTCCTGTTCACAGTCCAGGATGATGCGTCGCTCCTTACGGATCTCCAAATCCTAAAAATGCAACAAAAAAAAAAAAATTAAAAAAAAAAATACAGAAACTGTAACAATGTCCAGGCTGCCAGTGTTTAAGAAGCCAGTTTGACATGGAGAGAGATCTGTAAAAACATCGCAAGACCCTGAAATATCAGCCACAAATGTAAGAAACCAGAGTAAAAACCATGAACTAGTCTATAGAGGTTGGGGTTATCACTTGGTGAAAATGTAACATGATCAGAGGACAGTAATGAAAAATAAGGATCAAATATCAAAGACATTTTTTAGGGTTATTTCTTTATTCAGTGTTTCGTTACTAAAAACAAGAGCATGTTGGGATATAAGCAGATGATTTAAAGCTGCAGCATGTAGTAGAAGCAGAACATTAGTACCTGGAACAAGGAGCGGTACGCCTCGTCTTTTCGCTCGTCTTTCAGGTTTCCCACGTTGATGGCGGTGACAACCCACTTCTTCTCTGCTGCAGTGTCCAGGATGACCTGAAGAGTCGATAGACCTGAAACCCAGAACAAAACTTCATGAGCATCTTTCTAAATTCACCGTAGCATAAAATCAGAACTGTTTGCAGGTAACTTGGTTCTTCAAAACAAAAATACCACTGAACCATCCGGCCTTTGGCCTTCCTGATTCTCACAGCTGGACTCTCCTCACCTCTGTCGCTGTCATACAGGTAAGCAAACTTTTCCCACTTGTAGTACTCCACCAGAGAAACCAGCGGGCCTTTAATGTCTGGTCTCATCTGCAGGACGAACTGATTCATTCCTTCAGCGGGGAAAGACGGCGTGATGAAGGACACGTGCAGCGTCTCACAGAAAGACGTGATTGTGTTCACGGACTTCTTATCATAGAAGCCAAAGATGGCATAGACGCCACGAGAGAACTGCGAACAAACTGAGAGAACAGCAAATTTCACAAATTTTACAAAACAACAAGAGCTTTGGGGGCACAGGAGAGCAGAGAATCATTGAATCAATCAATCAATCAATGAGCCATCCTTTGTTTTCTTGCTTGTGTTTTCCGTACTTTCTGGTTGCTTTCTACTGTCTGATATTATAACACGCTAACTTTGTTTGGGCTCTTTCGTATTGGAAGACGTGGAGCGTGCCTCACAACACGAGGGAGTAGCATCTGCCTAACAACTAATCAGCTTTACTTTATTCACTGGTGAGAGAGTATAGACTGCTGAGAGTTGTTTTTTTCTGACAGTGGAGGGTTGAGGGTAATGTAGGCATTGGCCTATCATTGATCCTTGTCCTGGACATTTTAAAGGTGAGACTGTTTTTCTGATGTTTTAATAGTAAAGTCGCATATAGAAAAAAAATGAAAGTATTTCAAACAGAAAAGTTTGACAAAAAATAAAATCTTGTTTTTTAGTGTTTGATTAAAAAAAGGGAAACTGTTTGCTGTAACACTGGATCTGTTTTTATTCCAGTGGACAGACAGAAGTCTCTGAGTCTGCTGCTTTTTTTAGTCGTCCTACTTTAATGACCCTGATCTTCACTCTGAGACAAAAGCTCCCTTTTTATCTTTCTGTGTAAAATATGGCACAAGCTACAATCACACAGAGAGAAATATTTCCAGATTTTAAATGTAAACTGCTCTCAGGAGACTTTCTGCCCTCTCTGTTGTCTGAAACCTTCTTCATTTTGTCTGTGCCCTCTCTCTTGTCTGCAGACTCATTCTGATATCTTGAAAGGGGATAATAAACTCCGGATGTGGTCTGGTGTTGAATTAAGATGTCTGGACTCAGAGCGGAAATATTTTTTCATTCAGACGATTTAGAAAATATCTTAACAGTTTAAACCTCCAGATTCTGATTTTACATTTTTACTTTGATCTTTTCTGAGGCCACATGTGGTTTGCAGAGCACAGTGTGTGAGTGTGTTTGTGTGTGTCCGTGTGTGTGTGTATCAGGTGCAGAACAACAGTGTAAACAGCAGAGGTCTGCATGCATCATGGCGGTACAGTGAACTTAAATAGCGAAACGCTGAGCCTGAAGCCTTCATTACATCATGCTCTGATGAAGAGGAGGAGGAGGGGGAGGAAGGAGGGGGAGGAGGAAGAGGCTGCATGCATAGAATCAGGTTCAGCACGTATCTCTGACCCACTTCCACTACCATACGAACATCGAATCATTTAAAGTCTAATTTCAGACAGACTTTAGAAAACACAGTCACCCTCTAAATAAATTAAGTATTTAGATTTGAAGTCTGATCTGTGACAGACTCAAACCAAACACTGTTCATTGATAAATATATTAATTTATTTCTTTATTATTAAAGAAGTGATTAGGATGGACAGCATGCAGTAAAGGGTCTGTACATGGATACACCTCCTCAGGATTTATTTTACTATATTATACAAATGAATCGTAAAACCATCTCTGCAACAACAGGTACAATAACAATAACATCCTCACCTGTAACTGAGAGCTTGAATTTAGATCAATGAGAACATCTCAGAGTTTTACTTACAGCAGTTTGTGACGGCAAAGCTGTTCGCCACTTCCAGGTTATCGATGTGAGGAGTCAGTCTGAAATCTGTCATCCCGAACTGAACCATCCCCACCCGGAACGCACTGTACTCCTGATCAGCCCCCCGAGGAAACAGCCCACCTGGTGGGGAGAGGATGACAAATGATACAAAGATGTAAAAATGAGAGACAATAGATGGAGGAGCAATTTTATACTTACATTTATTTTTTATGTTATAGGATTTGTAGTCATTTATCATCTTTGCTGAGGTGTTTATATCTGTATTTCCATTAATTTATTCTTTTCTTTTTTGAAGTACTAACCCGCGCTGTCATGATAATTACATTCTAATCAATGCGAGAGTTGTGGTGTGATCTGTTATTGAGGACACCTTTTTTTTCTGGAACCTGTGGTCAACCAAGTAGCAGCGAAGTCTGGTCTCTCTGAATTTTCTGCAATTTTTACTCTATTTTCTTTTCTACTGATGGATACTTCTGCTGGGTGAAGAGTTTATTCAAGAGAGGAGCTTATTTTTCTGACACATAGCAAATCTGGACAACATTTAATCCACCAGACATCCGGAGGTGTTTTCATGGTTGCTGGGCTGGTGCAAAGTTGAAGGCAAAGTTGAAGGCTTTGAAATGGATATACAAACCCTTTCTTCCAACAGTCATCAAGGGAAACGTCAACTCTCTGCCCTATGAAAGCGATTAGTTGGAGATATTGGTGAAGACTGAGAAAGTGTACTGTGAGTGCGCTCTCCTGTGTTCTTCTAAAACCTGGTTGAATCAAAACAACTCGGGCTCCAGTGTGGATCTACCTGGCTTCACTCTCAAAAGGTCAGACAGAGATGCTAAAGCTAGTGGCAAGAAGAAAGGAGGAGGTCTGGCTTTATTTTTAAATCAGAGAAGGAGTAATCCTTCACACATAACTGCCTAGAAGAAGTTGTGGTGTCCAGATACTGAACTGTGGGCAGTTGCTCTTTGGCCATATTATATTCCAAGAGACTTCAGTCATATGGTCGTACACAATACTTGTATACATCCCACCTAAGGCAACGACTGAAGTTCCGTGGGATGTTCTCCATGATTAAAAAAAAAAAAATGGCGAAAGAAGCTAGTTCTGTTGTTGGAATCAAGCTGGACTCAGTGGAGGATGTGATGGAGAGATGCACACTGAGGAGAGTGAAGGTTACTCTAAAGAACATGGATCATCCTCTTTATAACACCTCGATGGACCAAAAGACAACTGTTGTAGATGGTTCCTCTCTCTTCACCGCAGGATGGAGAGATTCAGAAGATCTTTTGTACCCCAGCCATCAGATTTCTTAATTCTTCTTTTTATAGTAGATGACATGAGATACCAGACAAACAAATTTCCCTTTGGGGGTCAATAAAGTTCTAGTGTTGTATTGTATTGTTCACTGATAGTTTATTCTCTTGTTTTATTTCACAGTCAGGATCAAACCATCAAACAGGGATCGCCAGTGAAGAGAGAATCAATATCAATTTTAAAAGTTGTTCGTCAGCTGAGCTCCTGCGGTGGATTTGGCAGAATGAGGTCATATTTCCACACTCTGGATCTTCAGCCCTGAGCAGAGCGGCTGAGGCTCTGGGGGGAGGGAGGGTGAGTTGATGAGTTGATGCTCACTTCAGCCATCAGTAACACTTTTATTAATCAGCTGTTAACCCGTCCAAGAAGTCACAGCGGATCCTCTCATGGCTACTGCCGTCAGTCTTAGGAATTCATTCAGAAAATAGTCCCTCACTGACAGGTCTCTGTGGAACCCTAAACCAACCCGCTCCTTCCATTGATACCTTCAACACTAAAAACTGATACCTAACATCATTACAGCTGTTACAGCTACAGCCAACTGCTGTCATTTTCACTGTGTCTATCCGGAGGCTCTGTCAGAATAACTGTATTTGGTTTTTGGTCAATCATCAGTCGCTTTCACTTTTTAAGGTGTGACAAAAGGCTTATGGTTGTAGTGATGGTCTTTGTTAAGTTCACAGTGACACTAACTGAAACCGTAATAATGTCAGTGATGGTCCCAGTAATGCAGTGCTGTTGCAGGTATGGTTGCGTTGGTATTTGTAGTGATAGTAGCAATGATGGCCACAGTGATGTGTTAGCAATGGTCACTTAGCGCTTTGCCCCGCTGCACTATTGTTATATTCTGGGTTTGTTTTTTTTATTCCTGGACAAATTTCAATTTACTACTAGTCCTATAGCTTTGAGAGTTGTAGCACAAATAATTTATCAAAACGTGCAGTTTGATCGGGATTTGTGTGCTATTACTTTTCTCTATTGTGTATGAATTTTTCACGCTGTTTGCATTGAAATCAGTGGGACAAGCCAAAATAAAAAAATGGCAATTATTACATTTTTCCAAACGTCGACTGCTCCAGCTCTGTTTTTTGTTGTATAAATAAATACTTAAAAAGGTAATTTTGTTGTGAGTGTATGTAATACCACAATATTACCAGTATAAATTATGTGAAATCTCTGAAGAATCTCATCATCATGTACACACCCCAGCAGTAGCCCCCCGTGGCCCTTTCGAAATTCCCCAGAGGGAATTTTCTAGTTGCATTTACTGTGCCCATGTTGGCAGTAGTGTGTTTGACAGTGAAGGCTGCAGGGCTTTATTAAATGTTACATAAACAAAAGCTGCTGTTGGATGTTAAGCCAAGCGTATTTTTAGATTCTTCTATGCCTTTCCCCTATTGTTATTTTCTCTATCCATCGGCGTTTGGTCTTTCCAGACCAGATTTCTGGTTCTTGCAGTTTGATAACCTTAACTTTTGTTGAGTAGCCTAAGTTTACATCCCTAACCTTGAGCATTTGGGAAAACCTTTATTTTTTATGGAAAACTTCTGGTATTGTAGTAAGTGTAGGCTGCTGCTCCTGATTTTCCAGCGGTGATAGATGAGGATGAGGTTGCAGAGTTTTGTCATTGTTGATAAGGGCTGATGGAGGATCGGCCTTTTTTTTTGTTATAAGTAAGACCAAACTTCTTGTATAAAGGCGTCCAGAACAACATTTCGATCATCTTCTTCCTCTTGATCTGGGCCATGAGCCCTTTGCTATTAACGTACTGTAGCTCCGTGTAGACAGAGGCAGTGGCAGCTCCGCTTTTAGCCCTGCACATGTTGGCGTTCAGGAATTCAGCTCTGCACATGATTCAGTCTCCTTTTGGTTTGTCCTGACTCGTGAGATGGAGAAATGAGGCAATAAAGATGCAGAACACACACATAAACACTCAAACATACACATACACACACCCACATGCTCCACTAAAACCATGTGAAGCTGTTTAAACACTCAGCGCTCCCACACAGTTTTTAATCCACTTCAGGTTACACTGCAGCTTCCCTGATCTCTGCTGCACAGTTTGTCTTTTTTATAAATGTGAAACATCATTTGGTTTTACATTTCCATCCTTTCCTCATCCTTCCACACCAAACTCATCGTCAGGTAAGGCTGCTCATTAATTGCATTGGTATGGAGATCAGAAGGAGTATTATGCTTTTCCACATTTACAACGCAAAATGCAAAGTTGTAATGTATTGTGTCCATACTAGATGGTGTCCACACAAGTTTTCAAATCTCAAGGTATCAGAACATCGTAATAATCCTAGAAAATAGATATAAACTGCTCAAAAAGGTTTTTTGGGAAACACAAGGCTTTTTTGACCTGAAAGTCATGTAAATCTATTAAAGAGGTATCAGAAAGGAAGTATAGATTCTGAAAAATATTACCCCCTCTTTAAAAATATTTTATCATGATTTGACGCCGCCCACAGAAACCTCTTTAAAACTTAAAAACTATTAATATTAAGAGTAGCACAAGTTGACAAAACTGTTTGACTTCGACATCCACCAAGCTCTACTTTCAGACCGGTGTTTTGCTCTTTTAGGACGGCTAACTTTTAAAGTGGCCAAAAGTAAATCGGCACCTGAACACATGTCCATGTGGTGAATGCTTGTGTGAATAAAACAGCAGATGCTTCTCGGTCTTTAGGTTTACCGCAGAGTCTGACTCGTCTGCAGCATCACAGCTTGTGTTTATCCTGAGGCGGAGGTGTGGGTGGAGGTCAGGGCTGTATCAACCAATCACACCCTTCAAATACTTAAATAGACACGGCGGTAATAAAGAAAGCTCACATCACTGTCTCAACTATCAACATTTAGCCAGTTAAACCATATGTCCAATAATCAGAGACCACACACACACACACACACACACACACACACACACACACACACAGTGTATTTAGTGATCACCTGATGAACACAAACCAGTCAAACTTTAAAAACAGGAAATCAGAGGTAGGGGGTGTCCCAGTACAACTTTTTTACTTCTGATACAATAGCGGTATTGTAGCCTTCAGTAGTTATCGATAACGACATTGATCTGATATTGACACAAACTTGTGCATGACAAGTTTTGCACTCAGCTGCAACATCTTTCTCGGAGTTAGACCAAAAACTCTGCCATACAGCCGACATCACTCCTACTCCTTGCTACTTTGTTAGTACCTCAGTACACGCCGTTGTTGTGATCACATGAGGTCTGCTTGCTGGATTATGGCTCTGCTAGATAAAGGTGCCAGAGCGGAGTCTGGAATGGACTGCTTGTATCAGAGTGCTGATATCAGAGATTTTAGATGCAGGCCGATATAATCCTATATTCGTTTTTTAGCAGACTGATATCCTATATCAATATTGGATCGGGACATCCCTAATCAGAGGCAACAAGAGGAGTTATAGTTAACCAAGGATGGGAAGTAGAATTTTCACAACCTAATGAGGGGTGCCTGATGGAATGATTATTTCTTTATTGTTGTGCTAACGCTGTGAGAGATGATGGTATTGAGTGAGTTACTCATTAAATAAAAACCACTGAAAACTTGCTGTGAGTATGATAGAACCAGGACAGACTGCTGCACATGCTCACTGAGGGTCAAAGTTCACCTATCACGGTGAGCCAGGAATGGAAATTAACCACCTGCTACTTACCAAATGCTGGTGTTTGAGCACAGTGTCAGGTGACTTTGTTTATCCTGCTGGACACCACTGAACAGACAGATTTCTGACTGACAACAACACTCAGTCATTTTCCTGCTCTGATGCCTCACAGTGGAGACAGACAGAGCTACACGCTGACTGACCAAAGAGCTTCACTTCCTGAACTCAACTTAGTTTGGCTTGAACCTGCAGGGAGATACAGACCTGCTCAGATAGGCCAGGGCCTGTTCAAGTAGATAATAATCTGCTCAGGTAGAAAGAGAACTGCTAAGGCAGACAAAGACCTGCAGTTGTGGAAAGAGACCTGCTCATGTAGATACAGACCTGCTCAGATAGACCAAGACCTGCTCAGGTAGATAGAGACCTAACTGGGTGTTGAGTGAACTGCTAATGTCGATAGAGACCTGCTCAGATAGATGTAGATCTGTTCAGGTGAATATAGACCTGCTTGTGTAGAGACCTACTCAACTAGAAAATAGACCATCTTATGTAGATGGACATCTCTCAGGGTAGATTGAGAACTACTCTGGTAGATAGCATCTTCCTTAGATGGAAGGAGGCGTTTTCAGGCAGGTCAAGACCAGCTTTGGTAGATAGAGACCAACTCAAGAAGATTATAGTCCAGCTTATGTAAATAGAGACCTTTTCGGGTAAAAAGAGACAATCCAAGGTGAATAAAAACCTTGCTAAAGTAGACAGAGACCTGCTCCTGTAGAAAAGAACTGCTAAAGCAGGTAAAGACCTGCTTGTGTAGAAAGAGATCAGTGAGGTAAAAGAAGACCTGCGCAGGTAGACAATGACCTGCTTTGGTGCTTATAGAGCCACTTAGGAAGGAAGAAACTTGCTTAGGTAGGTAAAGATAAACTTTATCTTTTTATAGCGTTTATAGAAACGTTCTCAGGTAGATAGAGACCAGCTCAGGTAGATTAAGACCTGCTTGTGTAGAAAGCAGGTTTTCAGGTTATAAAAAAAACAACTCATGTCAACAATAACCTGCTCAGGTGAAGAAAAAAAAGTTTTGCTAGGGTAGAGACCTAGTTCTGTAGACAGAGACCTGCTCAGGCAGAAGAGGGCCTTCTCAGGTAGATAAAGACCTGCTCATGTGGACAAAGACCCACTGAGGCAGAGAGAGATCTTCTCATGTAAACAGACCTGCTTACATAGATAGTGACATGCTTAGGTAGAAATCAGACCTTCTTGTGTAAAAAAACAACTGCTCAGAAATACAGAGACCAACTTAGATGGACAAAGACCTGCTGAGATAGAAACATACCTATTAATGTAAACAAAGACCTGCTTAGGCAGATAAAGCCCTTCTCAGGTAGACAAAAGCCCTGCTTATCTCTTGTCACTCAGAAAGAGCTCAAGCGTTACAGGAACGAGGAAGCGGCATCTGCCCTGGATGCTTAAATGCTGTGCGGCTGGCCTCCGAGAGGGATATTCCGGCGTAAATTTAAATTATGGTCAAACACGCCATAACACTGAGTTAGACAACCCCTCGAGAGATGAATGTTGCCAACTGCTTACTTCTCTAGTTATACCAACTTCAACAACGGCCACATGATAGCAATACACACTACAACCCCACACATCCCTAATTTCATCGTCAGCGCATGTATGGTCCCGGCATGTAGTACTAACCATCAAAAATCTTTTTAGCTTTGCCTGGCAGAAAGGAGACCAAACACAACTTTCACACTCTCTTCCAGCAGCCGCTTGTTGTGGGGAAGCCCTGAGTCAAACACCGAGTGCAGTTTCGCAGCTTAAGGAAAAACATTTATGATTATTACTTAATGGAAATGCAATTAGACCAAGACGCTAAGGCAGGAGAACTACCGCGTCTGCAGTACAAAATGATTATTATGATGATTATTACTTCATGGAAATGACCGGCTGCACTCCCTTAATGGTAATAATGCAATGTTTAACGTTAATGATACCAAGTTTCGCCTTCATGTGTCTTCCTCAGATTATGTTACAGTTACGTTTGGAAAAACAGAACGACGTGAGGTTTTCTATGATGACTCATTCTCGGTTGCATTTTCACATGAGTAAGCCAATATTAAAATATTTTTAGAGGAAGAGGAGGGAACCTGAGGGGGAGAGTGGGGAGACAGAAGATAACAGAGAGGTTTAATATTCATGACTTTATTATGACTTTATGTCCTCATGTTCAGAGATATTGATGAGTACCCTGGCAAGTGTAATATTAACATGTTTTAAATGAAGTGCTCTCAGCCTGGCTGCAAATTGTGCCATTAGACAGGCTAAATTTTGTTAGTGTTAAATAAGTAATTTATGTATAGACGTTTATTTGGAGTTCAGGGTTTGGTGGTGGTAGTGGTGGTGGGTGGGTGGGGGCAAAGCTTTCCCCCGCAGTTTCAAAAAATCCTGGAGGAAACCCTGTAGCCTGAGGGTGAACAAGCAGCCTCAGAGCTACGACTGTGGCTTTTTTATGAGGTAAGTGTATCTGACCTGCTCATTCTTCCTTTACAGTAGGTGTGTCATTTTCAGTCCTTAGACTCTAGTACTTTTTTTTCCATTTTTACAGTCTGACCAATGGTGATCTTCCTTTTTTTCTGATAAATACACCCCTGATGTGATTAAGACCCCCTTTTCTGTAAGCACACTCTGTTAAACAGACAGTCTGGGCTAACAGTATAGGTGATAGCCCCCTCATCATTCCTGAGATCTCTTACTGGGGCTTTGAGATCTATCTAACCAGCTTACTCAGAGAAAGACGGATATGTTGAAGTGATTCAGCCCCCAGGGGGCACTCAAACACAGTGATCTGTGAAGACACAGAGAGTGAAACCACGTTCCCTGAAGAAGGTCATTAAACAAACATGGCTGCTGGTTCACAGCTGCTCAGTGCAGAAAAAGAACTGTGATTAATAATAAAACAGATCTGTGCATGGACATCTTTCCTCCCTGATTTCAATCTCTGAACAGAATCAAGTCAGGGATCTGAATAAATTCACTGTTTTCAAATCAAAATTAAGAATGATTGTGTGTAAATGACACCCTTCAATTTGAAAACCTTTATAGACAGAGGAACAGTAAAATAAGGGACCTGAATGACAAACAATTTGTAAATGAAAATCACTTGTCGTCAGTGATTTTTAAATCAAAAATTGTTTCATGTACATGAGGTCTATCCTTTTAACATTTGAAAACCTTTTAGACTCGTGGAGCATGTTTTCATCACTTCATCTCCTAATTTTAAGTCTTGAGTTTTTGGCATAACTGAGGATGATTGTTGGTTAGTTCTCAAGACATTTTCGCTTGATGTTTTATCAGGTAGGGATAAACAAAGAGTGGTCTAATATTACATTCAACTGCATTACCCTGACCCTGTTTTAAATTGAAATATCAAAACCAGCAGAAAAGCTTCGAGAGGAGCTGTGGCCGTGAACCAGGTCTCTGAGCTCTTTATTTGGAGAATGATACAGAACAGCAGCACTAATGACAGGGACTTGAAGGATAGGAACCCTTTATAGACAAGTAGAGAGATTTTACAGACTGACAAAGCGACACATAAGTATGTCTGAAGACCAGCAACATCAGCACCATTTTCAGTTGATGGAGTGATTGTGACCTGACTCTACTCTTTGACCATGTGGACATGCTTAAGGTATTTTTCACAATAAGAACAAGCATACAGAAAACTGGACACTCTTAAGTAATATTTTCAGTTCAGTTCTCTTGTTGCAGGAATTCCACATTTAGTAGCTTCAAACCTAACTTTGTATATCTATATGTCTGCAGAGATTATGTTATGAGTCTGCTCTGCATGTTGATGTTCACCATGTTACACTATTTTTACACCCCTTCAAAGGGATATTCCGGCGTAAAAATAAGTTAGGGTCAAACACACCATAACACCGTGTTAGACACACCCTCGAGAGATGAATGTTGTTGACTGCTTGCTTCTCTAGTTATACCAACTTTAGTAACGACTGCACGATAGCAAAACGGTCTACATCTCCACATCTCCACGTGCACGCCTCAACCAAAAAGCGGATCATTTCCCTGAAGTAATAATCATCATAATAATCACTTTGCACAGCAGATACGGTAGTCCTCCTGCCTTAGCATCTCGGTCTGATTGCGTTTCCATGAAGTAATGATCATAAATGTTCTTGCTTGAGCTGCGAAACTCCACTGCACAAACAAGCAGCTGCTGGAGGAAAGTGGGCGAGTTGTGTTTAGTCTCTTTGCTAATGAAATCAGGCAAAGCTAAAAAGATGTTTAGTGGCTAGTACTATGGCTGGGACCCTATATGTACTGTTGATGAAGTTAGGTGCTGTTCTTAGCATTATTTGTGGCTATAGAGTGGCTTTTTGGTTGAGGTTTGTGATGTAGACCTTTGACGTAGACCGCTATGTATTGCTGTCGTGCGGCCGTTTCTGAAGTTGGTATAACTAGAGAAGCAAACTAAGTGTTACGGTGTGTTTGACCCAACTTAATTTAATGCCGGAATATCCCTTTAAGTTGTGCAGCTCTGCTGTATTGTCAGTTATATCCAGTATGTTCTAATATTCAAACAACGCTCAAAACAAAGATGTCAACACACCAAACACACATGCCTGTCAACTCACCAGTCACGAAAGTCTGCCACTTTTTTCAATGATTAAGTTCAAGTGAGTATCGTTGATGTTGTAGTGATGTCTGAATATGTTCAACCACCTGTACAGACACTACATGTTTTTATCGCCTTATTTTATGGTTTTATTAATGGCAGCAAAAGATCATGGGAATAGCAGCACAACTCAACTTTAAATGTAAATGTCAAATTAGACAACAAGTGATAATTTTGCAAACCATGACTTCACCTACAACAATATTCACATTTGACCGGAGATCTGGTGGAGATCCCAATTGTCCAGCTAATTTGTCTAATGGGTACTTGATCTGGAGATCTGATGCTCCACTGTGGCGCCTCCTCTGCTGCCTCACAGGTGAGCTACAGGTTTTTTTTATCATTAAAGAGAGCTGCTTCCAACAAACTGGACTAACAGCTCTTTTTATAATACAGCGCAACTCTGCATCGGCGCTGAAACAGCAAGTTCAGTCATCATTATGCCAAAACACTCACACTGCACCCTGAAAGTGTCCTACAGCAGGAACCACACACACTCACCATGCTGTTCTGCCCTGCCAGCTCTGATACTTAATATCAATCCCCTCTTTTACACCTTTAATAGTCACAAACTGTAGGCGAGGCTTAACAGCATAAATATCCCACCTTGAATTGGCGGCATGTAATCATATTTTTTCTTTCACTGGAGTAGAAGCTATAATCCTTTCACAACGAGCTTCATATATGTCCACCATTTTATAAAAAGATCCCTGCATTACATTTCTGAGCTCAATGGTGGCCTTCATCAGTCAGGTTACAATGAGCACACCTTCCGCTTGTGTTTAAGACCAAACTGCATCAAATAAACTAATGCAGTGATAAATTACTTTGACTTCATTTGGCTCGTAAAAGTTCTGATTCCAATGTTTTCCCAAAAGTTGAAACTAATGCCAAAATATTAGGTAAAAGTGACAGCCCTACAGACAACACACCAGCAAGAGTTCAAGTTAGAAGTGAAACCCTGAAATGAATTAAAGCATTTTGATGTGAAACTGAGATTTAAAAGTTTAAAGGAACTGAACTTTAAGGTTTAAACTGTGTTTTATTTCATATTCAGAGACACTGCTTACATAAGGTCCTCCACACTCGGCTGAAGCTTTCCTTTGGAAGGAGGGTTTGTTTGATTTTGACACCTGCGTGTCTGCCACCAAGAGTAAGCAAACATGGAACCAGACCAGGACCAAATTCAGGCCAGAACCTGATCAAAACCAAATCAGGACCAGATTTAGATTGGATCAGGACGCCTCTACCTGTCCAGTCGAACATCAGTAAACATCTTTATGACAGCATGGGCACACGCACGCACGCACCACACAATGCACTGTCAGTAAGATACACGAGCACATGCACACATATAAAAGATGAAAATGTTGACATAATTAGAGCACTGCAGTGGAGGAGGAGGAGGCCTCCGAGCTGGGCGAAAAGGAGAGGAGAAAAGGAGGAGGCCCGCAGCGGGGAGGAAGAGGAGGCAGAGGAGGAGGAGGAGGAAGAGGAGAAAAAAGGAGCAGCAGCAGGATGAGGAGAAGGAGGAAAATCAGATGGTGAGAATAACGCTGACACACCGATGAACGGATGAAGATTAAGAGGAGGAGGAGGAGGGTGACAGAAATGAAGATCTCACCTATCTGCACGCTCGGGGACCCGCACAGCGCCTCGCGCCACAAGAGCGTCACCACAAACAGCAGTTTCATGTTTTCTGGCTCCTCACGCGACCTCTCGCATCCGGCAGCTCTCCGGTAATTCTCCGGTTTTACCGAATCAGCACCTTCATCACACACGGCGCGAGCTCATGGCGTCGGTCCAGCTCCGCTCACAGCTCGAGCTCTGCAGAGTCCCCTCTGCTCACAGGCGCGTGCACGGTGCTGCTGCTGCCGCTGCTGCTGCTGGACGGTAGCGCGCCCGACTGCCAAGGAATACCGATGAGACACGAGAGAGGCCGACAAGAGCCGAGAGCCGAGCGAAGATCACCGAGGAGAGAGAATGGAGAAGGGAGAGGGGAAGGAAGTAAGGAGGAAAGAGTGGGAGAGACAGAGACAGGATGGAGGGGAGAGAGGAGGGATGGAGGAAAGAGAGGGGCGACAGAGTGAGGATAGAAGGTAAGAGAGGAAGGAAGGAAGGAAGGAAGGAAGGAAGGAAGGAAGGAAGGAAGGAAGGAGGAAAGAGTGGGAGAGACAGAGACAGGATGGAGGGGAGAGAGGAGGGATGGAGGAAAGAGAGGGGCGACAGAGTGAGGATGGAGGGGTAAGAGAGGAAGGAAGGAAGGAAGGAGGAAAGCTTTCTCTCCAGATGGAGGAATAACCACTCTCTCTTCATCGTTGATAATCAATAACTGATTTTTTCAGTGAAAATACAATACAAACCAGACACCATTACACAAGCCCAACGCATCACCATGATCCTCATCATCCTCACCTTAAGTCAACCTATCAATTAACCCAAAGGGCAATCCTTTTTTTCTTTAACCAGGTAGGACATCAGGGTTTAAGTGACTGAATCATTGCTGCTTCACAGGGCTTCAGTCAGACTGATCGCCTCAGCCAGTAAAAGTAAGGTAGCCTACAACAGAATTATTTTAAAAAAGAGAACTTCATAAAGAATTAACAAAGAACCATCTATGAACTAAGAACGACCAAAGAAATAATTCAAATCTAAGTACTTTTTAGAAAATACTTTAAATGTGTAAAACTGAGCTGATTCAGTTAGAACAAATGTTTTACACTGAAACACTTAAGCCTTGAAAATATAATAAAATGAAGAGAGTGAGATTAAAAAAAAGAGAAAACTAAAAAGAAAGAGCGTAAGAGAGACTTAGAAAGATACAGAAATACACTGAAAGGAACAAAAACAGACTGAAAGGCCCAGAGACTTAACACTCTAAAACAGATAGAAAGACATTGAGAGACAATGAAAAAAAATAAATAAACCGGACTCAAGTGTCATGATATGTTCTGTTGTCCCCCTGTGTTTGGTGATTTGAGTGTATTTTCCCTAGTGTTTCTGTTCCCTATTGTTCCTGTTCCCCTGTAGTCTTGTCTTGTGAGTTTTCCATTTGTGTCTAACCCTTTCCCCCCATGTCCTCAGTGTTTTATTCTCTATTATTAGTTTTTGATGTTTCCTGTTTTTTTGTAGTAGTAGTTTATTCCATGTGTTTGTAGTCCTGTTTTACTCAGTTAATACTCCTAAGTAATTGTCCCACCTGTGTGTCTCACCTGCCTCTCATTGCTTGTTTCCCTGTGTGTATATGAAGTCCTTCTCTTCCCCTGTTTCTTCGTCGGTTCATGTATGTTGCTGCCTCTGTGTTTCTCCAGGGTCTTCTTGTGGTTTCTCCCCCAGTGCATTCTGTTTGGTTTTTGCCCTTTTGGATTTTTAGTTGGACATTTCTGAAAGTAAGTTTTTGTTGCTTTTTATTTCTTCATTTTTAAATAAATCATTTATGGTTCTGCACTTGGGTCCTTTCCCTTTTTGTTTCACCCTGAAATGTGACATTAAGGACATAAATGAACCAAAGAGACTGAAACAGAGTGAGGGAGTTTAATAATAAAGAAAGGGACTAAAACAGACTGAGAAACATAGGAAGAGACAAAACAGATTTAAACAGACAAAAACATTGAAACAGACTGAGAGACTAAAACAGGTTCTGAAGAAAGAGATTTACAGATTTCAAATGCGTGGACTTCAGGATGGGATGTTTATAGTTTTTGTCTAGTCTTTAAGGGAAGAGTCTCATGACTACAGCAGACTTCTCCCTTTGAATAAGGTTTAATTCTTGACACAAAAAAGAGAAATTTCAGAAAGCAAAGTCAAGGATCACATGATTTCATATAATGGATGTTATGTTCAAGTAATAGACAGAAATCAGTAGCACGTTACTGAATCATCAATGTCTCATGAACTACTCTTAAAGACATCCTTCAGATTTAAACAGATTCTTTCAATTACTGATTTAATTTAAAATAACCCTGTAATGCAACAGGGAACTACCACGCAAACCTGACTGAGGAGCAAATGCTGAGAACATAAAGAAAAACATTCATCTCATTCAGTCTGAAGCTAAATAATTCAGTTCATCAGAATTCATGCTTATGGACATAGAATTTTCTCAACTAGAATATTGTGAATTTACTAACTACAGCTGTTACTGGTTTATCTTTGGTTCGGCATGACTAGCAGTTACACAATCAAAGCACTAGATGGCAATCTGATTTCACAGATTAAATTTTGCACATTCAGCTGAAAATTAAAATTAACGAGAGACAGTTTATCAATTCAAACCTTCACAGTAACCCAGGGGTTCTCAAGTCCAGTCCTCGAGGCCCACTGTCCTGCATGTTTTGGATGTTTCCCTTCTCCAACACACCTGATTCAAAGGATTAGCTCGTTATTGAGCCATTACAGAGCTTGATAATGAGCTGATCATTTGAATCATGTGTGTTGGAGCAGGGAAACATCCAAAACATACAGGACAGTGGGCCTCAAGGACTGGACTTGAAACCCCTGCAGTAACCAAAGACACTTTTAAGCAATAAAACATTAACTTCAGTTAGACAGCACTCATGTTAATGTGTGAATGTGTCAGTCTGTGAAAGAGTGAGCCAGAATACACAAAGAAAACACATATGTTGGAGGAAATAAAAGGTTTATTTAATTTTCAAAAAAGAAAATATTGATTTGAAATTCTCAGCTGTTACTGCGTCTTCAAACGCCTGGATCTGTAGGGAGCGCCACATTCAGCAGAACATCAAGAGCCACAACAGTTTAATATCAGAGCAGACTGACTGAGCACTAAGCTAACGTCCCAACATATAAACACTCACAGATCTATCATATGCAGATCTATATAGAAACAGCATACACAGACCAGTATCATCTGAACAAAGATTTTTGTGGATGTATTTCAAATAGATTTAGATAAAACTATAGAGATCTCTATAGACCTATCATACACAGATTTTTAAAAATCAACATAAATAAGATGGCGTCTGTATGGTAGATATAGAACAGATAGATCAGATGTCTGTATGGTGGATATACTGTAAATTAAATCTAATGTTGTCTGTGTGGTAGATATAGAACAGATAGATACGTGTAATTTTTATGGTAGACTTAGCACAGACAAACCAGATGTCGTCTTTATAGAAGATGTAGAACAGATAGATCAGATGTTGTCTGTATGTTGGGATGATGTAATCAGCAGATTTTAACACTTTATGATAAAAAGGTTAAGTGCCATAAAAAAAATCATAATCGCAGAACATTGTCTGAAAACTTGCTGACTAACTGTGAAAATGACACACCATGGATTACCTTGAGAAATTTAAAATTTCCTTCACAAAAATATTGTATAGAGGTTCACATGTTTAGGTGAGAGTGGGCCGGGCTAAAATAAGGTAAGCCTTATTTGTACCTGTCTTCAAAAAATCATCACCAACCAGTCTGAAAACAAACATAAGCCTAAAAATCCATAATACTTAAAAACTGATTTGGTCCGATTCAGATTAAACCTTATCCAGATTAAATCTGATCAAGAGTAAACTGATTCCCAACCACAACCCTTTGCTGCATGTCTACCCCCTTTCTGCTCCCCACATATTCTGTCTCTCTTCGGCTGTCCTTTCTAATAAAATCAAAAATACCTCAAAATATAACTTTAAAATAGGATATGCTTTAATCTGATAATCTGAGTCTAAATGTGTTCTTTAAGTGTTAAATGAGTTTATTTTAAGGTTGTCAGGGTTCAGTTTTTATCATAAAGTGTTAGCCTTAAGGTTAGCTGCAGTAGAAGCGCTTGTTGCTAATGCATAGCTCAGGTTTCAGTTTTCATTTGAGCAAAATTCACACAAAGCTTAAAGTTCACAAACATGCAGAATCAGAGTCTGGACTGATGGGACCCAAAGGTTATTAGAGGTTCTCAGGTTCTTCACAGCAGTCTCTGAATGTATTTGAGTTCATCAGAGTCATTTCAGTTCATGGTATTTGTTTGCTTGTTCTCAGTCTGTGTGGTTCTAGATAAGCATGAGAGCAGCTGAACCCTCTCTCACAGGTAGACAGACCAGTAGACCACATTGAAGAACAGGAAGGAAAAGGGGAACAGGGCCCGTGCGTATAGGTCGATGCGTTTGGCAGCAGCAGGTATGACGGGTTTGGGAGGTGGGGGCTTCTTGTTGGCTTTGTTTTGGGACTTGAGCGCCCCTGAAACCTCTACAGGTTTACCATAACAGTCAAAATTAGAGAGCTCAAAGTCTCGAGGAAGAGACCCCACAATGCTGAAATCATTGGAGCGAAGGTCTGACTTAGAGGTACACACCTTCTTACAGCGAGTCTCCACAACCTAGGGGGGGAGAAGGGGTGAGATAGGGAGACATGCAGACTTCAATGTTTGACATCAAAATAATAACCTCTGTAAGACTTTTTATCAGCCAATTTTATAACTACAATGTTCAAAGGTGTTTTAATCCTTTTAAAAGTCATCATTTAAAATTCCATCAAACTTTTTCAGTTCTATAAGCTGCTGAAACTTGTTTTAGTGTGGTTAACATTGTAAATGCTGTGATTGACAGGGCTACAGACCAGGTGTGTTTACCTGCAGAGTGTTGACATGTATAGGTGTTCCTCCTGTCCCGTTCACAGTGTTGTTACTTTTATTATTAGACGGTTTCTTTCCTTCCTTCTCTTTCAAAGCCTGTTCCTTCTGCGCCATCTTAGCCTTTTCTTCCTCGATGAGTTTGGGGCTGTTCAAAATCACCTGGAGGGGGAGACAAAGAGACAAAGAGACATAGTGACAAAAGACGAAGAGACATAGAGACATAAGACAATGAGACATTGAGACAAAAGACAAAGGGACATAAGACAATGAGACATTGAGACAAAAGACAAAGGGACATAAGACAATGAGACACTGAGACAAAAGACAAAGAGACGTAGTGACAGAAACACAAAGACACAAAAAACAAAAAGACAATTGGACAAAAAGAAAAAGAAAAAAGACAAATACACAGAGAGACTGAGAAAGAAAGATACAGAGAGATGAAAAGACAAAGAAAAGAAGAGGCAAAGAGACAAGCAGACATTGATAGAGAGACAAAAAGACAAAGAAACAAACACAGAGACAAAAAAACAAAGAGATGGCAATAGAGAGAGACACGCAATGAGATGGAAACCAAAAGACAAAAAGCTAGAGAGACAAAAAGACAAGGAGGTAAAGAGACAGAGAGACGTAGAGACATAAGATAATGACACATTGAGACAAAAGACAAAGAGACATAGTGACAAAAGACAAAGAGACATGGTGGCAGAAACACAAAGACACAAAAAAAAACAAAAAGACTGAGACAAAAAGGCAATGGGACAAAAAGACAATAGGACAAAAATACAATGGGACAAAGACAAAAAACAAAGAGAAAGGACAACAAGTTAAAAGACAAAGACACAGAGAGATAGAGAGAGAAAGATACAGAGTGACAAAAAGACAGAGAAAAGAAGAGACAAAGAGACAAGCTGATAGAGCTTGAGAGACAAAAAGACAAAGAAGCAATCAGACAGAGTCAAAAAACAAAGAGATGGCGATAGAGAGAGAGAGACAATGAGATAGAGACCAAAAGACAAAAAGCTAGAGAGACAAAAAGACAGAGACAAAGAGACAGAAGATCAGAGATGGTGTGAATACGCTATCACTGGTTCATCACCCAGACCAGCTGATCTCTGAGAGGCTGTTTACAGTTGACCTGTTTAATAGAGAACTGTTCTGTCAGGGTGAGGGGGAGTGCCGACCTCAGGGTTCTAAAATCACAATGACGATCAAAGGGACGAACAACTAAAAATAAGGAAGACCAACACAACAGGCTCCTCTAAATAAAGCAGGCGGAAAAAAGGCGAACTAAAATACTGAACACTGAAATATCTGAGAGGAGCCAGTAAAAAACTCTAAAACAAATGAAACAGTCTGATTGTCTTTATCCACCTGTTTTTGTTCTCTGCTGTTTTGAAGATCTTCATGTGGGTACATTATGTTTTTCAGCTGTGCCACTACGTGGTTAAGCAGCTGATTTTAAGTAAAAATAAAGCGAACAGACATTTTCAAACAGTAACTGCCGAATGCAAAGGAAGAGCTGCAGGACAACTTTCATTAGTGATGAAAAGCTCTCCTTGGTTCAGACAGGGGGTGCTATTAGCACTAAAATCAGGGTAAAGGGAAAACTGAAACAAATATCACCCTCTACTGGCTGGCAGGTACTCTGTGTGTGTGTGTGTGTGTGTGTGTGTGTGTGTGTGTGTGTGTGTGTGTGTGTGTGTGTGTGTGTGTGTGTGTGTGTGTGTGTGTGTGTCTGACCTGGACCACAGCGTACTCTACCAATGAGGAAAAGCCAAACAGTAAACAGGCGATAAGCCAGATGTCAATGGCCTTCACATAGGAGACTTTAGGAAGCTCAGATGCCAGCGACATGCTCTCACTGGACAGGGACAGGACAGACAGGATACCTGCAGGACAGGAGAACACACTGATATAAAGACATACGGACAGGTGGACCACTAGGGTCATTCGTACAAAAAGCTTCAGCCTCTAACATGATGATGATGATGAAGATGAGCAGTGGGGGTGGGGGTGACGGTTCAGATTGACAGGGTGGCCAATCAGATTAAACCTCCTCCATCCATGCAGGAAAGAGAGGAGGTCGTGAAGAAGGATGAGGTTGGGGATGAAGAAATAACATTGTCAACTGTCATCTCATGTCATGTCATCCTCCCACCACAAGCCCTGAAACAAAAACAAAAAAAACACCTTCAATCGTAGGTATCGACACCTGAGCAGGTGAAGTTGTGACACACTCAGGAAATACCTGGCTGGTAGAGCTGACATCACATCTTTACCTAATATGTTTAACAGGTTAGTTTGATGGATGGATCTCTCTAAAAGCATGATGAATTAAAAGCATATTTTTATTCACAAACATGAAATAAAACCACAGTTCAGTTCAACATCTGAGAAGTTTCTGACCGAGCGGGACTCTGGCGGCGGAGGCATCCGGATTGATCCAGAAGGATAACCAGGAGAGGACCACGATCAGTAGAGTGGGGGCATATACACCCATCATGTAGAAGCCCACCTGTCGCCTCAAAGTGAAGATCACCTCCACACAGGTGTAATAACCTGAAAACATACAGCCCGTGATTGTTTCAAACTGATTGAACAGTCTGATCTACCTTTACCTAAGAGACCCAAAATTCTGAGATTATTTCAATAAAGTGATTTCAATTCAAATTATTGTATCACTATTTTACTACATTTACTCAAAGGATAAATAACTGACATGTAAACATGATTTTGTAGTTCAAATATTTCTACATCAATCTTTTATTCAAATCTAAATACTGACTGATTTCTTAATTCATTTCTAAATTATTTTTTTTGTTTTACCAGATTTCTTGAAAGCAATTTATACTGTCTAAATATGATTCATCCAGATTACATATATTGTTTGACTAAATTTATTTAAGTTAAATAACTGACAAGTAAACATGATAAACATTTTTAAAATTCAGATTACTAATAATACTCTAATATCTCTAATAATTAATCTATTATGTATTAAGTCTTTTTTATGTATATTATTTTCATGCAGAGTATATATTTTAACTGCTTTTGCATAGATTTTTATTTAATCTTTTGTGTTTTTGTGAACTTTGAAATAAAGTGAGATGTTTTTAATCACCAATAGATAAAAACAATAATTAATAACTATTAATTATGAACGTGTACCTGTCCCCTGGTAATATTTGGTGCAGTTTCCGTATTTGATGTCTTCTTGTTTGATATCAAACTGTGGCAGAGCGATTTCATCCATCTGGACCGGATCAGACTGCCACATGAACACCAGGTCGCTGGTCGTATATCCAACTACAACAAAAATAATAAACTGTATTTATCATCATTTTTATTATTATTATTATATTCTAATCAATAAAACATTATAACCAATAATAAAACAAATATAAAAAACAACATTCTCATAAAATCAGACTGACACATACACACACTGGGGCTCTGGTTGTATATTCCTTTATGACATAAGAATACAAATTTATATTTATCATTACTAATATATAAACATGTAACAAACAAATAAATGAATTGATACAACTTAATTTTTAGATATAATAATTTAATCAGACTGCTACATGAACACCAGCACACCCTTTTTGTTCCTCTTTGCACACTGTAGTTGGCTGTTGCTCAGCTGACGGTCCAGAGAAACCTGAACTGAATTAAGATACGTCAATAAGTTAAGTGAGATACAGTTAGTTAAATACGGTTAGCCAAGTGAAATATAGTTAGAGAATGAATTCAGATTGTCTGTTTAAATACAGCTAGTCAGGTTTAATACAGCTGGATTACTGAAATACAATTAAATCAGTTAATTTTGGTTGGCTCAGTTTGATACAGCTGGTTAGGTTAAAAGCTCTGTAGTGGGATACAGTAAATAAGTAGCATGTTACATTAAGTAAAGTTACTTTAATTCATTAGAGCCAGTGATGTGAAGAGTATTACATTAAATACAGTTTGTTTTATTTACTAGGGTTAGTTAAGTTGAATAAACTTAGTTCAGAGTTAAGTTATCTACGGTTAGTTTGGTCAAGTACATCTAGTTGAGTTTAATTAAAGTTATTTTAAATGCAGAACTGATTGGTTTAAACTGACTCCAAGTCACTCTGTCTCACTGTCACACTATAACATACTGTATTTTAACTCATATAACAGCTTTTTAAAAATAAGAAAAACCACTGGAATTAATAAAAAAAATAAAATTTACATGCTGTTACATTGACCAGGATTCTCTGGACATCAGTCAGCAATCAGACAGATCTCAGAGTAAGAATACAATCAGCTGTTTCACTGTGTACCATAAAACCATATACAGTGTGTATATGTGTGTGAAGCTGTGTGTTTCAAATTCAGAATACTCTATCGATCCCTGGGGAGGGGGGTGGATTCAGTAAAGTATTCAGAATTTGTGTGTGTGTGTGTGTGTGTGTGTGTGTGTGTGTGTGTGTGTGTGTGTGTGTGTGTGTGTGTGTGTGTGTGTGTGTGTGTGTGTGTGTGTGTGTGTGTGTGTACTCACAGCTTTCCAGCTGCATTTTACACAGCTGTGTGTCCATGGGGAAGAGAGTAAGATCCAGTGGACAGGAGAGTGTCACCGACAACCTACACAACACACATACACATACACATACATACACACACACACAGTGAGCGAGGGAAAAAGAGGGAGAGTGTGTTAGCAGAGCAGCATGTTAGCACAATAGCTTCAGTGTGCTAATGTACGCTGGGTCAGTAGTGATATTAACATGATGAAAAAGAGGATTATAGGCCTTGTAGTTGATTTAATGTGATGAAGAGGAGGATAATGGTATTGTAGTCTTATATAATTATGATGAAGAGCAGCATTACCTCATGCTGATCAGCACATCTCCATTCCTAAAAATGAAGAGCAGGATGTTATCCTGCGTCACATCGTGGAAGTTGGCATTTTTCTCGTTGGCAAAGAACAGATCTGGTTTCCACAAACACTGGAACATGTTTGGATCTACTGTCAGAGCTTCACTTTTAAAGTCCGTGGGCAGACGTAGACGAGGGTCGTTCCACCGCTGACGGAGGAAGATGTTCACCCTATAGTCCTACAAGGAGGGCAAAGATGCTCATTTGTACCCTTACATTATCATCACAGCTCTATACCTAGAGTATCCCTGTGTATGTGATGATATACAGTGTGTCTCTGTGCTGACTCAGAGGTTTAGACTGTAGTCCTGATGACCTTCACATGGGGGCATACTTCTCAGTTTATGCTCAGTGATTTATCATAACAGTGTCAATTTGTCTCTGGAAAGCAGACCCCCCTTGGCTGTTGACAGCTTTTTATGGTGTGAAAGACAAACAGCTCTTTTAGGTGTACATAATATAAAGCTGTTAATGTACCTGCTGCCTGAAACACCTCCACGTTTTTTACAGGTTTCTCCTTCATCACTCACCATAGTTGTCTCTTGGATGGACCCGAAGCTGTTAATGAAGATATTCACTTTGGACTCTACTGGGATACCTGACACACACAAATAGACATGAGAGAGACTTAATAGACATACCAATTTGCTCAATCTCTTTATCATGTTATTATGACAACATGTTTGAGACCCCGTTCTGATAGACACAGGTTTGTTTGTATCGCACAAATCCAGATTTTACGGAGTCTCTAAAATCCACAAAACTGTCTTATATTCCACAAATATTCAGTGTGCATTTCAAATTTTCGTCTTTGGCATGCAACAACTATTTGTGGCTCTCTGAGGACTTTGTGGTAAACTAGAACTTTAGTGATGTACCAAGATTACTGGCATACCAAGGCACTTAGTGGAATACCAGAACTTTTGTGGCCCTCTTTGACTTTTGTGGCATACTTTGACTCTTTGTGGCATAACAGAACATTTATCTAGTTCCAGGAATTTTGTGGCGTATCAGGATACTGGGATCATACTGGGATCCTTCTAAAGCATAAGCTAGTAAACTTCTGTTGCATACTGGGACCTTTGTGGAATACCAAGATTTCTGGCATACCAGGTGACTTATTGACATACCAGGAGTCTTTGTAGAGAACTCAGGCTCTTGGTGGGATACAGGGAGTCTCTGTGGTAAACATGGGCCTTTTGAGGCATATCGGGACTTTTGTGGCACAAAAAGTGGAATACCAAGATTTCCGACCTACCAGGAATTTTGTGGCTCTTTTATTTGGACTCCTTGTAAGTAAAGGGAGTTTTTGTGGCTTTCTGTGATTTATGTGTATTAAAGTGACTCTTTATAATATACCTTGACTTTTGTTGCTAACAAGGATTTTTGTTGTGTGCCAAGATCCAGTGTTAGGAGCCCTTGTGGCACGTGATGGTTTTTACTGCATATTAGGACTATTGTGGCATATCAGGACTTTTCTGGTAAACCAATAGCCTATTTTGTGGTATACTAAGATTTTCATGGCCTACCTGAACTTAGTTGCATACAAGGACTTTTTGTGGCATTCCAGGGCTTTGAGCAGTACCAGGACTTCTTGGCTCACCTTTACTTGTCCTGCCTTTGCAAATGAGGCTTTCCCCTGGATTTCCTAACAGCATCTACTGTTTACATTCCTTTATGTGCAGACTGTGACTCTAGTGGCCTCTCACAGAATTTCATGCGCCTCACTGTGTGTTTATATAAGTCAGAACTGCTGTGTTTAAAATATTCAAAGCTGCTTTAAAACAGCCTGATGGCAATTGTAGCGTCATTATGCTAGGTTACTGTGGTAACAGTTAAAGACAGAGATTATTAGTCACATCAGAACTTAGTTCTATCAAGATTATTAATTTTTCAAACTGTCAGTCAGATTGTATGTCAGAATATTCATCAGAAAATTGGCTACTTTTAAGAGTATTTAAGTCACCAAAATTGATGAAGTTAGACATCATTCAGTGTTTGTTTTCACAAATTTTCATCATTTGATTCAAATTTAAATTATTTTGTCAAACAAGTGAAAATAACAGTAAATCCAAATTTATCTCTGTGCATGCATGCATATGTGTGTGTGTGTGTGTGTGTGTGTGTGTGTGTGTGTGTGTGTGTGTGTGTGTGTGTGTGTGTGTGTGTGTGTGTGTGGACATCTGGATGGTTGTGGCTTGGAGCTTCAGATTAAATGAAGCACACACACTCCTCATGTTTCTGTTCTCTTCGTGTTTCATCTTCATCCCCCATCATCATCATCAACACCGTGTCCATCATCACCATCATGACGATTATCACCATCATCATCACCATTATTACCATCATCATTTTAGCCTATAGCTCAGTGTTGTGTTTGTAATATATGTCTGTGTGTTTACTGATAGCCTAGTATGTGTTAATGGTCTTTTCTTTCATGTTTTTTTTGTCTGTACCCCTTTGTGGCCTGTAAACTGTGTCATATTCTTGGTTTATTTGTGTTTTCTATGTGTTTTCCCACACTTCTTTGAGTTTTGTATTTTTATGTCTAACCTTGGAAGTTTGGTCTTATTCGGGGGTCATAGCTGACCATCAGGCGGTTTAGGATGTTGGAGGTGGAGTTTGCAGGAACCTGTGCAAGATCTTCAGGAGACAGCTGTCTGTGGGTTTGAATGTCAAACACAGGCATAACATTTTTGGTTATTATTAGAAAAAAATACATCCAAGATTAGATCTATGCACTAAAAAACAAATTCCATAATAACCAACTTTATTAAGATGCACATGAAAGATAGAAAGATTTTGATGTATTGACTTACGATGGACAGACGACCTGTTTTCCTTTCTTTCCTTTCTTTGTGGATTTTCCTTCTTTAGCCAAAGTCACAAAACAAAAAGACAGTAACAGAAACAGCAGCAAGATGGGCCGCAACCCAGGAGCCATGGTGCCTCCTGAAAAAAAACAATAAAAAATGAGTATATTATATGCGTGTGTATACATTTATTTTTACTTAGCACAAAAAGTGAGGAAATGTGTGTTTGATAGATATTTTTGGTTGTTTGTTTGTTTTAAACAATGTGGGTTGTACCCATAGACTGTATATACTTTGGACAACTCGGTTCCTCCTTCCGTCATTATATGATTTTGAAGCCGAATTGCTCTCAGTATTTCCGGGATTTTCTCCACTTCCTGGATACACCACTTGTGCCGTAACGTTGTACGCATTCGGCGGGAGAGTCGCAGAGAGTCGCTGTGATGACGCTCAGCTCAAACAGTGTATCCCCAAGGTGAGCTACCCAATCTTCATACGCCCATAGGCTGTATCAAGTGTCAACCACAGAAAACATGAAGCTCCTAATAACTTTTAAAAATGGAGCTACAGAGAAAAATTACTCGAGCACAAACCAGTCTTACAGTAACCCCATGTCAACATCACAAGCAGAGGGGAGAAAAAATTATGTTCTGTGTAATATATATATTTTTTTAATCCATAGGGATTGCTGGAGTAGGCGGGATTTATGACCTATACTGCAGCCTGTCACCAGAGGGTGCTGTTCTTGCTGTTTTCACCCAACGAGGAGGCAGACGGCGTCCATTCTATAAAGTCTATGGTTATACCCATAAAAAATATGCCACGTCTTCTCTGCCGATGCTAAACAGCTCATTTACTGTTGCTATTGACTCTTGTTTTGGGCTTCTAGTTCAGCACCTGTGAGCATGTGCAGTGCAACAGTGGTCAGTGGACGTCTGCTCCAAGAATTGGCAGGCCACGCTTGATTAATACAGCCCTGTAATTGGGCAACTTTAAACTGGTGTTCCACAAAAACAAGTTGAAGCATTATTTCCAAATTGAAGGCAGAATTCCTTATAAGGGGGATGTCAGAGACAGGCCATGAAGTGGCCACCTCGAGAAGGCAACTCCCCATTTATTGTCAAAAGGCATTGTCACAACAATGAAATAATCTGCCAAACACACATTTGACTGTTCTAGACTCAGACTACTTAAAGATCTTTCTGTATTTATGATGAGCATATCATCTAAGTTTGGTCCTAATTGTTGATATTTGTTCATTTTTATTGGGTAGACAGACTTTCCTCTCAAGGATATGTTAATTGCTTTTTAATTTTTTGAGTTTGGCATTTAGCTTACTCTCAGCTAAAACTGAGTGATGCTTGTGTTAATGTTTTCTCAGAAAAAAAACATACTGTTCCCTGGACCCTGCTGATTTATTTCCAGACAAACAGCTGGTTCGTATTTTAGTTTGGTCCTCATCTTTACAAAACTCAGAGAGAGCAGTCAGAGAACATATGATGAAACATAAGGTCACACACATGCACAAACACATGCACAAACACACACACACACACACGCACACTCCATCAGCTCAGCATGCAGACTCTGTGAGAGAGAAAGTCCTGGGATGGGGGGGTGGACTGCGGCGATACGATGACACAGCTAGAGGAAGCTTTTATAGTCACACACGCACACACACACACACATAACATGCTGCACTCTATCAATGTCATGTATGAACTACATACATGTATCAAACACACATACACAGATGTGTTACACAGACTCGTTCCCACACAGGGACAAAACCTGCAGCTAACAACACTGTCCTGCAGCCCGGGGTAGAGATTCATTACTTTGCTCCCACACACACACATACACACACACACTCACTCAATTACAGACACACAAACACACAGATATATACAGGAACATACTGACTAACACTAACATAGACACAAAGATATACACAAACACACAGATGCAGACCCGCACACAGAGCTTGTATGTTTCTTTAATTCTTACCTCTGGAGTGTCGGAGCTTCAGAGCTGCTGCATCACAGAGAAACGCTGCTCTGCTCACACTCTGTGTCCTCTCTCCTTCTCTCTCTCCCTCTATCGCTCTCCCTGGCTCACTGTGTGTGTGTGTGTGTGTGTGTGTGTGTGTGTGTGTGTGTGTGTGTGTGTGTGTGTGTGTGTGTGTGTGTGTGTGTGTGTGTGTTCGTTTATCTGCATCGCTCTGTAGTGTAGTCCAAGTCTGTGCAGCCTGAGGGAGTAGAGGACTGTTACTGACTCACAGGACGGAGAGCTCTTCATTAACCAGCTGATTCTCTAATCAGAGCAGACACCCGGGAGGACGCTGGGGTTACATTCAGCTCTAATATTGCTCTGGGTTTCTATTAATCTGTGATCTCTGACATCACAATCTGAGATATCAGTGTGTGTGTGTTTTTTGTCTTTTATCCCTTTGTGTATATTCATTGAATCTGTTGTGTATGTCTGTAAATATCTAACAGATCTGTGATCTTAATGTTTTTATTATTTTCTAATATTTATAATGTAATGTATCTTTTACTCTGTGCTCTTTGCGTGTGTCTGTAAAGGTCTAATAAATGTTGGGGACAGCTGTGTGATGCTGACGTGGTCATAAATCTGTCCTTTCATCACTCTGAGTAACATCCCTCGGTGTCTCTGGGGGATGTTATGATTTTCAATGTGTCTGCAGCGTCCTGACAGTTCGTCCTGACACACCAACTCTCACTTCCTGTTACATCATGACATCATCAGTGTAGCAATCAAGACAACCCTGGATGTGAAACCCACACATTCCTTACAGGAAAGTTTCCTTATCTGGTCCCAGGAAACAGGATATAAATCTTTCCAGACGTCTTTGCACTTTCAGGTTAAATATCGACCCAACCGGAGGTTGACTAAACCTCTGACTCTTCAGGATTGGTCAGTTCGGAGAACAGAGACAGAGTTTTATTACCTTTCAAACTGACTCCATTTGCTGACCATCTAAATAAACATTAACGTCTCAACCCAGATCTCCCATTTGAGATTTAGTGTCTTAAAGTGTGTGAACATACGGACCCTAGGAAAAGGGGGGACACTGACCTCCAGACCTCGGTCGTAAAACCCTGCTCGACCATGCACTGATAAAGACTACATTCCTTTGGTGAAAGAATACAAATGACTGATCCTGACATCTTATGCATTCAGCAATGTACTAATCTGTCTAATCATGAAATTTGTGTTAAAATGAGATGTTTCCCGTTTTTCTATGTGCTTCAGAAGCCAAATTATCACTCCGGATATCTTTAGACCAACAGCTTTTCAGACTGTTTCATGAACTTTTAAGAGTTAAATTTATTGATTGTGACTCATAACTTAGCTCTAATTAACAGAAATGGTTTAGAAATGTTTGTTCTATATTTTAATCGTTTATTTAGTATTTTTAACCATTAGGTGGTTATAATGTCATTGAATAACCTTAATGTGAGTATTTAGAATCCATTATTAATCCTGATGATGTTCATTCACATGTATTTACTCTTTGTTGTTCACAGTTTCCATGTGTTACTATCTGTTTCATTTCAGAGTAATTTAGCATGTTCAATGTGATACTTAAAACATAATGAGAATGTTTGATGTGATCCTACACTTCATTCATATGTGTTTAGTATCAAATTATTTATCATGAAACCAAACATTCAATGATATTAATCATAGTGAGTGAGTATCAGATCTGACTCTTTTGCCAGCCAAAAGAATAAGTTAGATCAAATAATCAAAGACCACACGACCCCTCCTCTGTCTCCTCACACACACGCCAGAGCCACCCCCAGTGTGAGAAGATAAAACCAGTGAAGTCGGGTTGCTCACTCTCTCTTCTTCCTCTCTTTACGCTCTCTTAGCTCTCTTATGCTTCTGCTCTTCTGCTGACTCTCTTGTCCCCGGCTCTTATGCCCCTTCTCTTCTGCCCACACCCTTCTGTGGTGCGTTTCTTTATTTTCTCTTAGAACTTTTTCTTAGTCTTCTAAGTTTTACGCCACGTGTTGATTCACGTTGATTTTTCTTTAACATCGTCTTAGTTCAAGTTTTGAAACTTCAACTTTTGTGCACATAGCAATTCAAGATTAAGCCTTTGATTGATTTTTCTTTAAATTCGCGAAGCCATTTTTGAAAGTTTTCTCTGCTCTTCGAGCCTCGTTTTTCTGAGTTTTCTGCGTGATTTCAAAGTCACCTCCGAACGCAATCCAACAGGCCCAGGTCATCCTCTGTGCCAGAGTTTTTGAGTGAGACTAAAGAAGTACCCAAACGAGCATCCACAGGATCCACAGGCGCTGGTTTTTGCTTCGGGCCTGAGTGCTGCAACTCCTGGCTCATCCTTCGGCTGACTTCAGTCGTCTTCTGAGCTGAACCGCTCGAACCGCCAGTAGCCCCGGACCTTCGGAACCTGCTCCATCTTCTCCAAGGACCAGTCTCACTTAAGTATGCAAACCTCCAGAGCTCCAGACAGGGCTGGTGCTGTCTCATGCGTTCATAACTCAGATATCCACCTATTTCTGGTGATCTTAGATTCCTCCAAATCCACATCCGAGTTTATCTCGACACCAAAGTTAGTGTAGGTTAATATGTTAGCGCATATTCACTCACTATCATTAACTTTAGTGCTCCTAGCCTGACTCAGAATCTTTATTTATTCACCTATTATTATTTTATCTTCATTATCTTATCATCATTTATTGCATGTGTGTTGTACCATCATTTATCCTGTAATAAACAGATCATTATTTTTCTAAGTTCCTGTCTGTTAGTGTTCTTCCAGAAGTGGAGTCCCTGAAATTAGAATTTCGACTTAAGATATGAGACTGATTAATTAAGACTGATTAATTAAAACTGACTTGATGTTTGATTTCTGAATTAAACTTTTGTTTTCTTTATTTTCCCACCATTAAGGGTGGGTGGTGCCCCTTTCAACGAGTGCATAAATGTCATAATTTGAGATTATTAATCTTCAGACATTTATTATAAATTCCAATCGCCAAGTATTATTTTGGTGTGGCCTTGTGAGGCTCATTTCAAATCGCTACATATATATATTTTGGTGCGACCGTATGAGGCTCATTTCAAATCACTACATATATTTTGGTGCCCCTGCGTGAGGCGTTTCAAACAAAACTTCTGGATACTAACAGACAACCTAAAACTTAGCCTTCCAAATTGATGAGAGAAACTTATTTCCAGGCTATTTTAGACTTAATCACAATCAATGCTATGCTTGCTGAAGTTGCTTGACTAAGTTCTGATGTTTTCCTGATCTATGCATAAAACCTTTATGCTCTGTGTTTTACACACTCTTGTACTACATGCCTGTAGTCTGTGTTTGAGCTGGACAGCGTGAAATGTTGTTCTGAGTAGCAGTGAGACTGCTTCTTCTGCTCTGTCTAGACTGTCCAATATTTAAGTGCACGATTGTTGCGTCGCCGTACGCTTGTATTTAAGGCCTTTGGCTGAACCCAGTGTTCGCGATGCTCCGAGCTGTGGTTTCAAGCCCCTGAAGTCTCTGTAGTCTGCTACGAGGTTCTAGTAACTATATGGGATTCAGATTTCCTCCTTTCCCCTGACAGATTAGCTACCTGTCACAGGAAACCACTGTAACAGTGGGAGGTTATTGTTTGATTGAATTCAGACAAAATTTGTGTTCACAAATCGCCGCATTTGTGATTTTAAAGTCTGCAGTTGAATCTGCTGTTGAGGGATTTGTCACTTTGATTCTTGTCTCTATAGTCTGCTACGAAGTTCTAGTAACTATATGGGATTCAGATTTCCTCCTTTCCCCTGACAGATTAACTACCTGTCACAGGAAACCACTGTAACAGTGGGAGGTTGTTGTTTGAATGAATTCAGACAAAATCCGTGATCACGAATCGCCGCATTTGTGATTTTAAAGTCTGCAGTTGAATCTGCTGTTTAAGGATTTGTCACTTTGATTCTTGTTCCTGTAAATGATTCTATTGAACCAATCTGCCTGAGCAGATGGTGGAAAGTTCTATGTTTGAGGGTGCAGACGCAGCCTGCTGTGAAATGTTAACCCTTTGTTGTCAGTGGAGAGACTGACCATTTGGCCTTAAGCAGATAAGGCCCTTCAGGAGGCAGAGCCTAAAGGCCCCTTCCTGCATACTTCCCAACTCCTCATAGCCACAAGAGGCTAGTTGGATGACTGTTTCCTCTTCTTCTTCTTCTCCACTTGTGTTGAGCTTGTGCAGTTACCCCAACTCCATACTGCCCCACATGGTTGCTTTTGGTATTGAGCTAACACTGCTATTATCTGCCTGCAGTATCAGCCAGCTGTACTGCCTCTCTGTAGTCAGTGTGTAACACTCTACAGACATAATTCAAGTGATTGACTTGGTTGATGAAGTTTGATGTGCTTATTCTAAATCATTGATCATTGATTTTTGATTTTTATCTTTGTTATAAGAGCCTCCATAAGGTATTGATGAAGTAACTCCTTGAACCAATCACCTGATCTTGTTGTTACTTATCACACCATTGAGCAGTTTTACTGTTCCCTATAATACATGAATGTATTAACCCTCCTCATAAGATTAATTAATTAATGAACAAATTAATTAATATTTGAAATTTCTTTTAACATTCCAGATGATTTGGTAGTTGAACCTTTGGCTTTATTGCAATTTGTGAATTAACTTCAGAGTTAATTCCTTAAATTGACAATTTCATCGATTTTTCCAATTCATCCAACTGCAGCAGGCAGTTTATTTAAGCTTTGCTGATCTCTGCAACACAGAGACAATTTGAACCCTTTATTCAATGGTTCTGTATCTGATGTTAAATTTAATTTAACATTATTTCACCTTTTGTTTTTCAATTTTCATTGAAATGAATTTAACTTTATGTTATTTTTCTCTCCATTAGAGATCTACTCAGATAGGCTCTTCCTCTTTATCAAGCACTGATAAATTAAGTCGATTAACCCACTTAATTTGATATTTTGCTTCTTCCTTTCATTTTAAGTCAACTCAAACTCATCAACCAACCACCTGCACCTCTTTACCAAAACCAAACATGCCTAACACAAAAGAGTCCAGCCAGGGAGACCCCCTGAGGGACATACACACAGTGTTGGCAAACTTGACTAGTCAGCTGATACTTCAGTACATGACTAAGATTCAAAAGGCCAAACCCTCCAATCCGGAGGATGCAATGGCTGACCTACTGGAAACAGCCTTAACCACGACACTTCGTGACAAAGAGCTCACTAGATGCATGTCTGTCATGATGTCTTC